GCTCGGGATATTTAATGGGGACCGATTCACTTACGGAATTAAATTGATAGATTTAATATCTTTTACGTAATATGACTAAAATTTTATACAAGCATTGACTATTGGATACTGAAGTAGACATCCCATCTAAATGGACCAGCTCTGTAGCCAGTGTTTTGTTAAAAAAGAACGTAGTTGTGTGAGCCAGCTACATAATGCGCTAGCAACTATTTTTTACTTGATTTTTTTTTATTATTAATAGTCAAAGATATAAGCCAATTCTGTACTTTGTAGTAAACCTATTTTTTTATTTTTATTATGAATCAAGAAACATGAATTCGCACTGAATACTTGTACGTAAATACATCGCTTTCATTGTGCGCAAGGGATTTAATAGAATTGGTTTTTTTATTTTTTTATGATTACAAAGTAATACGATAACTTGTGTATTAATAATTAAATATAAATCATATTACTAATTGTTTCCATCATTATTATCAAATTACTTTCTGGGAGTATCAAACGTACAAATTTAATAACAAATATATTGTTGTCATAAAAAGCTTACAAAAACTAAGAAATACATAACCATATCCTAAACTTAAATAAAAAAACTAGGCCTATATTTTTAAATTTTAGAAAGCAACATCAGACAAAACAAATGGCACCAATGATAATTTACAACAAACGATGTATTATTTTTAACGATAGTATAAAAACAAAATAGAGTAATACTCTAAATGTTAGCATTCTATAGGATTAACATAGGCGCTTTGAGAGCCATGGCTCTGGGGCGAAGCATTCACCACACACTGAGCTCAGCTTACAAAGATTAAAATGACAAAAACCCTTCAAAATTTGTTTAAAACTTAAAGTAAGTTATAATCACTCAATAGAACCCTATATTAATGTAAGTTATCACTGATGTATTTCTGAAGGTTTGTACTAAATAACAATTAGTTTTTACTAAGTGAAAGATTTTAACAAAACGATAGCAATATTTAAGCCAAATGAACTAAATTGCTAAAATAAGCTTTTAGGCTAAATCATATTACTGGTTGTACAAGGAAGGACTTTGTCTGTTGCTCAACTTATTTTCCCCGTAGAAGCCTGAAGAATTTCCCGTCCTCCCTCAACGACTCACGGGTCAGATCACATGTTTCAAGCGACCCTATTATCTACCTACCAGACCCCCGGGTCAGTTTGAATGATCCAAAACTACCCTCTGACCGCGGATCAGTCTGTATGCAGCCGATATCTTAGTGGTGAGGAAAGTGGGGGTAACATGTATGCAAATCATAACCGATTTACAAAATGTCAATCAACACAATAGAAATATCGTTGTTATGAACCCTTTGAATTCGATTAAATTGTAATATGTTTGATACTTTCTTAACGTTTGCAATCAGTGAATAAAATTGTAAGCATAGTTTTTAAAGAAGTAATAAGGACTGTTTTTGTAACTAGACCTAACTGTTTTATTTTTTTTACAAAAATCAGCAGGATTTTACTATAAGTCTAAACTGTGGCTACGTTTATGATCTCACGTTCCTATCCTGTGTGTGTGTGTTTTTTTTTTTTAAGAGATGTGCGTTTTTACCTTGAATTCGCAAGTGTACATGGGCCCTTGAACTGTACGTAGAACGTTTCAACAGTGACAAATAGTCATTCGCCTATTGGATCTGATGATGATTGGAATGTTCAATCGAAATCAATCATCACCTACCATCTTGTATATGTATTACCGTCATGTGAGTCAACAGTATATATGTTTCAAGTGTTATTGCATTTTTATTTACTTTCCGTAAATTCAATAACACGTACAATACTGATCAAGTAAAATAGTTGTTTACTTATTATACTATCAATGATGTTCCCTGACAAAAAATCTACGTAGATAACAATATTTCAGGATTACCTTTAACCCTTTAAAAACGTAAAGACAATATTAAACATGCCAATTTGCGTTTGAAACACACATAAATTAAGCCATAAATAAAATGTGCAACTAACCGCTAACCGCTACTTACTCAGTGAAAGGATGATGCGCTCCATGGCGACCTAGGCTCGTCGATGCCTCGGTCCACACTCATCTCGTAGTCCTCTCACTCGAACTTGGCACATTCACCTTCTAGGGCATCCGCCCCTGTGGCTCACCTGCGACCTGCCCGCGGGCCCGGTCAAGGATGGTCACCCTAGGTTTAATAAGTAATGCAACTTATGTGTACTGTGCAAGAATATATCAGGTATATAGTGGTAAACTTCGGGAAGTGGGGTGGGTTGAAATAGAGAGAAAATCATGGATGGTCTTTTTTTTTACAAAAACTCTTCGTTTCCACATAAGTCTACCATTGTGTATTAAAAGAGGCCGCCAACCTCATAACAAATGTCAAATTTCATGAAAACGAGATCTAAATCTAATTTTCACACAGTATTATATTCAAAGCACATTTGAATTAATATCCAATGACGTTGTGACACTTAACTTGCGAGGGAGTAAGTGGTGAATAGTGAATGGATGAGAAATAGCTGTGTTTTATATTGACGCTTTAGAATCAAATGCTTAATGATCAAGGACAGTTTAGACAGGTATTGAATCATCGAAAAGTTACTGGACGTTTCTTGGGTCGAACCGGGGACCTTTAAAGGCCTACGCGAGCGCCATATGAGAATAATACCCATGTGAGTAGCTTCTGACGTTGATATAAGCCGCTTTAGCTGTCTCAATAAGGAAGTAAAATCTATAACAGAGTATTTTATTCTATGTTTTTATACTGATGCACATTAAAATATGCTGTAGCTACTTCTTACTCTAGTGATTGGATTTGGACTATTTATGGTAGAACGCAATTGAATGAGTTTGATACTGTCAACATTCTATTTTCTCCCTTTTGATACTATAGTAGGCCTAATTAATGTTACATTAAAAATGCTAATTAACAAAAGTTGTTATCTCAGTGTGTCTTGTTTAAAAAGCTAGCTTCGGCAGGAATCGGTAATTAATCACAGCATCCTCTGCATGTGGTCCAATTCAACAAAAAATCAATTTATTTTTATTTTACAGCAGTTTTTTTTTTTAACATGAACAAAATAAATTGTTCTAACATGATAATAACTAAAATGACTACTAATATTATTACTAATAGTCGAAGATAATGAGATTTACTTAATTTCTAGCGAAACGATGCCACAGTTTAAGGTCATTGCCAAACTGTTAGTCCCTTGTGCACCGTCCTTTGCGGGATCGCGGGTAACCGCTTTCCACAGACCACCGAATTGCTCTCCCACAACTTTTCAATAATGAATTGTTTCAACTGTTAAACTTAGGCATATTGATGATAACATAAAATCAACTTTTTACATTGGACACGATGCATTCTTCAACTAGTCTTGATCGCCATTTAAATGGGCACATTCTTTGTCAACTTCAACTCAATCGGAAATTTCAGATGTTTTTCTTAGCGGTGTGTATGTCCACCTTAAAGATGTCTTTAAATAAGTTAGACTTGTACGTATGACCGTATGAAAAGTCGACCTACTGTATAGGGAGGGCTCTGAACAACTATGGTATGTAATAGTTGAACTGGTAAAAAGTAAATAGTTCACTGAAGCGGAGTTGCACACGGAACAACTGGCCTTACCAGTGGCAGTGCTTCCAGGGCAACATGCCCTACTATTTTTCTCCAAGAGAATTTCTCCCAGCTCACCTTCGTGTATTGACCTCTGATGTTGGACACGGCTGAAAAACTCCCGACTGCTGTTGGAGTCTTTCCTGATGGCTGATGATATACTGTAGATGAAGCATGAACCAGCGTCGTTCGGTGGGAAATCCTTGGTTTTACCAAGGGCCTGTTGACCAACGCTGGTATCCAGGACGTCATGTAAGCTTCTAGAAAAACACAGGGGGGGCTGGGAACCAACATCCCCACTGTCTCGCGCTGTTCGTCACCATAAACACGAGGAACCCGTTTAATTCCACAAATTGGGGAGCCATACATACTTAATTATCATCATGCGACACTCTGGCAGGATCGAGAGATGGTGCAATAACCATAGAGAGTCCTGGGAAATGTTTCCACTCAGAAAGTTCTGTTCACTCAGAATCCCATACGTTAATGGGAATTGGTCTTTTTTGGCCCCACCTCCAAAAATAATCCAAAAGTGACAGTCCGGCTTGCAAATACGAAGATGAAGCTCTGTACGCTGTTTTGGTGCAAACGGTGGGGGTTCTGAGAGGACAGTTGGAGCTTGCGACGGGGGTCTTCTTGCCAGAAACCGCCATATCTACGCTGATGGCTTCTCTTGAGAACTGGCAGAGAGTCTCGTTGAGCTTTGGGAAAGTTCTGGAGAGGGACAAATCAAGGGTCCTCAACATCCATCATCCAGGGCCTTCACTCATAAGGTGTATAAAATTAAAATGAAAATCCTTCTTATATCTGTTATGTATATAGGCTAAATGCAATGGTTCGTTTTAACTTTTTCGTCAATGTAAATGGAAGAAGGAGTTGCTAAAATACATAATTATATGACAGTCCATACACAAGTGGATGACGGCCTGAGGTTATCCTGAGGTTATGTGCTATCCTTACTAGGTACTAGGTAGAAGGTTTTAGTGGGTGCGAGTCCTACCAGTGACTACATTCAATGGTCCTAAACACCTTGTTAGCATAGACTAAGGGAGTGTGTTTATATACTGGTATGCTGTTAGTATAGGATGTTTGATTTATTTTCTGATGGTGCATCAAAGCATGTTACCTCGAGAAAAAAAGAATACCTTACAAAGATACAAGTAAATATTTCTGTATCAACCAATGGGTTGATGTCCATGGGGTTTCCAGCAGTATCATTTTACAATTATTATAGTGAAGTAATTTGTTTTAGTTGTGTTTGGTTTGGTCTAGCTGTTTGTAGGACCTTGGATTAAATTATTGGCGAATTGAAAGAGAAGCAAATTACGTAGTGCGTGAAGTGAAGTCCAGTCAACAGTCGAGTCAGCTGATTAAGTAAACATGTCTGCTGTGCCAAGTTTGTCAAAAGTCGATGGCATGTCACAGCTTTTCATTCTAAATAGTTTATTAGAACAATGAATTCTGTTTTTAAATATGAATAATTTGAACAGTTTACAATTACAGCACTATTTACATAGTTTTTCCTGTCTAGTGAACTATGATCTGATTGTCTTAATTGAGTGATCGTTCATTGTGACATTATGGTGATGACTCAGTGTCAGTGTAATTACAATTTGTTATAAATATTTCCGTTCAACTAATTAGGCTAGTGAGTATGATAAAAATCCATCTACTAATTCCTCTTGCATGTTATAACTATAAGTCTACTTATTTATTTTACAGCTCTTGGACCCACAACTCATCAATCTGGAATGAGTTTTTTAGCCTATAACATTTAATCAAAATCTATTGATTTTTGTAATTGATATTTTCATTGTTATGTAACATTCATGTATACTGTTTTCATTTGCTTTGGGTTGCTCCTTATTGACCATAACGTCATATTTTTAATAGCCTTATGAGCTTATGCTAGGCCTATGTTCTACATGAACCAAACAATGCCTGTTTTTACCCTCAGATTGATTCCTAAAACCTTATTCAAAGCAGGTTCTGTACTAGAATCATAAATAATATTTAGCCTTGTATCTTTCAAATGCCCCTGCACTTATTTTAACTCTAACAATCTAACTTAGGCCTAATTTAATGTACACTTAGTTTGATATAGTCTATTTTAAGCCTAAGTTTTACTTTTGGGGCTGAAGTTCTATGGATACTCTATACTTATAAGTTACGGGCACACTTATCTGTTGGCACAGACAACCGAATGAAAATATTGATCGATATATCGATTAAATTCGATGTATTGATTATTCGATACCCTAGCCTAGATATCGTTTGGCCTAGGTAAGGTTAACCTAACCTAACTAACCAAACGATATATCGATTTAAACGATTGAATAATCAATATATATTCTTTTGTTATCTTCCAGAACATGGTAGTGTTTGAGCCAGATGAAAATAGGATGATTCCAACTGCAAGTTCGTTGGCAGAGCCCAATGTAACCCAGCCATTCTCACCAGTAGAAGAAGAGTTGTTTTGTAAACTCATCTTGTACATTGAAATACCCAATACAAGGTGAGTTATATTCTAAATAAAATGTACTTTCATCAAGGTCCAATTTGAACATATCTGTTATTTACTTTGATTGACCTTTTTTAATGTAGGCCTAAACTTAACAAAGTGATTTTGTACGGTACTTCACTCACTAGAGTATTCTTTTAAAAATTTTCTTTAGTAGGCCTACCTATTTATTTTTTGTAAGTTTTTTAAGAGTTCCATTACTAACAATCCATAGGGTATAAAAGTTCCGGTTGGCAAGATATAACAAGTGATGACTGCTTCCAAACTTGACTCCTTGAGGACTAAGCAATGGCTAGTAGGCCTCTTGAAACTAGACATAAAAATACATTTGGTTAGGTACCTTTAAAAACTAATTCAAAAATTTCCTCTACTGTTGATTGATCAAATAATATTTTTCTTTCCAAGTACGGTAAGTAACTTTAAACATTCTGGGGAAGTCGTTTTTTGGTTATAAATGTCTGGGAAGTTCCTAAGATCCTAATTAGGCCTAGTTTTTTTAGAAGTCCCAGTTGGAAAAGTGTTTGAATAGGTAAGTCAGTGGTATAGTCAATAGCGTCACGGAATTTGGGCACATGACAGATTCACTCTTGTACTGTACTGGCTCACCTCTTTGCTTTGCTCAATACGTTCCACGCACAGGCCTCTGTGGCTCATGTGGACGGGTAAATTGCATGTAAAAAAAGCTTTCAAATTGCTTCCAAACGGCTTGAGAGTTGAGATCAAAGTTATTTAATTTATTTTCACTCGGTTAATTTGGAATGTTTCAGGATTCGAGCATGGGACGTTATTATCCTGGTTCCGAATCTCCTTTTCCTATTGTTTCTGGCCTTTCGATTCAATCGAGCCAGACTCAAACTACGAGCCACTAGCAGTCCAATATTTTTTGCGTTCTATGGATTGGTAAGTCAGTTGTTAAATGTTCTTAGTTGTATAACATCACTCCGCAATGTGTGCCTTCTGTGATTTCACAAAACTTAGCATTTCTTTTTTTACTGAGGACTTATTAGAATAGTAATCATATTATCTTAAAGTTTTACCAATGTATTTTTACCCAAATATGAGTGAAGGATAAGTATAGAATGTTGTGAGATGATCTGTGTTGTGTTACTGGCTAAGATCAGCTTTTTCATCATTCAGGATCATTTATTTAAAGCCCAATGATTTGGGTCCAGTTCCACACCACAACTTTTTGAGTACTTTAACCATTTAACTACGGTACCCAGTTTAAGAGTACGGTACATAGAAGGAGTGGTACCGGTACCAAAGTATTCTCTAAGAACTTTCTTTAAAAATGCAATTAACAAGTAATAGGTAGCGTACCTTTTTACCTACTTGCTTGGTTACCGGTATTTTAGATTATTATAGACAGGTTAACCTATGGTTAGCATATGTCCAATGAAGCTGGTTTCTGCCAAGCACTTATTCTTTCTTTTGTCCTATGAAGTTCCTTCACAGTAAGCCTATGTAATTGTAGCCCTAGCCTTCATATTTCCATCAAGCTGTTGAATGTCTGAATCCATGCTCTATGTTGGTGATATAGGTGCTAGTGAACGTTACAATCAGCGTCGTCCGCTGTTTGGTCTCTATGAGCGTCAACGCAGCGGCCATTGTCGGAGGTTATGTTGACACATTCCTCTGGATCACAGTCAGGTTCTTCTTACTCTCTACAGAGATGAGTGTTGTCATATTCGGCCTAGCCTTTGGTAAGTAACACTAATTTTCATGTCTAGTATTGCTCGTCAATTAGGCCTAATAAAATGTAACTGGGCAATTTGTTTAAAATTACCTGTTTATTAGTTTTAATTCGTTTATTTTAGGTTATTTTGTTAAGTTATAATATGTTTTTATTTTATGACGTTAGCACATATTTAACAAAAATAAAAGCCAAAAAATAAAAGCTCTTGTTCTTCTCTATAATAGCCTAATATAAAAAGTAGCAACTCAAATATCTGTGCAATGGTTTTTAAACTTACTAATGCTGTCAACTTCCGTGAACTCAAGTTGAAGTTGACACCGTTTTTGGTTACAGTAGAACCTTGATAACAAGACTCTCATGGGGATTATTAAAAAAGACTTGTCATTAAGGTCGACTTCTTATCGAGGTTTGCGATAACATGTGATTGGGTCTAAACTAAAATTCAAGGGGATTAGAAAATTACACTTATTAAAAAGGGTGACTTGTTATCGAGGGTCTTGTAATCAAGGTTCCACTGTATTAGTTAGCGTTCCCTTAATAATGAAAATCAAAGGAACCCCTGACCATTATTGCAAAGTAACAGTTTTTCCCATCTATGTTCCTAGGCCACCTAGACAGCCGTAGCAGTATACGCTACGTTCTGTTAGCAACCTCACTACTCTCGTTGGCGTTCTCCATCAGTCAAGGCGCGCTGGAGGTGTTTGCACCTGACGAGAGCTTCAGGATACACTCCAAAGACTTTAACATCTTCGGCCACGGAGGCATGCTGTTTTGGTTCTCCAGTTCTGTAGTCTTTTCATTGGTGAGTGATTTGACCATCTTAAACTCAATGGATTAAGTGATTTAGTTATAATTTCTTATTGTGTTCTTCTCGTTTTTATGAACACAAAATACTGATAATTTATGGTGGATAATCTTAAATCTCATAAGATAAGCAATAGAGATAATACTCCCATAAAGTTTAACTCCCTAAGCTCCACTGTTAGTTGGACCCACCTTTCTAAACACAGGCATCTGAACACTCCTCATGAGATGGGATTCGAACCCTTAATCCTCCTCCTTGAGATGGAATTTGGTCCTGGTAGAAGAAACAACACCTTACACTGTTTGTCTATTGAGCAGAAGGGGTGTTCTACCTCACTTACAATACAGGTCAAGCAAAGTAGGCTAGTTGTAAACTTGATTTCCAGGTTATAGCACATCCTAGTATTGCTTTCACCCGTTTTCTTTGAGTTATATTCACACTGATGATTGTAATTGGATGTTTGGCTATGTTACTTGATGTCTGATATTTAGCGTCAGTATTTGGAACTTAAAGGGGAAAAGATTGTTAACTATTAGTAGAAAATTAAAGCTATGATTGTGGTAAGCAATTCTTTAATCTGTCTGGACCTCTTCTTAATGCTGCAAGCTGCTAGATTGCTCTTGAAAATGATTCATTCTGGACTTGGCCACCATTAAAAATTGATAAAATCCAAATCCTGATCATAAAATGTTGATAACTTCTTTTTGAAATTAAGATGGAAGTCAATAATTAACTATAGTTTTTTTTTGTCTGCAAATGATAGCCATAAGAGTTTTAGCTGATATGTAGTGTCATTCTATTTGCTTCATAAATTTAATGATGAAGAACTTTAAAAAAAATAGAGCAGTTTACAGTCTTGCAATACCTAACTCTTTCGATATTTAAAAAAAGTAAATTTGTCTAGTTAACCTTTTAAATTAAATAACTTGTTGGACAATTAGTGAACATGATGGTTGTAATCATCTGTTTATCTTGTCTTAAGCTTATCTTATTTTGTTTGTCTGGTTTGTTTCAGATATACATAGTTATTTTGATACTTCCTTGGACAAGACTCAGAGAAAGGTTAAACCTTCCTAGTAAGTAGAATGTATTTGAACTGTTACTTTGTATAAACTAATGTGCTATAAAACACTTATAAACTAAAGTTATATAGCCTAAAACACTTCAGTAAAGCCCGCTTATTCGGCACCCAATGGTCCGGCACTATCAATTCCGGTATTGGTGTAGTAAAAGTCTAAAAGAACTTTGTCTAATGCTTTCCAAGCCATATTACCGTATTGGGCAGATTCGGGAGCAAATGACAGATGTTGATCGCACTCTGTATTTTGAGTGTAGGAAGTATTTGATTTCAATTATTTAATATTCCCCCATTTTTTATTGTAATTAAAACAAGAATAATAGGCTGGCAGTTAACTATTTCCTTTTGACACTGTAATTAGAGGTATTTTTGCCGATCTGGCAGTAACAGCTGTTGTTTAGAATACTTTCTGTAACCTGTGGTGAGATAATTTTATCCTAATTATTCTATGAAATTTTAGGGGGAAAACGCTTCCCCGTTCAATTCATACGGATTCAACCCACAATATCTATGGTATTTTGGTCTCTCTCATAGTTGGTAAATTGGGACACATAGAATCAGTGTTTCAATAGAATATCATGTATGTTACCTTGTTTCAGCCAAGAAGTCTTTCTACCTGTACATCCTGTTCCTTGCGCTCCTCAACATCGCACAGTCCGCTGGTAGTGGGATGTTGTTCTACGGAGTGCGAGAGGGGCTCTGTGTGGTGGACATCACCACTTGCGTATACTTCACGTTGTTCACACCCCTCGTCTACCACACGTTCCTTAGCGAGTTCTTTGGGTGAGTTTAAATGTAGTTGTACCCACGTATGTCGAGAAAGGTGTGGTTAATGAAAGATGTTTTTGGTAGTTTATAGTTTATCAATCAAAATCATGAATGAAGAGGTTGAATATAACTATTCACATTATAATCATTGGTTCTGTCAAACAACCTTAACCCTCTCAATTAATCACCTCAGTATTTGCCTCTCTCTAGTCCGACCAGCTCAGGATTGGAATTGAATATTATCAAACAATCCAGTATTATTCTGTATGGATAAGTTACTGATTTTATCTATAAACTTTAGTTTAAAAAACTCATTCCATTGGCTCCATTGCCGTATACTTTTTCAATATTTATACCATGTCAAACAAAAATGTTACCGAATACATAGAAATGTAGGAAAAATGCTGCAGGAATAAAGCTTAAGTACAACAAATCACTCAAAGCTCAAATACACTCAGTAAATGTTTCAACATAAGATTTTATTTTGATAAATAACGGTTTTTAAAAGTTCATACAACACAATAAATGTGTAATAAACTAAATACGCTGAAAAATTATAAAATGATACTGTGTAGTACGGTCACTTGACTATTAGCAATAGTTGACCTAACAGAGGTAGGTATTTTGTACTTCTTTGCAATAGAACCAATAACTGAAGGAAGACATTGATTATTATGGAGAGAAACTTAATTTGTGAGCAAATGACTTGATGTTTGAGGCCAACCAAACCGTCCTAAAACCCCCGACCTAACCAACTGAGGCTGAACTTTTACAAAAAATTTTGATATAAGTTTATTACCGATTTTAACGAATCGTGGCGGCCTCTTTTAACCTTGCATTTGCCCGTCCACATAGACTAAGCGCCCGTACGTGGCTCGTTTACAGCAAAGCAAGGAGTGAGCCGGTACAGTACAAAGGTGAACTGTACTGATAAAATGTTATCGGCAGTGACCAGGATCCGAACCCACGACACCACTGCCTTGGGCCCGAAGTCCGCGACGCTAATGACTGAGCCACCGACTGCACTAAACCTGACTCACTAAACCTCTTTTGAGTCAAAACTATAGTTTTTTTCTGATGTAGGATCACTCTTGTTTCCTTACCCCCATTTAACTTGTAACATTAGATTTCCCCAACCTCCATATCCGGCCCATTTGACCAACTTTCAATGCTAACGTTGTCCCACAGTGTGTCCCAGCCGAGTATAATGTTCTCGTACAAGGCACAAGTAGATGACAACATGGAGGACGACACAGTGTCACTTCCGCATCAGCAATCATTCTCTTCTCTCAAGACCGATTCAGACTACATTTATCAGGTAATAATCTCGCAAGATGTCAATTCAAGTTTATAAGTAAAAAAAAAACTGTAAGTTTCTAATGTAGGCTGTCAAAATGGTGTATTGTTAAATGGAAGAGAGTTTTGTAGTCAACGTTTGTACTATGACAATAAGCATACCTCCTGTGGTTCTAAGGTCCCCCCTGACGTACTAGTTTCAAGCAGTGTGATCAATGTTAAGATTTGTTGCGTCTTTGAACAATAATTAATGTACAACGCTTGAACTATCTTAAACATTGATCAGTTTTTATTTTAAGTAATTCATATTTATAAATAGTTAGTACCTGCTCTTAATTTGTTTACAAATACCAAATTACATAGCTTGGTTACTAAGCATGTTTCATTGTTTTTGGTTAAAAAAAAATCAAGAACTTTTAAAAGTCCTTCAAACCAGTTTTTGTTTGTTAATTAAAGTAGATTATATTATATATTTGGATCTTAAAAAGCTGTATCTAATAAGTAGGTTTTATCACTTAGTGTAAATATTATCATTTTTGTAGGTTGCAATTTTTGTTTTTAGGTAGTTTGCATGGTAATCAATGTGGTATCAAGTAGACTTAGATTTAGCTACAAAACCTGATTAAGTGCAAAAGCTATTCAACCCCCTCTCCTCCCACAAAAATGTTCATGAGATTTCATCGGTTTTGATAAAAGCACTATTAGGTCTTGATGAAATGCCCCTAATATTAAAGACAAGTTTTAATTTACCCATTGATACAATTTTAGATAAACATGTATAAAATCTTATTATTATTAATACAAAAATCTTACAAATATAAAGTATTGATCTGATGTCGGATGTCCATATGAAATTCGGATAAAATGAAATGACTACTGTACCTGTTTTGTTTTGTAGGACAGAACACTTAATACTCAGGAAATAAAATCTATTGGTGAAATATATTCTATCAGCGGAGGAAGTTTGGCACGGGAGGTAACTATTAAGTGTGACTTTTGTGTTGAGGGGGCGTCACATAAAAACACAAAAGTTGTCTGTATTTTAACGTCTAGTCTACATTGACTTCCCATCGTAGCCAAGCAAGCTAGCTCTAATCTTTGACAAATGTCGCGTTCTCTATTTCATCCACTACTATTCTAACCATTTACCACCCAGAATTAGTCTTGTCATAGCTCACGTAAACGTTGTGAAAGAAAATTGACACTCATACCAAGTATAAATTGGGTTCTGTTATTAGATTTCTTTGGTCTCAGTCGTCAACCGTTGTTGAAGTCCATTCGCTAGGAAATCTGAATGTAGTAAGGTTTTTGGACATATGAATTGTGAGTAAAGAGTTGAGTATGGAGATGTTCGTAAACATTTTCTCAATCCAGTGTATATGCGGCTGCAGTCGTTTATAAGTCTTGTTTGAGGCAGTGATCATTATGACTGAACGAGAAAGAGTTGGCTGAACTGAGAGGACATCTCTCTGAGGCTGTCAAGGACTACAAAAAGCCCTGGTTGTCCTAAATCTGCCAATCGCAAGTAATGTTTCCTAATTTAAACACTATCTCAGTGGAAACTGATGAACACTGGCTGCCAGCTTCATTGTGCAAATATGTACCGCATTCTGTGAACGTCCTAAACCACTTATGCACATTTTAAATGTAAAAACACTTTTCTATATACATATCTCTCGACTGGCAGTAGTTTATACCAGAACTGATAGTCTAATAAGAGTGGGAAATAGCTAAAAATAGTAGTGTAGATTTGAACAAAAACAATATTGTTTCCAGAATTGGACTAGCTTGCTTGGATGCGACAGGAGCTTGATGTAGACCTTAATTTACAGACAATTTTTGTTTATAACCTTAGGAAAATATTCGTTGAGTTTTCAATCTGTCATTACTAACTTTCACTCACTGGTTTCAGAGCACGCTTCCAACATTTTATACTTGTTGTTTGGTTTCAGTGATCTTTGTCTTTTTTAAAATTTTTTCCACAGTGTAAATCAGACACGTTTGGTTGTGGTGCGTCAATGGTGTGGTGGTTAAGTAAGGTTAAGGTAATTGTTGATTACAGTTAATGCTGGACATACAACTACAAGTATTAGTAGTTTTTCCCCTGTGTATACCGAGCGTAAGTGTGTATAAACAGTATTCACTTTGACTCATGACAGCTGCTCTCTACAACAGTTCTTTGCAGAGGCCTGACAGTATCACTGGGTACAGTCTGGACAGTTAGATATAGACCTGATGTTCTGACTCACACTAACTCATTGCACTCTATCCTGTTCACAGAGCAACAGTGTGTATGACAGTACTCACTTTGACTCTGTCATGCCAGCTGCTCTCTACAACACTTCTCTACAGAGTCCTGACAGTATCACTGGGTACAGTCTGGACAGTTAGATATAGACCTGATGTTCTGACTCACACTAACTCATTAAACTCTATCCTGTTCACAGAGCAACAGTGTGTATGACAGTACTCACTTTGACTCTGTCATGCCAGCTGCTCTCTACAACACTTCTCTACAGAGTCCTTACAGTATCACTGGGTACAGTCTGGACAGTCAGACTGTAGACCTGATGTCCTGACTCACACTAACTCATTGTACTCTATCCTGTTCACAGAGCAACAGTGTGTATGACAGTACTCACTTTGACTCTGTCATGCCAGCTGCTCTCTACAACACTTCTCTACAGAGTCCTGACAGTATCACTGGGTACAGTCTGGACAGTTAGATATAGACCTGATGGTCTGACTCACACTAACTCATTGCACTCTATCCTGTTCACAGAGCAACAGTGTGTATGACAGTACTCACTTTGACTCTGTCATGCCAGCTGCTCTCTACAACACTTCTCTACAGAGTCCTGACAGTATCACTGGGTACAGTCTGGACAGCCAGACTATAGACCTGCCGTCCCATGCTAAGCCGTGACTCTACAACTCTCGCCAAAGAAATGCATCTTCCTCCTTCATTCGGTGGTGTATGTAAAGCTATGTCACAGAAATTCACTAACCATTTCATAGTGTGTTGTTGTTACAGTTCAATGATAAAGTACCTCGTAGAGTTTAGGTTGGGTATCCATGAAATAACTAGATCATAAATGGACTTATCTTGCCTAAATATGTTATCCTTGGACTTATCATTGCTTGTACGATATATTAGAGAAAGTTTAAATGATAGTGTTTAGGTCTGTATTCCTGGTGACGTTTTAAGATAGTTTGTAGTAACTTACTTTATATTTGTTGAGAAAGTTTCAAAGGTGTTATTAAAATTCTTATTTTGAATTTGAGTCAAGTCCCAATCATTAACATTATTTATGATTAGCTGAAGTGCTGTACATGCACCTAAACAGGCTAGGTGAAAACCTGAACAGATAGAAAACAAAAATTAGTCTACTGTCTGAAAGTGCAACAAAAATTTTTGTTTAGGCTTTCTTCCATTTTAAAATATCTGTTGACTGACTTTTTTTAGTTAGTTTGTATTTCGGTTAATTATTCAACTTAGCAGATAGAATAAAGAGTTCAATCCTTTTTTTATATCAACTAATACTAATTAGGATTATCAATTATCTAGTTGAAAATATCCTATCTTCTGTTTAAGCTTTTGTATAATATAAATATATTTAAACATTCTACCCATTAAGTTTGTTTAATGTTTGAATTTTCTAACTAAAAAGTTATAATTTTTTTATAAAGCCCAGAAAACCTCATAGGTAAAAAACTACACAATCTAATTTTATAATATGCTGCGGATACACACATTGCGGGTACACCTTTTTTATTTATAAATCAATCAAGAAAAAAGGGAGCTGTTGGAGTTTTTCTGCTAAATCCAAGTGCAAAATCTAGTGGAAGAATGTATGAAAGTGTAGTGCATACTTGCAATTCTAAACACTTGTAAATCTTGGTATTTTAATTACTGTGCAAGCGGTTGTGATGTGCATTTATCACTGGGCTGTGGAGTTGAGTTCTATGTAAACATTTGTTGTATATCGCAAAGGAGATGTTTTTGCATTGTCTTTAGAGGTCGTTGTATTTATCGTTTTCTTCCGTAACTCACTGTTATGATGTGCACTTTTCTGAAACTGTAAATGTTTATTGTAATATTAAACAAGATTGATTGACAGTTATTGTTCATCTATCAGTGGTGGCGCTGACAACTTGCAGGCCCCTTCATAAACTGTGTTTACAGGAAGTCAATATGATGCCGCCTTTATTCTGTGCAAAAAAAAAACTAATTACAACTTTATGGTTGAGAAAGTTTGTTCACAGCTTTGTAGTACTTCTACTCTATTCTATCATATTAAATGGGCAATCTCACTGAATGCTTACTCATTACTTTTAACTTGTACAGTAAAACCTCAATAACTTGACAGTCAACAACTGACAGAGCACACGCAAATTGGCGATTTTTTCCAAACATTTAGTTTTAATTGTTTGATATTTAAAATTTTTTTAGATTGTTTACTCGTGTAAAAATACTCATCTAAGTAATGAATCTATTGTGTAAAAATTTGTCTGTTATGTATTCATTTATTATATAAAACCCATTAAAAATTTCAATGTTCTTGATAGCTCGACAACCCCCAAACTCGACAACCTTTGGGTCTGTTTTCTGCTTTTATGGTAACCAGCATGGTCTTTTTTCAAAGATCTATAGGCTTAATACAAACCAATGTATGCAAGAATACCCTTTACTTAAACTGAATTTTTTGCTTCGGGTTTGCAGGGGCCTTATCACCGCCACTGTTTTGAGTCCACTATCGTTTTATGGATTTTCTGTTTAAACTGGTTTCTAGATAAATTGAGAATAGCACATACAATAAAAATTCCATGTGCGATTTGTGAACATTGATTAGCTATCAAAGAAGTCTTTGCCTTCCTCGCCATTAAATATTTATAAAAAGAATATAGATCAGTATTTTGGTATTTGTAATACCTTATTGTTCTTTCAGATTAATTCTTAACAGACAATCAAGAATATTGTTAAACATTTGTGCAAAAGAAAGATATTTTTAGTTTTTAAATTAAAAAAAGGTTGGTAAGGTAATGTAAAACCTTTGACTATTAATACAACAACGTTAAACGTTGCATCAATATTTAATTAACTTTTTTTTAGTTATGCAAACAAAATTAGCATCTCTACACCCAGATACTGATACTGATTTTTAGAATTTTATCATTCAGATTTTCAAACATAATTGAGAACAGTAAGGTTTTATTCTTTAATAAGTTCAAGGCTGCACAAAAATGTATTGATTGATTCAGTAATGAAATCAAGCAATAACTTTTTGTGGAATTTTCTTACTACAGGATCAAACCTTATCATTCTCAATTATCTTGCATGTTATTTTTCAACATTACTTCCAAAAATATGTTTTGTAAGATTGTTACCTTTTTGGTAATGGTGAGTTTAAGTTATCTAAGAGTTTATTGCGGACATTTTTTTACCTAAAAAATTCAATTATTTATTCTTGTGATTGTAAATCTCAAGAAATTACTTTATTAAGAGTTTTGTAGATCTGTAACCACATTTTTTTCAATAAATTCAATTGTGTATAGTATCTAATCTACTTATTAGGAATGGAAATGTATCAACCGGTTAGGGTGAAATTTTGTTTTGGAAAATAATAGACCATTTTTAGTCTAGGACTTATCCAAGTACATTATAACTTTTAAAACTCATTTTAAGTTATAGTAAAGTACATCTTTAAATAAAGCCCAATATTGTATCATTTTATCCATTATTAATGTATAACATATTTTAATAACTATTATAATGTCAAATATATTACACATTTATTGTATTTTAATAATTACTTATTAAAATTAATCAGTAAAGAAAATTGACACTTTTTACTTTCATGCACGTATACTTATATGGTCTAGTAAGGGCCTAAAATTAGTAGTTTTCATCACTAGGAGTGAAAGTGGCTCTTTTTGGTAGGCAATCGTGTTTTACAAGCAAGGCACAGCCGAGCTTAGAAATACAATGAAGTACCATAAAGACACTTTCGCTTTGTGTGATGAACAACTATTTTCATCGTACTGTGGAAATCACCTTCTAATCGTTACAAAATTAGACCACATAATTTGAGGTTATTCAAAGTCATCATCAATATTTACATTCTGTTTACAAACATTTAAAATATCGTTTAATTAGCAGCGTTTTCAAACAAATTTTGAGGCTAGCGAACCGACAAATTTACCTTATGTTTTTTTTCTGTTCCTTATTTGAAGTTAACCGAAAACGACGATTTTGCTTACGATTTAGAGAACTAATAACGGCTGCTTTACGCACAGTATGATGAAAAAATATTACCTCGTATCAATTGATAACATAATTGCTTTATACATTATTTTAACATTAAAAATGTGATGTTTGGTTAAGTTTTTATAGGAACATTATGCACACCATTATTTATCACCTTGTATTTTCACCATGTACAGTTATTGTACAGTTACGATATTGATAAGTAGCTATATAGATCTGATTAGTTTTATAATCTTATCTACCTATATTCTGTATATTCTTGTAGACATGTCTTTTAGTTTTCTAGGATGTTTTCTGTGCTAGTATATCGTAGAAACCTTATTCTAGTCTTATACAATAGATATGTCTATTACCTCTGCGGTTTCCTCACAGAAGTAGAATGAATGTTGGATATTTTACTTACGATTGTTAGCTCGCAAAGTAGAGTTTTTTAAAGAGTTGTCTCATGAGATATTTATTGTCCTGAATGTTGAAATCTTAGATCAGTAAATCGTCCAATGAGAATGTATTTTCCTTATATTTTCTTCAACGCCTTGTTAAAAATGTATTTTGTAACCATGAAACTATGTTTTAATAAAAATAAACGTTTGAATTGGTTGTTTGTTTGTTTTACATTGCCATATAGTTATGTGATAATACCACTTTATTATGAATCAAGGGGTTCTAAGATTTAAATGGGTACTCAAAGCGCCAGCTTAGGCTGTGTTAGTCTTTATAATGTACTTTTATCTGGCTACAGTTCACTTGAAATTATCCATTCACATTCTTGAATTTATATGTTTTCATTGGCAACAATCCATAGGGCCAGCCCATTTCAATCAATTTTACTGATTTGTACTTATGTAGGTAAACACAAACTAATTATTTAGACAGGTTTTCAGAATACTTGCATTGTTTAAATTGTTTTATTTGAAAATTGTATTACATATGCAATCTATAGCTCATTTTAACAATACAATATAATAACAAAACATATATATATTAGTGCAGGAGAAGTATAAATAACATGAATACAAATTAAATAAGTTAATGATAGGTGTTTAAAGTTCATCACATTTTTAGAGAATTTAATACATATGGTTTAACATTCACAAACTATCACGAAACATTCAATGAAATAATTTAAAAACAATGGAGAACACATATTTCATCACAGAATTACAAATTTTATTAAAATACGGATCAGAACGATCCTCTAAAACTTCATACGTACTGTGACAAGCTAAGCAAAGTGTAAAAGACAAGACTACACATGACATTAAGAGTTAAACACATTTTCCAACACATCATGGACAAAACCCAAACAGTATAAATAATTACAATAAACATTTAAGTTCCCAAACACAGATTTCTTAAAGCATTTCTATCTACCTTATACTAAAGATGATTAATGTAACGTAAGTTTAAGCGTGCATGTTAATTGAGAGCCGTTGATGTAAGTACAGCGACGCCTCTCTCATAGAAGCTATGGTGGTCTTGGCCAGGGGCAATGTTGAGGTCTACAGTGAACAACAGTTCAGTTCTTGTAGAGTTTAGGTAAACGGGCAGAGACAACTTCCCTTGCCGGGCTACTTCTGTACCAGCAGAGGCTCTGAAACAACAAAAATACAATGAACCATGGAATTTTACACATGCTCTAACATATACTCTATTTTCTTTATTTACATAACGGACACTTGTAACTTAATTAACTGGGTAGGTGAAAACATAACAAAAGAAAAAGAACATATAAAGTAGGATCACACTGGCAAATTTCTTATTACTAGGCGAGCACCCACTTGCCTAATGAGTGAATAATCTAAGTTTGCCTCAGATGCTACAGCAGGCGGATAAAATATTTGTCATCTGATGCTAGGCTAAAAATGTAACTATTTATTATATATGTTTAACTTCGTAACTGGTCACACTACTTGAAAAAGTGACCAGTTTAAATTTCTCAACAATTATTATGATTGTATAAGGTTTTGTTATATGGGAAATAAATTCATTTATTCATTCATTAATAAAGATTAGTTAATTAATGTTTTGAAATTGGACCCGGCTGTCCTGGGCTGTACGCTGAATTTTTATTCCAGGATTAGTTTTGCCAACAGTGTTATTTGGAGGCTTCTGATTGACTGAGGGAACACTATTACCCCAACGATACGGTTTGATGCCATCGACCTCAGTGGTATAGTAGAGTGCCGGGCTGATAAACTGAAGGAGCCTGGTTCAAATATCACCCATGGCACTATTTTTTTTGTCTTGGATTTTTTCATTATCAGCAAGTTTGGTTGGTTTGGTTAGGTTATGACAGTTTAATTTTATAATTAAAACATTATAAAATTGAATTTGAGCCATTTATAGTTTTATTTTATGAACAGAACTATTTTTTTTATTAAACCTTCATTCGATGTTTCACTATCAGCAAGTTTGGTTAGGTTATGACAGTTTAATTTTATAATTAAAAAATTATAAAGTTGAATTTGAGTCATTTATAATTTTATTTTATGAACAAAACTAATTTTTCAATTAGTAAACCTTCATTATAGTCAATCAGAAGCCTCCAAATGACACTGTTTGCATAACTTATCCTGATTAATAAATTGTGCGGGCTGGACTAAGGATACCACTCATCTTAATCAGCAACAAACAGACACAGTTTTTTCTCACTTAATTTTTTACTCATATTCAGCTTGAAATATGTAGCATTTTGTCCCCTGAATGTAATAGTCCAGGACCTGACTAGGGTTCTGTGTGCATGTCGTGTATAGAGAATTTTGCTTTTGCATTTCAATATAGGTGTCTTAGGAAGTGTTTTCCACTCGGGTGTCAAGTTCGCACCTGGTACGTTTTCGAGCTATGACGTCATCAAAATGGCGGCCATTGATTTTTTTAAATCGTATATTTCGCAAACTATTTGTCGGATCGGAATTATTTTTTTTTCGTTTGAAAGATAATTTTAAATGCTACCTGTTTTACATTTACACATTTGTTGTATGTTTAGTACATTCTTCGTAATTTTGCAAAAACCTGTATTTTTAAATATTTTTGAGTTATTTTTGTTTGTAACGTTTTATTGATACAATTTATCAAAAACCACCAATGAAAAAAGTTGTAGAACGTTTAAAAATCTTTACAAAAATACCAAATTCGATATGTTTTACTCTAAAAATTACGTCAAGAAACTAGATAAATCTCATAAAAACACCAATTTTGGCGCAAAAACGCCTATTAGTCCGGCATCTAGGGCAGTTTCGCCATTCAATGTTGATTTATGTGTCTAAATTAGTGTTTTCAACTCGGGTGTCACGTCTACACCCACTGCAGTTTCCGATTATGACGTCATTAAAATGGCGGAAAGGGCTATATTAAAAATAACGATATTTTACATACAATCGTCATTAATTCAAGTCATTAATTGTTAATTTAATGTTAATTTAATAGATTAATTGAAAATCAACCCAGGCAAATGGAAATTCGCTTAATCGACAGGATTGCTGCACCGGGGGTATTTATAAAGTGGGAACATTTCTATGGACTAATTACATTGATTTGTTGTGCTTTTATTTGCATAAAAGGGGGTAATGGTCTTATTTTAAGTAAAATAGTTGGTGAAATCGTAACATGTAGCAATTTTAAAGACATCATAACCGGAAACTGCAGTGGGTCCAGACGTGACACCCGAGTTAAAAACACTTCTATAGACACATACATCAACATTAAATGGTAAAACTGTCTATATATGACTCGTACATAGCCATCGATGTCGGATTTATATGCGTTTTTGCGCAAAATTAGGTTGTTTTGTACGATTTTCTAGTTTCTTGACGTGATCTTTTGATTAAAGCATATCGAATTTGGTATTTTTGTAAAGCTCTTTTAACGTGCTACAACTTTGTCCTTAAGTTATTTCTGATATATTGTATCAATAAAACGTTATCGACAAAAATAACACAAAAATGTTTAAAAATAAAAGTTTTTGCAAAATTACGAAAAATATACTAAACATAAAACAAAATTGCAAACGTAAGAAAGATAGCATGTAAACTTATCTTTCAAACAAAAAAAAGTTTATTCCGATCCGATACATGGTATGTAAAATATCGTTATTTTTAATATAGCCCTTTCCGCCATTTTAATGACGTCATAACCGGAAACTGCAGTGGGTGCAGACGTGACACCCGAGTTGAAAACACTTATTTAGACACATACATCAACATTGAATGGCGAAACTGTCTTTATAAGACTTGCGAACTGCCCTAGATGCCGGACTAATAGGCGTTTTTGCGCCAAAATTGGTGTTTTTATGAGATTTATCTAGTTTCTTGACATAATCTTTTGAGTAAAACATATCGAATTTGGTATTTTTGTAAAGATTTTTAAACGTTCTACAACTTTTTTCATTGGTGGTTTTTGATAAATTGTATCAATAAAACGTTACAAACAAAAATAACTCAAAAATATTTAATAAATACAGGTTTTTGCAAAATTACGAAGAATGTACTAATCATACAACAAATGTGTAAATGTAAAACAGGTAGCATTTAAAATTATCTTTCAAACAAAAAAAAAATCATTCCGATCCGACAAATAGTTTGCGAAATATACGATTTAAAAAAATCAATGGCCGCCATTTTGATGACGTCATAGCTCGAAAACGTACCAGGTGCGAACTTGACACCCGAGTGGAAAACACTTCCTAAGACACCTATATTGAAATGCAAAAGCAAAATTCTCTATACACGACATGCACACAGAACCCTAGTCAGGTCCTGGACTATAATGACAAATTATACCAGTCAAAGATACAAAAAAGTAGGTTAAAGAAACTGACTTTTCCTTGTAAAAATGAACCTTAACAAAACAAGCTAACAAACTGTATTAAAAACACGTTAATTTTAATTGTAAACTACAAACTAAAAAATTTCATCTGCATTTGATTCAATCATTTAATAATTTCCTCTTGATAATCATTCAGAATAACTCAATAAATTTGAAGCAAATCCAAAAAGTGTTTCACTTTTATCATGTAAAAGCAAAATAATTTCTTTTTTAACCCAATCCAAGCAAACAACCATACACAAGAGAGCCAAATTTTTAGATAAACAAATGGAAATGTGTGGTTTTGAAGTTTAAATGCCAAAAAATTAACTGTAGCCTACAAAATATATTTAGTTTACAAGAAATAGTAAAACTAATTGATTGTCATCTTACTTGGTCCAACGCAGTAGGGTGACTGGTAGATCCATCATGATTGTAGAGGTCAACAACAGCTGATTGTTGCGGCACTGAGCTCCTTGTAGTTTCAACCCTGTCAAACAAACTTGGCTATCAAAGACGAGCAATTTGATTTCTTTAAAACACCGACAGTAACAAAGTAAAAGCTAGAATGGTCAAATCAACAATGGCTATATAAATGTATGATATGTTTGACACAGTACGATATGTTTTCTGTGAAAATAAATTAATATACCTGGGTGCTCCACGAGATGCTATTTTTAGATCAAAATGACAAATTATCAAAATAGTGGAATTTTTGTCAAAATTCTTTTTATATATTTGCTAAACGGTTTCAAATTAATTCTTGATTTTAAAAATTTGACTCAAGTAAATAAAATAAATTAAAGATATTGGAAAAAGGTGAATCAGAAATGAGATGATTTAATTAAAAACCCTTCTTTTGAACTGATTGGTATGGAGTTTTTTTGTGCTAATTTTGTCATTCTGGTCATCAGAATCAAATGAGACAGGGGATATTTCTTTTACATAGGTACTTAACATAACCGGTAGGGTTTACCATTAGTAGCCTATTCAATAAGTTTGGTATATTGATTTAGCAGCCTCTTCGTGGTACATCATTTATATCATTTTTAAATTGTTAAAACATTTATGTCATTTTAAAAAGTAAATGATTTTCAGATTTGGAGTTTGTTCTTTAACAATGTGAAAACTGCCACTGGCATTATGCAGCCCAAAATAGAAAACGGAGCAACAAATATTTCCCCGAGCAAGGTTGACTTACCAATAACACCGAAGCTGCACTCGTCCACACTAGCCTCGTTTGAGTCTGTGATGGTGACATCCAGTATAAGTTCCTCCAGAGACCAGCTGTTAGCCTGGGCAATACATTGTCTGGTGGCCGTCACGTACGCCTCGGGGTTCAACAGACCACCCAGCCACACGGCCATCGTCTGTGGGCAAACACATAACTGTAGGGAACATTTCATCTCTAATATGATACTAATACTAATTGTACACTTTTTTAGGACCAGGACCCTAAAGGTGGTGTTATGAGGACATTAGTTACTGGAGTTACTATAGAAATCTCAAGTATTCAGCCTTACATGTTATCTGGACCTCTATGAGTAGATCAAGTATATTAAAATCGCATACTACTTCCGTAAGATACAACTGTACACTGTAGATTGGAAAGTACATGTTAGGCTTAAGCCACCAGCCACCTACACCAGCCTGACTACTCTCTTATTGTTTGAAAACTTTCATACCACACAATTTGCTATCTCATACCAGAATATCTCTCAGTTAACCCTCAAGTATTAACTAAAGTGCAAGGGAGTGGCGGAGTGATTATTGTTTTTAATAGGATATTAACGTTGAACGTGTTTTTATCAAACAGTGCTAGACAAATTGGTTGTAACTGGTTTGTTATTTGTTTATTTGAAAATCAAAAAGTGGTGTAAGTCTGTACACTAGTGGTTGTTCGAACCATCTAAAGTCTGAACTGATAGGAATGGGAGGGGGTTTTACTGTGCTTAGCAGAAAGATTTTTTGTCATAAATAAAAAACTACAATTTAGTGGAAAATGCAAGTTAATAATATACTCTGACCAGAATAACAGTTTTTCGTTGGAACATTTCACATGTTAATTCCTTCTGATTCCCGAACAATAGATTTTAAAATTGTATTTGGACTTGGTTGTACCTTAATTTCCTTTGCTCCACCCTGGGACACAAGCTGGGATACCTTCTGCAGTTGTTTGACTCGTTGACTGAAGTCTGTGATCCATTGGATAACTGTACAGCCTCGCGGTACGGTGTATCTGTCAATTAAACACACACAGTAAATGAGTGCTTGTTCATAGTTCAAACCTAGCTGTCCTTGAACAGCGCTTTTAATGTATGACCCAACAAACCAAAGGTACTCCATGAATTGTTATCTAATTCCATTCTACATTTTCCAGCAGCATTTTTCACAGGCTTAATAAAGTAGGTTTAAGTGTTTAGCAGTCTTAACCCCTTCGCTTAAAGCGACGGCGATTCGCCGTCGTGCTCCCGCGAGCCATTGTGTGAAGCGACGGCGAATCGCCGTCCGCCATTAAAACCAATATTTGCCGAGTTAGTTCCCAAAAAATCCAACAGATCGCATATGCTTCTTGTTCTGCAAGCTTCAGGCTTTCATTTGGTTGTATTTTCGTCGTCCACGGCCTGCCCAATCGGCAAAAACAATCAATTGAAAATTACGATTTACCAGCTGACGTTGGGAACGTTGTCTTGGCAGCTGTCTGCCTTGTTTGTTTATGTTTACATCGTCATTTCACAACAGTATTTATATTATGTTGAATTCTATTTTTCGTTTGCAAATAGTTGTTTTATAAAATAAATAAGAGATGAGTAACTTTTTATTTGTTGATGAGTGTGGAAGGGAATTGGACGAAAGTGAAATTGCCAAACTAATTGAAGGTGACAGTGACTCAGACAGTGATTGTTATTTATTTGAAGAAAGGCTTGAGAGTGATGATGAATTATTAGAAATAAACAATGAACGTGTAAGTGAAGCATGCAATAGTATAAGTATTGCTGACTGTGAACCTCAAGATTTAGCTGATAATGGTGTGACAGAGCATGCTAGCCCTAGGCCTGTTATAAATAGTGATTGTTTGCATGACCTGCATGTTAGGCCTAAGCCTGTAAATAATGATTGTTTGCATGACCAGCCCTCCTGTAGTTATGCCCGACCTATGTCCCCTCAAAATGTGCCTTATAGGCCTAGTCCTGTGTCCTATGAACAGCAAAGTTCTGATGATGAAAACCCTGTTGGATTTATGGAAAAAATTTACCGAGGTAGGGTAATTGCACCTGCACTATCTCCTACACCCAGTGAGGAGGCTGAGGCTGATGACCCTAGTTTTATTGAAACCATTCCTTGTCAAGTACCTGAGTATAGTAGAGGTGCAACTATTGGTAGATCAAGGGGAAGGGGAAGTAAACGAGGTAGGCCTAAAGGAAAAAATCCTAGTTTAGTGCTACCTAAGCCTACTAAACGTTCTAAGGGCCAACCTAAAACAGCTAAGAAAAAGAAAAAACAAGGTTGGAAATGGACCAACACCATAGAAGACAATAGTATTTTCAAAATACCTTTTACAGGCTGTCCTGGTGTCAGGGCAAGCTTAGCAAGAAATTTAGGCCCTTCTCCATCTGAAGTTGAAGTATTCAACGCGTTTGTCGAGGATGATTTTTGGCAACATGTTTCTACAGAAACGAACAAATACGCCGAAGAGACAATTGAAAAAAATAATGCAAGTGGTAAAGATAAACAGTTACTCTCTGAATGGTTTGAAACAACTCCTGATGAAATGGCATGTTTTTACAGTCTATGTGTTTTGATGTCACTTGTGAAGAAAAGGACCATTCAATCGTATTGGGCCCCTACTGCTACTACTGAGACTCCGTTTTTTCGAAAAGTTATGCCTTTTCGTAGGTTTTTGCTCTTATCAACAATGTTCCATATTTGTGATAATAAAAATAAGCCTCAGAATGACAAACTGTGGAAACTGAGGTATGTCATTGATTACATGAATCAAAAGTTTTCACGGTTATATTTGGCCGATGAAAACATTGCAGTAGATGAAAGCTTGATGAAATTTCGTGGGAGGTTGGGGTATGTGCAATTCAACCCCAAGAAAAGAGCCAGGTTCGGAATCAAATTTTACAAATGTTGTGAGTCAAGCAGTGGATACTGTACAAAATTTAAAATATACACCGGTGCTGAAGTGAAACAAGGCGAAACAGTGGAAGAAGGGGGTGGAGACACTGCTGAGGATGATAAACTTTTGGTGAGCGAGGCCATAGTCATTGAAATGGTCAAGGAATGTTCCGGTAATGGTCATACCCTCACAATTGACAACTGGTATTCCTCACCTCTCCTCTACTATAGATTGAAACATATTGGTTTCAATGTGATCGGCACGGTGAACTCTTGGAGGACAAATATGCCTGACAGCTTCAAAAGTGGAAAACTTGATGTCGGTGAGTATGAAGTTGCGTTTAGCCACGACATGATGGCCCTTAGATGGCAGGACAAGAAAGAAGTGTGTGTCTTGTCTACTTTCCACAGTAAGGGAGACAAAAAAACAACTGGAAAGAGAGACAGAGTCAGCGGTGAGGTGATTACCAAGCCTGAACCCATCCTCTATTACAACAGCTCGATGGGCGGTATCGACCGAGAAGACCAACAGCTCGCTTCTTTTCCTACGATGAGGAGATATGCTAAAGGGTATAAGAAGATTTTTTTTTACATTTTGGACATAGCTCTCTTCAACTCTTATGTTGTTTTTAAAAAAATCACCCAGAAGAAGATAGGATTTGCTGAATTCAAAAGTAAATTTACGGAGCAAGTGTTCCAGACCAGACAACTACCGGCCTACAAACGAAGAGGGCGGCCATCAACATCTGAAACCCCTCTACGGCTTCAAGCAGCTTCTTGGGGTCATTTCCCAAGACAAATCCCACCTAATGAAGTAAAGCAAAACCCATCAAGACGCTGTAAAGTTTGTAGTGCACAAGGGAAGCGTAGTGACAGTCGGTGGGAGTGCGAAATGTGCCTTGTTGCGCTTCACCTACCCGAATGTTTCAAGACATATCATACTAAGTTGAACTTTGCTTGATATCTTTTTGAGTCTACAACATGTCAATCAGTATTTTAAGGCAGAACAGTAAGATATTTTTAACTTTTATAGTCAAAAATTTTTTAAAAAGGCAAAAATAAAAAAAATTTTAAAATTTTTTTTTTGTATTATATGGTATAAAAAAATAATAAAAATACTTGTAACCAATAAAATGTTTGTTTTTTTTAATCTAAATTCAATTCTGATTAGAAAAATAACAGTATTTGATATACAAATACAAAATTCTGAGTGCAGGTAAAAATATTGTAAATTGTGTAAAATTACACAGAAATAATTCATTTTTTTGGCCCGGTTAGGTGTAAAAATAAGTTTAAGCGAAGGGGTTAATCAAGCGATGAAATGTCAAAACTTGAATTCTGGGAGATGACGCATTGAACTGGTGAAAATACAGGGGAGTCACTGTTTACTGTTTACAGACAAAACAAGCTCATAAATTGGCAGCCCTTGCTTCCCCTACTTCATTACCAATGAGCTGCTATGCATTGAAGCATTGTTGTCTACGCGTTTTGTATGAACACATTGATTGATTATTTGAATATCAATATTTTCAAACTATTATAAGGTATTGTATACTTCACATAATAATATCACTATTACCTTCTCCAGCTCGCCGGCAGAATGCCTTTCACAAGATCGCTCAGCATAGCTCTGTGGTAGTTTGTCTGCTTCTTCTCTCCTTGACAAATCGCCACCACATCCTCCAAATCATGAATGACATCTCTGAGCAGTTTTGCGCCAGAGTTCACTTCCCTTTCAAAGTATCGGTACAACGGATCTTTGATGTTTTCCACCGTACGTCTCAGGGTCTGAAACATCATCATAATTATACGTATATTGACAACACATCCCCAAAGTTCTTCAATCTATCATTCCTATGAGTAAACACCAAAACTGACAGCATCAACATACATTATTGTTTTGTAGGCCTACTGATTAAACTAAGAATATTTCCTACATTCAAATTAAATGTAGACTTAATTATAGTTTATTCACAAAATTTACACAGTTTGAGGAAAAGTTTTTTCAGGGTCCCCTTACTACTTTTTTTCTTAATGTATGTTAGAGTATGTAGGTGGAGGGGATGGAATTGCTTACCCTACAACCCTAAATTTGGTGAACAGAGAGTAGCTAAACACAACTATTTTAAGGTCAATACCAGATCTCCCTAACAGCTGAGTTTTCATTAACTAATCAATCTAAATAGGCAAAATGTAATTTTCTGGTGCACATTAATTGTGGAGACCAACCTGGGTAGTTAAGAATGTCCAACAATGAAAAAAAAACTATGTGGTTTAAGATTTAGGCCTACTAGAAAGGTTTAGTAATTAACAGAATGGGTTTTAAACTTTATATGATTTATTTATGAGCAAGAATTATTTTTGCACTTTAAATTTAACTGAATATTTAAAAGTTAGTTTTGAAATTTCAAAAAATTTCAGTCTCGTTTTCTTGGTAAAAATTGAATAACAGGACTATTGTATTGTAATCTGTCTGCAAAGGTTGCATGGTCGGAAATTAACTGTTGCTGTGATAACAGGAGATTCTGGAATCAGTATTGAATCCAATGTCTCAGTTATCAAGACAGTTCGGGTGAAACAGAGGCTCAGTTGGTAACGCCACGTAGGCTACTTTGGGCCCAAGGCAGCGATATCAGTACAGTTCACCCTTGTACTGTACCCGCTCACCCATTGCTTTACAATCCTATTTCAAGGCATTTTTAGCAAAATAATCCATGGCATAATCAAGTTGTTATCACAGTTGACAATTAGTTGTTATCACGGTTTTCCAGCTATGGCGCCCCCCTCTACCAAATACTCCCCTGCAGAAAGAGGGGTCACCTCTGTCCCAGAAAGTTTAAAAAATTACCTGAAAAGGACTATTTACAATAATTAAAGATTAAAGTAGGCCTAGTTAAAAAAAATTGGGTGTTTTAATGGACATTTATTATTATGTCACTCGCCTAATTTATATTTTAGGAATCTGAAACTTTGATCAGAGTGGTGTACTACGCCGCAACCCTGATTTAGGCTGTGATTTAGATTTAGATACACTGTACTGTACTGAAACATGGCAATTTAGCACTCCTTAATCTTTGGCTGGGCTATATCCCAATCAGCCCATATACAAACACAAAGTGGGGCCTGGTTATTAAGTTTTCATATTTGAGTGCGCACTCTGTACCATATGTGTTAATCATCTAACTCATCTTAATCATGTATCATCTGAATTTTAAACTGTCTTTCAGTGGGTGGTTACCTGCAAGTTGTTGGGCAGCAGCTGCAGCCAAGTCTGTGCTGAGTTGTGTAGAGTCCTCATCCATGCAGGTCTGCCGTCAGTGGCTTGGTCCAGACTGGGTGTATCCAGCCTCACAGCATCTTCACTCACATACGCCAACTCATCTTCATCTTCCAGCTGCTGCATCTTCAGTAGCTTGCTCACCAAGTCAGTTCCTGCACAACAATCATGCAATAATGTCTTCCTTGAGGCTTGTTGGGCTCGAGGGATCTCTAGCAATGAGCTTAGTAGTTTTGTCAAGTACTCGGGTATGCTGCCACTGTGGCTTTTAGCATGCTTAGGCATAAGTGTAGGTTGGCCTAATCTGCTGCAGAAGGTGATTTAAAACAAATAAAGGTACTGAACTGATGAACCGGTCAAAGGGGACATGATATTAACATGGAATAAATGGGTACAAGAAAATCGTTGTTAAACTCAGAAATTTATATACCTATTTTGAATAGACTAAAATTTTCTCTAAGTAAATGTAATTTAATTTCAAAGTGACAAGATCACTAGAATTTTTGAAATTCTTTTATGAAAATTACAATTTATCTTCTTAAACAAAATTTGTAACGTCTAATTGTAATTTTTCACTTTTGTTGGGTGGTTTAGCCCCACTCAAAGTTTGTGCCACATTTGACAAGATAACCACTTTTAAGCCCTGGTCCCAGATTGTTTAAGTCAGAATAGCTTAAGAACCAAATTTCCAATTAACGTGTAACAAAAAGCTTTAAAACAATTTGTTAAAGACATTTAAAATATGTAGACACCCTAATATCTCAACTTTCAAAATGTCTCTTTTCAGGGCAGATGCATTTTAAATTTAATCAGTTTAGAAACTAAGAACCCATGATCCAATAAAGCTGGATCCAATTTTTCGATTACGAGACAATCAAAATATCCTCTTCACTAGGCACAGGTATTATTACTAACCCCTAGTGGTGAGTAGCACTTTCTCAGCGTTGTTCGGCAATCCCAACCATGAAGGTGTCTGTCTGTCTGCCAAGTTCTCTATCCAATGGAGGAAATCTCCTCTCTTTGCTCCATCTGGCATTGTAATGTGTCTGCAACATAGAATGCCAAAGAGAGTTAGTGCATACAACAATTAAAATGCAAGTGGAATCATCGTCTTTCAAACAGTTTAGTACAATGAGCTAAGGTATTGATTCTACATTGTCACAGGATGGGATTGAAATATAAACTACAATTTTTTGGTTACAGAAATCTGACAGGGGAAGCGTTGCAACATTCATGAGGAGTGAACGAAGCCGATAGTTGAATGGTTTTCCAGTGAGGATGAAAATCGTTCTGCCAATTAGTAAAGGTCCACAAAAGTTTTAAACCCAGGACAATTTTCACAAAAAGCTCAAGTCATGTCATTTTGTTAGCTTTTATCATTGCGATTGTACAACGCATCCGCGAAGATTGCATGAAGGAATTTAGATTCACCGATTGCATGAGATATAATGATGTACAATATTTCACAAACCAACTATGTAACCATTGATTTTTTTTACTTATACTTTAAGCAACAATATGAGCTATTACACACACCTGCCACTGCCGTCCAGGTTGGCCACCAGAGCAAAGTCTGCCTCGAAGCTCCGAGCAGTGAACAGTTTAGAGAGGAAGGACAGTAGCAGTCTCTGGTCAAAGTCATTGTCTATCTTGCCTCCGTAGATAGACTGAGACAACAGTGTCACTAGTGCGTCCCACGGCACCTTGGCTGGGGGCAGATTGTTGCGGCCCTGCAGACAAACACATTCTCTGAGTCATTTAACCATATTCAGAAAAGTTTAATGCTAAATTAAAATCAATTTTTATCCCCTGAGCTGAGTAATTAAAAATAGGTATTTTCCTTAGTCAACATTTTCCTTCAACTGAATGTTCCACGTCTGACGATGGCATTATAATGCAGAAACGGCCGTAACTCAAGTTACAACAGTTTGAGTTGTAGACGAAGGTAAATACCTATTTTTAATTAATACTCAAACTTAACAAATACGTCGGTGGCAGAAGAAAAAGAAAAGCATCCTATTACAACTATTCTGTGAAAGTAAACACATTTGATTAATTGACCTTAAATATAACTGGCTAAAGAAGTCAATTTTTAAATAGGTAGACAAAAGGATCAGATGATAAAGGTTAATGTATTTTATCTGGCTGATAACAACAAAATTAACTAAAAAATTGAATAATTTAATCGCTATGCGTTCTCTGGTTTGTAGGAATAGTAGTTGATTTAAATAATAAAAAAAAACAATTTAACAAGTAGTGAATGAAGAATTAGCACAAAAATATTGCAAATATAAAACTACATCACAGCCTACCATTGCAATTGTGTCTATCCAGGTATCCAGAGTATCACAAGCCACTCGAAGGTCACTCTCGTTAAACTCGTAATACTTGGCCCATCCGAGTGGTACGTAGCGTAGTCGCTCCTGTACGATAGCGTGGAACCAAGCTAGCAGGAAGTATAGGCGAGCTCGCTCATTGGGCGCCTTCATCATGCGAGACGCAGGAACCTACAATGAAACCAAAATTTTATTAAAAACAATCAAATGGATCGACACTCGTACTGTGTAGGGATACAAGACAATATAGGCCTAGAATCAATGATAACCTACAAAACTGAGCAAAGTGATGTGTATATCGCAAACAAATATTTTGAAAGCTCATATAAATGTCAAGTCACAATTAATTGGTTCAATACAGACAGTTTTGTCTATTTCGCTTAAAATATTGTATCAAAATTTAAAATACAACAAACATAACATTTTGCAAAGAAAAATTGAATTATTCACTGAACTTTTAGTGTTGAAATTGTTTCTTTGTATAAATATAACAAGTTTTTTAAATAAATGTAGTGTATATTTGATTTTAGTTATTAAAGTATTCATTTGACTTTGTTCAACATTGTTTATTTATGGACTCATTTGTACAATTATACTACCTCAATTTTGCTTGACAGATATAGTTTTGACCTTCGTATAATCAATAATTGGTTTATAAAATTACAGCTTAAAATTTTTAACTAGTACAAAGACCTTGGATATTGTAGGCCTAGTTAAGAGTGAAACCCATAAAGTCCTTACTTCTAGTTTTAAAATATTATTTTTATTTAGAGAAGGTCTCGCTACAGATACACAACATACATTGAACAAATTTGTATTTGTAATAAAAACTGGTGGCGTGTCAAAACTGAACAGTAATCTAATTTAGTGTTGTTCTTAGATCTTAGTAAAAAAGTTTTTTTTACATTTAAAGTGTATTAGTTACATATTCATGTTTCATGAATGACGTTTTATGATGTTTCATGTGTCATGTTGATGGTCAGAAGTCAAATTTCTTTCAGTTTTGAATGCATGATAAATATTTAATTATAACCCCTGTCTATATTATTTGTATCCTTAACCAAGTTTTGTTTGGATATCGATATTTAGGATCAAGGATTGGATGTTTTAATTTTTTTGTTTTGAGATTGCCAATTCCTGTATTCGACCATCGCTGACACGTACCGTACTGAATGTTCGCAGCAGGTTCGCCCTGATGCCAGGAGGAGGTTCAACTACAAAGATGCGACCAGCTCTCAGCAAGTTGACGGGCAGCTTGGGGTTGATCTCCATGGTGAGGAACAGACGGAAGTTAGCATGAGGTTGTAGACTGTGCAGCTTCTTCTCTAACTGTACCAGCCAATGAGGCGCCAGGTGCACGTTCTTCAGTAACACCCACCTGTAGGAAAAGGAACACATTTGCTACAGTATCTCGGGATCATTTATTACACCTCTTTGAACTTATTATTTTTCATCAGTAACTTTATAAATTAATTAAGTTTAGTTTTTTAAGAGTTTTCAGTTTATCTTTTCTTCAACCAAGGAAGGTACAAGTTGAGGAAAGATATTTTCAGACCTGAAAACGCTGTCAGTGGCAGCTAAATGTTTTTATTTTTGGGTATAGTGGAGAGTTTTTTAAAGGGACTCTTTCTTACTCAGGTAGTATATTTAACAAACACATAAACAACTAAGAAAATATAATCATAAGATAATAAAAATAATATGAATATTTAAAACAATTGTTAGATAATTAACAGTACTTTGTTTGGTATTATACGGAGACCACATATTTTACAGCGCGCTGCGGCGGTTATGTTAGGTTGTGTTATCATAAATATGTTTGTAGGACTTTCCTGGATTTATCAAACTATACCAGATGAGTCATACTTTCTATTTATGATAACCCAACCTAACATAATCGCAGCAGTGCGCTGTATGAGGGGGGCCTCCGTATACAGTAGACTCTCGCTCATCCGGACTAATGAGGCGGACGTCCGGTCCGGATTACGAAAAATCCAGACTATCGAGAGTCAAGCAAATACACAGTACTGTATATAGCTGTTTTTTTTTTCAATTTTGTTCTAGGTCCACAGTATTGATAGCCGGGCATATGCACTTCCACCAATAATAATTTTTACCGTCGTGTTATCCGATTTTTTTGTTTATTCGAGGTAGTCTCAGTCCCGTTTAGCTCAGGTAATCGGACTTCTAGTGTACTGAGCAGCTAAAAAAAATCAAAATTGCCGATCCGGCCTACCAGAAGTCTGGACAAGGCCGATCCGGATGAGCGAGAGTCTACTGTAATACCAATGTACCTAATTATCACTACTAATTTACAAAAAAAATTTGATTGTAGATTTATACCATGAAGAGAGATTTACCTAATTTAATCAGTAGGGGTGTGCGAGTATTCGAACATCGAGCTTTTTCGAGCCGAATAGGACGCTATTCGGCTCGGCTCGTGATTTCAAAAAGTTCGAAATGTTCGAGCCGAATACTTATTGAACTAGCAAATAAAAATTAAATTAATAAATAAGGAACTAACTTTCATTTAAATTTACTCTCCTCCGTTTCATAATTGTGTCTTGATAAGCACGAACCTCAGCTCAGTCAAGACGCAATGAAATGATTATCGATCGTAATTTTGAGGAAACTACCACCTATCGCGTTGTCTTTCTAACACAACTATTCGTATCGTAATATGCGACGCAGTGCGAGTGCGTGATTGGCTAAGTCGCTATGACGACACACGGTTGCCGTGGCAACCTACAGTGCGCACTGAGCACTGCGCCTTGTGTGGGAGGGGAGATTATACCAACAAACTATTTCAGGAATTCTATTTTGGGACGGATGAAAGATAAGGAAGAAACAAAAAGTGGTCACGTGTGCAAATGTAGTGGGCGAGACAATAAGGCTGTAAACGAGTATCGTCGTGTCGTTGTTCCTTGTTTGTTTACTTTTTCAGATTCCTTATCAAACTCCTTATCATCAAACTTCCTTATCTGCTATCTCTCTTTCTCTCTCTCTCTAACAATGTACTGATTAAACAGATTGTGTTTGACGACTTTTCTACTTATAAGTTTCCCTGCGGTTATTTTAGTTCAATCAATCCCATAACCTTTCTAATGTTTATCAAAATAATTAATTAATATGTTTTGTATTTTATTTCCTTTAAACCAACCCCTATTTACCATCTGTATTTTATAGAATAAAATGTTTGTTTAGGCCTATAAAGTTTGACTGGCCACACAATTTTGTACCTATTTTATTTTTTATAAAGTAACAGTTACTTTGAGGATTATATATATATATCAATAAGTGGCGCGTGCTGTAATGAGTGCTTTTTATTATAAAAATAAGTAATGAGTTATTAATTTTTGATAGTACATGGGTCATTGAATTTAATTCTATTAAATGAATTAAACTGAACCTGTATGGTTCAGAAAATTGGATCTTAAGCAAGAAATCAGAAAGGAAAGCTATTGTATTTGAGAACAAGATTTTGAGGAAAGTGTACGGACCGATTTTTGAGGATGGACAATGGAGATCGAGACATAATTGGGAACTTAGAGAATTATTTAAGGATCCGGATATTGTCGCTGAGGTACGGAGCAGAAGACTGAGATGGGCAGGGCATATTCTAAGAAAAGATGACAACTCCCTATCAAAGAACATCTTGAGGAATAACCCAGAAGGTAGAAGACCCCTTGGAAGACCGAAACTTAGATGGTTCGACCAAGTGGAGAAAGACCTGAGGAAGCTAGGGAGAAGGAAGGAAGATGCAAGAAGCAGAGACCTATGGAGGCAGTGTGTTGGGGAGGCCAAGTACCATCTAGGGTACCAGTGGCCACAGCAGTAAGTAAGTAAGTACATGGGTCATTGAATACCATAATGTGATGTAGTTTCCTATTTGTATCTTGCAAATAAATAATAATTGATAGTTAATTCTGGAAATGAAAAATAGTGATCGCATTCATAAACCTGTTGTCAAAACAGCAACGAGGGTGTAAGGGTTTATTGTTTCAGACGCAAGGGTGTTTCAAGGACAAAGTGTTGGGCCACCCGGATTGGGGGGGAGGGGGGCGGTGAGACTGTGTGAAGGGGAGGAAACTGGTTTTGGCTATTTATTGATTAGTTCGCCGACCCTTCTAGATAACAAAATTGAGTGACAGTGTTAAATCATCGTGTTCTGCATTTCATTTCTTGTTTACTTTGTGTGTTATTCTATTAATTCTAGTGCTTTGGTCTATTTCCTCTATATGTCAATTATATCATTTTTAATATATAAGTAAAACTTGTCTCTCCACCTTTTTGGATCCAAACCAACCATGTTCTTTTTTGATTAATAGGATTCATAAAACAAAAATATTTTGTGCATGGAAAACAACAAGAATAATCACGTGTTTTTAAATTTATTTTGTATTTATTTATACAAAATAGAATTAAATATTCATAGTAGTTACAATATACATATGTAATCGACTTGCTAGTTGTTTTGTCGTCATTCAAGGTCGAGTTGCTGTTCTGTTATGAAAGACAATCTGATTGTCTCAGTCTGCACTGCATATCTCTTCAGGCCTTCAATCGATATCCTTTTATTTCTTGCATCTTCATTTAGTTCAGTTCAGTTCTTATCGTGATTATCTACTATTTGATGTCTTGACAATTCTCAATGATTTTAAACATATTAAAATAACATTGTGTTTATTTAAAAATTGACTGAACATTATTATTATTATGCACTTTTTTAAGAAAAAAAGTTTAATAATTAAGATAAGGTTCCGCTAGGAAAAGCTCGGCTCAAAAAAGCTCGAGCTCGAACATTTTTTAAAAAGCTCGGCTCGGCTCGGCTCGAGGTTGAAAATCACTATTCGCACACCCCTATTAATCAGGCTAAAATATATCTATCTATAAAAGTAGCCTGTTTCAAGTTCATTTTATTAAGCTTTGTACATACATTTTTCACGGTTTGACAGTGGTTGAAAAATTAATCGGGAGGCGACCAGTTGTCAAATTACAATTTACATTAAAAGCCAGTATAAAGAAAGTTGGAAAGCCAAGTGTTGGGGTCTTTCCATAGGGTCCTCTAGAAAAAAATCAAAGGCTAGTTTAACTTTCATTTGTCCGCTAGATCATACACTTAAATATGACCGGTCAAACGCAAACATCGGTTTAATAGGACGGGTGAATATTGTAGAGAAAATCCTTGATTTATCAAGTAAATACAGTAGATGATAATAATAAAATATTGATAACGAAGACACTCACTTGCCAGATCTGACAGCCACGTTGATCACACTGTCCGCCTGGTTGAAGCCCTCCGCAGAGCCGATGGCAATGCTTGCGATCTGTTTACTCTTCTCTGCGGCCAGGTCGTCCACACGAGAGCTAGCGTCAAACCCAGGCACTGAACACAGCAGCACTGGCACTCCCGCACTGATCTCTGTCTCCACTGTACGCAATACAACTGGTGAGAGATCTTTCAAACACATAGACTTATCTTTACATGGTACCACTGACTTAGGATACTGAGCTAGGAATCCCATTTATGTGAATCAGCTAAATCCAACCTCTCATTCCAAAAGAATGAGTCATTGTTAAATGACACATTATGAGTCACTCACACAATTTGCTACAAAATTACATTTTCTCCTTCAGTTGTTTGAACTATTATGGTAGAATATCAACAACCACTAACCAATATCCCCAAGGTCCAGTTCCCGCTCGGCTGCTTGAGTGAAATGTTCCCCGAGAACTTCAGACACAAATACATGTCCGGCAGCCATTACTCTGTCTGGCCGGAACGCCTGCAAACAACCAACACTCACATAAGTAGCCACACTTAATTTAATGTTTTAAATGTATAAATTTGTTGTGTTGGAATATGTGTGTTTAGAAAGCAATCATCTACAAACGGTTTTCTTTCACCATTATTTGTTCCTGAATGGTTACTGAAAAAGGTTCTTGAAATACAAAGTAGCAATTAAAAATGATGGTAAAATCATAAATTTCCTAAACTCAGGTGAGTTTACACAAGTTAACCTTTTAATATTGTAGATTGGATTAACTGAGGCTAACTATCCAGGGTGCGTATTTTAAAGGCTAACTAACGTAAGTGAATGATGAATCTTGAATTAATTATTATTCAGAAAGATTCTGCTAAGCAACAAATATCAATTCCAAGAGCTTATGGAAAAGAATTTCCTCCCAGATCCCATGGAAAGGATTAGGTTTAATAGAAGAGTATTCTCTTTTTGGACCTCATAAAAAGGATTTCTCCTAGAGCTCAGTAGTATTCCTTTCTGAAACTCATGAAGATGTAATTCCTTCTTTAGCTTATGAAGGGTTACTTGTTACTTCTTTTAGCTCTCTTGGAAGGATTCCAAGAGAAGTTCCTCATAGAGTTTCGTCAAAGTGTATTACCTCCTCCACAGCTCATATCTAGATAGGCTACACCATGATTGGACCCACCTGTATGACCAGCAGCTGATGCATGGCCGTCTGTACAGCTGTCAATGGCTTCTCCTCCTGCCACAGCCTAGGCACTGCTTGCTCCGGGGTTCCTTGTTGTAGCCAAGCACCAAACTCTGGCATCTCGTCTATCTTCTTCTGCATCCCTCGAAAAGCTGGCATCCTGTACAAGATAAAAGTTGATTTTACATTAGGTTCTCACAACAAAGCAGTATCAAGTATCGAATTAGGACCACCACATTTTAGTTTTAAGAGTTAACCTATATCTAGATTCTAAATCCAACTGATTAATTTCCAAACACTTAAACTGACCTTGTGGAAAGCCGCAGCATCGCTTCAGCCTGTTCCTGAGTGAGGCCGTCGATGCTGGGAACCTGCTCATTGCCTGTGACACCCTCTTTGCCTCTCAGGAAGAAGTGGAACTCCTGGTCTAGGGATGGCTCTGACGGTACACCCTTCAGATGGATTCGACACAACAGCAGAGCCAATACCAGGTGATCAGTGTGTAACATCCCACGAGCCACACGCTCATAACAAACCTGGACAAAACAGTGAGATTGGTGATGCTTGGCACAGTCCACTGAATGAACAAGCAGGTACACCCTTCAGATGGATTCGACACAACAGCAGAGCCAACACCAGGTGATCAGTGTGTAACATCCCACGAGCCACACGCTCATAACAAACCTGGACAAAACAGTGAGATTGGTGATGCTTGGCACAGTCCACTGTATGAACAAGCAGGTACACCCTTCAGATGGATTCGACACAACAGCAGAGCCAACACCAGGTGATCAGTGTGTAACATCCCACGAGCCACACGCTCATAACAAACCTGGACAAAACAGTGAGATTAGTGATGCTTGGCACAGTCCACTGAATGAACAAGCAGGTACACCCTTCAGATGGATTCGACACAACAGCAGAGCCAACACCAGGTGATCAGTGTGTAACATCCCACGAGCCACACGCTCATAACAAACCTGGACAAAACAGTGAGATTAGTGATGCTTGGCACAGTCCACTGAATGAACAAGCAGGTACACCCTTCAGATGGATTCGACACAACAGCAGAGCCAACACCAGGTGATCAGTGTGTAACATCCCACGAGCCACACGCTCATAACAAACCTGGACAAGACAGTGAGATTAGTGATGCTTGGCACAGTCCACTGAATGAACAAACCAATACACCTACCTAAAGGTTAGGCTACACTTGACAGGAAATATGAAAACGAAACGGGCAGACGTTTTTTAGTGAATCCTTTAAAGTGCATTCGATGATTCGATTAAGGTAAAGAAGCATTAAGGTTAAGTGTAAGAGAGAGCCATGTGGCTCTAACTGGTGTAAATAAACAATTTCTCATTTTATTTCATTTAATTTTTAATTGACATTTTCTAGCTGTCGTGTTTTCTTTTGATGTGTGTTGTATTTTTCCCCATCTAGCTTTTAGCTACAGCCACTTGGACAAAACTAGACAGGAAAGAAGACCAAAAAGGGACACTGACAGAAACATTCAGGTGCTCTATCAGGAATTCTTCAGATGCCTGGTACCTTTTGTTACAGGTGCTGTAAACAAAAGAAAATGTCCCTGCCAGTTTCCTTTCCGTGCCCTGTATAGTATAGTATGAGTATGGGCCTTACTGCCAGAATCTGCCATTGTCGTTTGCTTTCCTTTTCATGTCCCGTCTGTTTCCTTTTCTGTCTAGTGAATCCATAATGCTCATTATGTGGTTTTGGAGTATTACGGTGCATTCCAACTGTTACAAAGTCACAATACGGGTAGTTTTCTAAACCAATTTTCACTTACATTAAACAGCTGCTTGGTGATGACCGCCAGACGCTGACTATAGTCCGAGATGTCTGTGAGATGTTTGTTGTTGAACAACACAGAGTTGAAGATGTCCAAGAAGAACTTGAGAGAATACTGATACAGGAAGTGGACCTGATTCAGACTGTCCATGGTGAAGTACATGTTGCTGCAAGCCTGCAAACAGTCATATATGTTTAAACTTAATTGTTAGTGATGGTAATTGTTGATTAATTAGGCTATCTTACTTTTGCCTGCAGTCAACCGTTTTCATCAGCCAGTGCTGACTAGTTTTGTTTCAGATGAACATTGTCAAAGCATGCAACATATCCAAACATCAAAATAAATAAATACATAAAACACGGACATAATCTGTAATGAACAAGGATAACACTATCATACCGATCAGTCACTGGTATGATAGGCACTGATAAGAACTGATAGGTATCTTTTAAGATTAGTTTTGTTCAAAGAAAGGCTCTAGGCCTTTTCTTTTGAATCGTAGAAAAAACTCTAGGCTACCACTTTTTTAATACTTAACAAAGACCCTAAATATTATATGCACAGTGTCTCTTCTATATGTTCTATTTGGCCTCAAGGTAAGCTAGCTGCTATCCTCCTTGATCAGTATCTTTGTTTGTGTTATGTTTGTGCTTTGTGTCTTGTTTAAGGGGTTGTCTCACTCAGAAGCAGAACAGAATTTAATTGTACTCAACTCAACTGTCCAAATGGACAGTGGGATAACATGGAAGATCGGATGGCTCAAGGTTAATTGGTGTGGACTAGTGAAAGACTCCAAGTATCTAATGTGACTCTCAATGTTGAGAAAGTGCCAGTGGCCTCGAAATATACAGTGTTTCTTTTGTGTTTTCTTGAGTGTTTCTGTAATGAAGTGGGATGCCTACATTTCTAAAGGTAAGCCTGCTTATCATATCCTTTGTCTCCCTTATTCTTATGTAATAGGCCTAAACATTTTCAATTCAAACCTGAGTAATACTTTAATAATGCCTACAGTTAAGAAGTAATACAGTATGAAACTAATTCAAAAAGTTCACCAACCTGAGACAAAGGTTTGTACTGTTGAGAGACTGTTTCGATTTCAGCGATGACCTTATCAGTCTCTTCGACTTTGAGTCCGATATCAGCCGCTTCTTGTTTCAACGTCTCCAAGGTTGTGATAACTGAATCGTCGTCCAGAATTTTACCCTTTGCTTCATTGAGGGCCTGCAGAAGAGACTTCTCCAACTGACGAAGTCGCAAGTGGAACTCACCTATTTCATGAAATTTGACTTTAAAACTTGATTTGATTGAAAAATTTTATTGGATTGGTTTGAAAAGCTTTAAACTTTTTTTATGCCAATTTTTATATAGGCTAGATTAGTTCAAAAAAATAAAGGTATAGATTGTTTGTGTAAAAAATAGTGGATATCTGATAAACAAAACGTTCTTGGAAATAAAATCATTTTGATTTTCTCTTGATTAACCTTTTTAACCATTTCCTGTTGTTTGGCACTTTACTTACTGAACATTCTGTACAGTCAAAACTAGTCGCCCTATAGCAACATTGTTGATTACAGGTACATGGACCATTTAACTAACTTCTTCCAAACGTAGCATCTAACATACCTTGCAGTTTGAGCAGATCAGATCTCTTCGCGTCAATGTCCGGTCGTTCCGCCTTGAGCACCTGGTTAAGACACTGGGACTGTAGCGAGCTCCGTGTCACTGTGAAGTTGACGAACGTGACTCTGGAGCAGATGTCCGGAGGAAACTCCACTGTCGGGTCTCGAGTTGACAGGAAGATGATGAATGTGGGTGACAGATCGATGTCTTGGTCTCCCAACGTGATCAGCACTCGCCCTCCAGTACGGCGCAGCTCTCGGTTCAGCACAGGGTTCAGGATGGGGTCGTAGTTTTCAACGTCCTTTCAAACAAAATTGTTGTGGTTAGTTCCTCCAATGAAATTATTGTGTGCGGGAATGCATGCCAAAATATTTTTGGGCTTCAAAAGAAAGATATTAGAATTATAGCCAAAAATACACCAAGATATCTAAAACCATCTTCTATGGATTTTAAGTTTTAACATTTTAAGATCAGATCACTATATACTTGAAATGGTCTTTTCCATTCTTCCATTCTTAGGGAGGATCACACAGATTTGATGTACAAAAATGTGTAAAATTGATGTAAAATAACACTAAACATTGGAGCTTAATTAAGCCTTCTTAGCCATATGTTTATTGACAACTGTTTGAAGCATCACTTCAGTGTATTGGTCCAAAATTGTCTAGCTTGGTTCCAGATTTAAAAAACTTCAACTTCCAGAAATGTAAAAATTTTCTGAAATCCAACAAATTAAAAAAAAAAAATTGTGAAGGATGGTTGCAGACAAAGGTTTTTATTCTTTGAATGAATATTTGAAATGTTAAAATTGTTTTGTTCGGTTTTGAAGTTTTTAGTATCATAATATTGACATTTGTCCTGTCATTTTATGAAGACATTCTGTAAATAGATAAAAACTTTGCTATCTGTTAATTAAAATCCTATTATAAAAAGTCTTAACTAAAAAAAACCATCAATACCTGCACAAGAAGAGGGTTTCCAAAACGCAGAGCAGATTCCAAATTCTTGCGGAAAGAGTCGTTTAAGAAACTCGTTTTGGTGATCTTGCGGTCTCGGAACTCGTTCATGATGAACTCCGTAGCTTGACCTGACGGGTCGATGATGAGCGGATAGCGGTTGAATCTCTGAATGATAAAATGTAGATAAATTACAAATGCACTCAAAGTAAAACTTGAATACTGTCTTTGCTTTGGGATTAACAATTATTAACATGGTTTAAACCTTTTGTTTGACCAATACCCAACAATACTTCAATTTGTATGTTAAATATTAACAGGTGTAACTGTGTGTGGTATGTGTGCTTTGTTTCAGTTTTACATTGATTGATATACGTTATGGACACACAACTAAAATATAGGGATGGTCAAGTCTCAAAATTTCGGGAAATTTTAAATCTCGTTACACGAGACGAGATTTCTTTTTGGCCGAGATTTTTATCAAGACGAGAATAAAAAAAAAAAAAAAAATTTAAAACGCCTGCAGAAAGTCAATGCAATACCCGCAATACAGGAGTGTGTTGTAGTTGCGTTTCCTTTGCGAAGGCATTCTTATTTAATTAATTCTTTAAATGTAAATATTACTTTAATTATTTTAATAATATTACTTTAATAACATTTGAGAAGTTTTGTTAAGTGTAAGCAGTGTGAGGAATGTTTTATTACTATAAAAAGTCAAAACAAGTACCTAACTATTTTATCAAAATTAATATTGCTTTTATTTTATGATTTATTTTATTTTAGGATAAATTTAACTCTATCCTAACTGATATCACTATGTTTCCTAATCGTAGGCTTTTTTAATAAGTTAGGCGTGATTAATAAAAAAATGTTATGCTGATGTTTTTTAATAAAAGATTGTAAATATTCTTGCCTATTATCATTATTTTTGTATTTAAACAGTCATCTAACAATGTTACAAAATCAGGTAAAAATTTTGAACGTGCATTTCCCGTTGTGTATGAGAAGGGAAATCCCGTCTCGATCTCGTCTCGAAATTTTATGAGAAATAAAAAATCTCGTCTCGTCTTGTCTCAAACTAAAAATCCAATCTCGTCCATCCCTACTAAAATATAAAAAAAATTAGTAGAACAAAGTATAAAAATCATTATGTTTGCCTACCCTCTATTAGTACGTACTAATTAATTGTTACTATACCTCACAGTTAAAATTTGATTGGTTTATCTTTTGTGATTTTCCAACTTTGGCTGGGCTTGTCTACTAACCTTGGATTGGACGAAAGTATCGTTTTGGAAACTTGATAAATTGCCGTACTTACCAAGCATCACACGTCAACATTTATCTCAAGTTTAAAAAAGTGCCACTTTGCCTGGTTAAAAGTTGTAAAAATAAATATTTTTTCAATAATTGTGATGAAGTATATTATGCTCAAAATTATTTCCTCTTATTGTACCAATAAAGCCTTTCTAATGTAGATTTACAATACCTTAAGCATGATAGCATTCTCAGTACACAAGTCGTCTGTAGGAAGTGCGTTTGCTTGCCAACGTAACCTGTCGTCTGGGTTGCTGAGGTACTCGGTAAGAGCAATGTCCGGGCGAAAACTGAGGCCAGCCTGGGTCAGGTGCTGACACCACGCGGAGAACAGGTTGTGTCGGTACTGCCAACATAACAGAGCTGTAGTAGTTATATAAATGTATGGTTATATATGGAATAAAGACATTTTCAACTCAATCCAACAAAGTTTAAGTGTTTATGGTTTACAATGAACCATAAACATAACAGAGCACTAGGCCCTAAAGGTTAAGGGCTATATTTATAAAATAAATTCATTCTAAAACAATTAGCATAAAGTCACACTTTTTTAAAATATTACAAACTAACCCCTCTAAAAATTGTGTTTAGGGGAAAAAATCAGAACATTAAATATAGTTTTTTATGGGAAAATAAAATTTTGGGACTAAACACTGCACAATCCTGTTATGAACCATCATCTACCTAGTAATATTTGCATGGCCTATAACCAAACATTTTAAAACAACACAAGTTTCTAATTTTTTTGTTCAAAACAAGTAGCCTATACAACAGTTTTACAAAGATAGGCACCGTGTAAATGTATATTCAGATTACAGTTTGATGTCGCACTCACATGTTGGTCAAAGTACCCAGCGTAGGCTAGGTAGGCGGAGGACAGCAGCACGTCTCCAATGATGGTGGCCATCTGAGACTTGAACGTCTCACTGGTCGCCTCCCACCTCTCACGCTCAATACCTAGAGACTTGAGTAGTGCGATGGATCTGTCCACCTGTAAAACACATATTACTGTGAGACAAGCTAGAGAGGCTAGGCTTAACTTCCATGGAAATACAACACAGCTATTTTTCAGCTTTCCACCCTCATGACATCTACGTGTCTCAAGAGATCTCATGCAAGAATACTCAAACATGTGGAAGGTCTAACTATCTCACAGCATTTACTGCACAAAATACTCTTAAATAGCAATTCCTTCTTGTTTAAGTGGTCACAAAAACATAAAAAAACTGTATATAATAGTTACAAAGAACGAACAATAATTGCTTGAGCCATTTTTCCTTTCCAAGAAACTAGTCACAAAATAGATTGTATTTTTATCGTCGTACCTTAGCCTTCACACAGTCCAGGTCCGTCTTGATGATTGACGCCTCCTCTACCAGTAGTCTGTATTCCTCCTTGTACGCTGCGATGCTCTCCTCCAGTTTGGCTATCAGTGTCGTCGTCGCTTCACCTTTCGTCTGGTTCTCCGTGGCTTGCATCTGCAGCGATCGCAACTCTTCCCTCAGCGGTTCCACCTTCTTCAGCATGTCGGCGTAACTCACCTGAATGTAACACAGATGAGAGCGTCTGATACTTTGAGGAATATTTTTTAAGCTTCGAAACTCTTGTGGATTAATTGGCTTTTTAACTAAGTTATTATATTATAAAACTTCTTCAAGCAGCCGATCCCCCAAGTAAAATCCTTTAGTGATAGTCATTATACAATACTAAAGAAAATACTTGTGTTATTTATCTTAAAATAAAATCTAAAAGAAAATTGTGTCCCCCTCATAAAGCTAACTCTAAGCCGCTAAGCCGTTTAACCCATTGACGACGACTCTTACGTGTGTAGCCCATCATAGCATTTTGCCGCCAGATAGTATGCTAACCTGCTGGCCTTCAAGTAGTACATCGAATCCAACATACGAGCGCTAATGTTGTTGTGTGCTTATAGTGACAATCAACCTGTTCGGCTGAGGGTGACATGGTAGCCAAGTTGGCTAAGGTGTTGCACTAACGAGTGTAGCGATGAGGTCTTCCTACATGTGCGTGTTCGAATCCCCTACATGTGCAATCCATATTGAGTTTGCTAATGTGTGGCTTAGCTGGAATGCAGGGCCCACCTCAAATAAACGGTGTCTGGCTTGGGTAGAAATTGTTGAAGGTGTTAGTAAGATTAATGAGTATTGCACACAACACTTGTTAAGCATCTTTTTACAATAGAAATTGGAGGAGGCAGATTTTCCCTTCTTGGATTTTACTTCGGTTAATAATGAATGGATATATCGTGTTAAAATTCATGATAATAGATATATAAAAGGATATAAGCTAAAAATAATTATTAATAGAGGAATAAACAAATTGTCCAGGTCCTAGACGAAGTAACATTGACACATTGTTCCCACAGTTACTGTACCTGTGCCACTGCCCATTTCACCATGGGACCACAAGCCATGGACGCTCTGTTGACCTTCTCAAACGTATACTCCGGATTGCTCAGATAGCGAGTGTGCATCTTCTCTCTGACGTCATCTCTGTAACATGGCGAGACAATGGTGAGATTAAATAGTGCAACTTGATTTCATTGGCCATAGAAAATGGTATATTGGTATGGTATAATGAAAACGGTATATTTCCTATTAAAATCTTGGTAAACTTGGACAGTATGATGTTGTTGAAACTGGAAATTGCTAATCACAAAACAAAGCCGAAACAGAAAATTTATAAATCAAAATTTGAAACTCGAATTGAACATAAAACGCAAAAACTATTTTACTTGCCTGACTAAGGTTACAAAAAATACAGGTAATAATAAAATGATGCAATCAAAACTGAGGAAATCAGTCTCCTGACGATGACATAAATATCAGTTTTGTATGAACAACAAACACTGAAATAAATTACAATGACACTGACATAATAACATGAATAGGAGATGAACACTTAATTGATTCAATACTTGGTCTTAAATCTCAAAACTTGCTTCTCAGGTTTGGGGAATTGGTTCTGTCACATAAATTAATGTAGTAAGATGTAATTAAAACAAATATAAATAACTTGATAATTTATTGTTAATAATATTTCAGTAACAAAATTGTAACCCTTCCTAAAAATAATATTTTTTTGTCATCCAACAGTCAGAGGGATAAATATTAATATTGAGTGGTTCTAATATAGTATGGTTAAATATTGCAAAAACAACCCCACATTTAATATTTAAAGAGGCATTAAAAACGAATGGCTTTGAAAACAGTATTTTTTTACCAATTAAAAGTTCTCAGCCATTACTTAGTAAACATTCAAAAACAAATTTATTTTCTATCTAAATAGTTTCTTATTACTAAGCATTAAATCAATACCGTAAGCCTTTAAATATTTAGAAAAGATTAAAATATTAAAACTTTGATTTCAGAAATTAACATGCAAGCTTAAGGGGTTAGTGTTTGTATAAAGCTCAATAAAGATATAAATATATGCTATATAACAACAAAATAATGAAACATGAGTTTAAAAAAACTAAATAAATACACAAAATTACACATCAGCCCATGCACATAGAGATTCATTTGAAATATTATTGAGAAATCTCGGATATCACAACATTACATTCAACACTTCAAACTGATTAGAGTTTATAGAGTTTTTTTATGTCCCACCTTCACATTCTAGGACGCTAGTTCTAGCCTGGACTTCAGGCTAGTACATGGGTTACGGCATTATCACATGGATAAAATCCTGAAGTAATGTGTAAAACAGGGAACTAGAGTCCTAGAATGCCAAGGTGGGACATAAAAAAATAAATAAAAAACTGTTAACTCTAATCAGTTTGAAGTGGTGAATGTAATTTTGATATTCAACAGTTTACAGAATAAAAAGTTTTTTCATAAAAATCTTATACAAGCTTTATACATTATTTAAACAATTTCTTAAATTTGTTTGATGCGGTGAATGTAATTTTGATATTCAACAGTTTACAGAATAAAAAGTTTTTTCATAAAAATCTTATACAAGCTTTATACATTATTTAAACAATTTGATGCAAGACAACATTCTGATTAATACTTACCAAAACGTCTCTTAACTGTTGTAAGCTGACATGTCAAACTTACGTGATATTCTCCGTGGAGAAGTTGTTTACGATGCTGTTGATGAAGTTTTCCCTCATTACCACAGTTCTGATTGCCTTCCAGTCCGCCACGTTCTCTCCCAGCAGTAGACAGATGGATTCCAACGCCATCTTGACTACGGCTGGTGGGTTAGCCATAGACCTCACCTCTACCAACTGTTGCTTCTTAATCTCCTTCACAGCTACACGGACATGCAAACAACGTCATGCACTGGAGTCACATTCCCAAAGGAATAAAAGCAAAAAGAATGCCTCTTAGGGAGGAAACAAGAATAAAAATGAAATAGTTGGTAGATTTTTGTGTGAAAAATAGAACCGTAATTGTGGAAATAAAAATGTCTTGTTCTCTAGAAGGCGAAAGGAAAGGTTATTTGATGGAAGAAACAAAAATAACACTAATAGTACATTAAATGGATTTTAGTGTTTAGAATAATAAAATCCCAATTTGTTTGAAGTTTTTACGTAGCTGGTGTAGCAGTATAGCGCTTTTAAAATAAATTTAAATTTTCATTAAGTTATGTGTGAATATGTATGATGAGAAAAAGATTTCTCGGTTGTTAAAAACGTTAACATTGGATTTGATAATGTGTCATAAAACCCAAAACAAATTATCCTTTGGCTAATTTTTCCAGGACTGAACACAGACATGGAATGTAAACTATGCATATATTTTGATTCTTGGGGACAGGAATGTAAAAAAAAAAAAAAAAAAAAAAAAAAAAAAAAAAAAAAAAAAAAAAAAAAAAAACAATAAACTTAGGCCTACTGAATTTTAAAAATAAATCTCTTATGATTTCCTGGAAAAATTAAAGCTGAAAGATAAACATTAACAAACCCTACATTTTTATCCTGTTCCACCTGAGGTAAGGAAAATAAACAAATTAAGAACTTTTACATCAATAGAAAAAAATAATACATCTACTACCATAATACATTCAAATAAAAAAATAAACATCAACAAGACCACAATAATTATAATACGCAGCAGTCCAGCCATCAAAACCACCTACACAATTACATGACAATGCTAATCAGCTGAAAAAAATTAAATTAAAAATAAACATCGATTCAACAGCAAATAGCGTAGAATGCAAGCATTGGAAATGTGACCAACGTTATGTCGTCGGTGTTGAAGTTCACAATGGTCGAGATGAAGTTCTCTTTCATAATAACACTTCGGATAGTCTTCCAGTCAGCGGGAGATGAAGTTCCCTCTCCGAGCAGCAGACAAATGGACTCCAGCGTAGTTTTGACAATTGCGGGAGGGTTGGCCATCGATCTTACTTCAACGAGGTGTTGTTTTTTTATGGACTTGACCGCTGCAAGCCAGGGCATGGGAGTGGATGGATTATTTCATAATGGCAAACTTAACAGCACAATAACAAATACCCCCGCCGCAGCAAACCTGCAAACTTAGCGAATTTCCATTCACCTGATTGGATTAACACTAAAATGTCTCCTTAAAAATATAAAATGTATTCCCTATTTAAACAGAATTAGCTTAACCAGTACTTAGGTTTGCTGCAACAGGGAGGGTAAGAAAGTTTTTTTTATGTAAAATGTTAAAAGGTACTGTAGTTTAGTAAGAAATTAATGTATTTTCCAAATTTGATCAAAATATGTTCATAAACAAGCAAACTACAAAAGTTGACTTATTCTCCATAAGAATAACATGGGAATTTTAAAATTAAAATTTTTTTGAATTTTCTCCGTAACAATTAGGCACATAATTACGCTTCAATATACTAAATTATTTTTTTTTTTAAGCTCTACAAAATGGTTTGGAAAGAAATTGTGATTTTTTTTGTTTTTAGGGTCAAAAATGCGAAAAACCTATTTTTACCCCATAAAACCCCCCATAAACCCCCGTTCCCATAGTCCGGTCATGCTGTTTCGCGAACTCATTCAAGTTTATCCCGCCTTACACATTTAAACCAAATTTCATCAAAATCGGATAAAAATTACTCAAGTTATCGTGTTCACGGACACATATATATATATATATGAATTTGAACGAATGGTGTTTTTTGCCTCTGGGGACATCAAAATGAAAAAGTAAATCGGTCCCGGGCCTAGGTCTTACCATGAGACCTACGGTAATAGCTACTTCCCTAAAGGGAAATTCGCTAAAATGAAGTGAGCTAAATACCACAATGTGTTCAAAGAACCTGCACCACTGGGAGTTGTAGGAAATTTTGGGGACTTTCTTTCTTCCTCAAAATATTGCTCAGCCTCAGAATGTTTTTTAAATCATGTGAGCAGGAATGATAGTATCACTCTACCACACATCAAACCTTTTACTAAGGCATCATTGGCTGTAAAGAAGACTTATTCTTGTGTAGGTAAAATATCATAAATCTGTTGAGCATTTTTATGTTTTACAGATATGTTTTATTTTAGTTTTAAACTAGACTTTATCATTTCAATTATTTAACTTTTCAGTAAGGCTATGCAATCTGTTTCTTAAACGTTTATACATTTTTTACTATTATTACTACATACTTTTAAGACTTATTTTTTTTAAGAAAGGGCTATTTAAAAATTTTATAAGAATAATGACAACACACCTGTACATTTATCTGTAAACTCTGTGCGTTATGTGCTAATAAACATGATTGATTGATTGGTTGGTGTGGATGATCACGGTAAGAATTTGCTTTGTCAATCTTTCATTGTTTTCACTCAGTGATAGAAATGAAATTCATAGTTTATTCCTGATTTTCACAGTTGTATTTACATAGATTTTTTAGGGTGTTTAAATAGGGAGGGTAGAACTTTAATTCTATCAGAAATTAAGGTGGTATCAGAAATTTAAAAAAATTCTATCAAAATTATTGGCAGTATTTTAATTATATCAACATTTAATTGGTATATTTTAGCAATAGCACCAGGTGTTTGCAAACTTAACATTATTGAAAATTTACAATCTCACCTCGATTGATGTTGAATTTAAAGTCATTAAGTATTTACAATACCTCGATTGAGAATCAGAACTCTATTTTTAACTGCAAAACTCAGGTTTTTTTTCAACTCCTACGATATTCACTGTTCATCAACAGCTGATTATTGTTTGGATTAAAGTTTTTCTCCATGTTACAACATTTTCTCTCACCTTGTTGAGCCTCAATGACCGCAGGCTCCACTCTGTCCAGGTCTGCGCTCACCACCTTCTGTTTCTCAGCAATCACCACCTTCTGTTGGTCAATCTGCCGTTGAATCTCCTGACTTTCCACCTTCTTCTTCTCTGCCTCTTGTTGGTTTTGAAGCATCTGACGCAACTTGGCGTTTGCGGCGTCGTTCTTCGCTTGCAACTCCTACAAGATTGTATTATGTTTATAAGTGTTTTGTAAAGGAATTATGGGTACAGCTAAACTTTATTAGGTGCTTGATACAACCAAACACAGGTAGAACATAATAAGTTTAAAAGTTACACTATGACTAAGAATAAACTACACTAATCTTTTGTGGACACCCTGTACGTTTCTTTACAGTTGGCTCACCTGAGACTTGACAGCAAGAGACTTCTGCATTTCCTCCACTTGCTCCACGGTCTCTGCTATCTTGCCCAGACCTACGTTGAGATGCAACTGTTGTTCCTCCAGCTCAGAACACTTCTCTCTGTGCAGCTTCACAAAGTGGTTGATGAAGTCCAAGTAGTGTCTGGAAATATCATGACAATCAAAACTCTGCGGCAAATTACTAAAATGTTGAGAAATTAGATTATTTTATGAAAATTTACAACACTATCTTTACATTTAAATTTTTAGCAGTTTGGATAACAAATACCAAAATATCTCGATTAATTATTTTGAATATAATTTGTAAACAGTTTCACAACTTGCAACTTTGTTTGAATATCATGGTCCCTCGTGTAGCCTTGTTTGTGGATGACAATAATTGAGTGAACTATTTAATAGTCATATCACAAAATGAGCGCTCCTCACATGTTCACTGCTACATAACATCTGAATATTATATTAATACAAACCTCCCATTGTTGCCAACACACCATAGTCATTCTCACGTCCAACCAACAATGCAGCTATAGCGTAAATAAATAATTTACAGTACTCCACCAAACTGTACACTTTTTTCTATGAGCGCTATTTTATTCCTTTCCATCCAACTTCATCCAAGCCTCAGAATATTTTTTTAATCATATATGCAGGAGTGAACAAATCACTCAACCACACTTCAGACCTTTTACTACGACATCATTGGCCAAACAAGATTAGATTAGATCAGTACATCGCCAACACATGAATGTGGATTATAAAGTTAAGTTAAGTTGAGTGAAGAATAAGTGTTTGATAAATAAAATTATAGTCTTGTTACTAGGGGTGTGCGATGCATCGAAAATGCATCGAAATTTCGATTCGATTCGATTCGATGCATCGAATCGCGATTCGATTCAGTGGTGGTCAAAAAACGATTCGATTCACGAGGGAGTCAGTATCCATATACGAAAAACGCCTGCAGAAAGTCAATGCAATACCCGCAATACAGGAGCGCGTTGCTGTTGCGTTTCCTTTACGAAGGCGTTCTTATTTAATACATTCTTTGCATTAAATATAGCTTTAATTGTTTTATATTTGTTTGTTTTGACATTGCAAATGATTAGAGGTTTGTTTTTTGTCTTGATGTAAGCAGTGTGTGAAATATTTTACTACTGTGAACCTAGCCAAAACAAGGTAGGTTACTCCAAAATCATTTTAAAAATAAGTCTGAAAAATTGTTACTTAATACTTAACTAGTAAGATTAATGTTATAGACTGATTCATTTGGTATTTTTGTTAGGTGTCTGCCGGTCCCCGTCCCCGAATTTTTGTTGGGGCAAAAGAAAAAAAAGAATAATTTATTTCCAAAGAAACACTCTTATATTATTATATCTATTATTACAGAGGAATTAAAATGTTCAAATGAGAATTAAAAATTAAGTTGGCTCACGACCTTTAAGAATAAAGACACAACAGAGCAATTGCCGCACTGCCACTAGCCAGAGCCAGGTCTAGTCGTCTACTGATAAGAGTAACAAGACAAAAGCCGTGACGCAACACTAACAGTGCAAAGAAAACAAAGTCAAAAGAATAGAAAGACTATTTATCCAGACATACTTGTATAATTATTTATTGTTTATTCAATACCTAATTAAAAATATATTTTATTATTTTACATAATAAATTATAAACAAAAGAAATATCTGATATAGTGAACAGATCTGTATCTTGGTTAGATGGGGTTAAAAAAATATATTTCTAAGATCCAATACAATATTTACAACTCACAAATTACATTGAATTAATTTCTTTGAAAATAATCTCTAACAGTTTTGTGTTTTTGAATAAAGAAATATATTTCTTTGTCTCTACTCCCTTGTTTCATCACTTGCATTTTGTCAGCAATTGAAGCAACTGGGTAGCAACCGGGTGGTGTAAGAGGGGAGGGGGAGGGTCTATGACCTTGAATTCACACATCGTTGCCGGGCCTGGCTGGTGAGACTGATTTATTGTTTTTGTTGACATACTACTACCCTTCCTTAAGAGAAAAAGGCCCTGCTGTTCCAAAAACATTGAGGGTAGTTTAAAAACATTGACCTGTGTTGCCAAGGGCACTAGGCTAGAAGATAGCATTTAACTTTCTTGTCTCTTGATTTAATATTATTTTAATCTTCTATATATTATTTAAGAGTTACTTTTCGGGTACCTAATTAGTTGTGATATTGTTTGGCTTTATTTTATGGATTTTTAATTCTTTTCATTCATTAGCTATCAAAATCAGTTGTTTTAGGATTTTAATCTCTTGCAGTAGGTCTATACTACTGTATGACATGATATGCATTTTTTAGTCCTTATTAATTATACCATAAACAATGTTTGTATGTTATTTACTGTTTTTGAGTTTTATAGGAAATTAGTTTACACAATATCTTTTCTTCAATGAGTTCTCCACTTGACATGTTGCTTCTAGCCTATTACTATTTTAGGCCCTATAAAAATAATGCCTAGGTAAAGCTGTAGGCCTACTGATGCCAATAATAATTCTTTATTTATGATGATGTAACAAATAATGTAAGTGTGAGGTTATTATACTAAGGAGGTTAGGAGGCAGGGAATGAATGATACATATTGCATGGTGGAAACGTATTATTTTTATTTTCTTCTTGCTTGCAGTCCTGAAGCTGGTCCACAGGCCCTAAACTTGTGATATGTAAATTTATTTCTTAATGGTCTTTTTATATTAAGTTCCATTCAAATTTGTTGTAATTTAGCTACCGGCACCTATTTAGTTATTTAAACAGTTATTAAAATGAGAATGAATGTCTTGATAAAAAAAATATTTTCTTCTTTCTTGCAGTTGAGCCAATTCAAGTAAAAATTATGAAATAGGCAAGTAAAGCAGCTCACTGGTATTTCCAGCAGTTATTCTAATACATATGATTGAAAATAAATATTTTTTCACCTAAAATTCATATGTTAAGTATGAAATAGGCCTAATACCACATCAACAAAAATTTGTATTACACAAATGTGATACATTTTAATTATTGTTAATCCACTCAATTGACAATTATGAATAGAAAAATACCGTATTGCTTCGAATCGAGTTGCATCGAATCGAATCGAAAATCTTTTTAATCGAATCGTTGCTTCGAATCGAAAATTTTTTGCTGCTTCGCACACCCCTACTTGTTACTAACTAAGATCTCCCTGTATTACAGCCAATGAGCCAAGCCTAGATAATTGTTACGACAAGTTTATTCTGTTACCTCGGCGTGATCGCCATGGTGCGACTGCCTCTCTTGGCCAGCCTCGCGTTGGCCTTGTGCAGTGTTTGGTGCACGTAGACACAAGCATTGATGACAGCGTCTCTGTGTGTAGGGGCTGTAGGCAGACCTGGGAATGCTGAGGGGAAGAAGTCCGGAGATTTCCAATTAGGTGCTCCATCCAGGTCTAACTTGTTGGTGAACTCCATACCAACCTGTGGGGAAACAAAATTTCATAACATAGCTCATTTAAAACAGATTGAATGGATTATAACTGTTGTTTCAAATCTCCATGATTGGATATGCAGTTTAAAATAAATATTTTCTTTTAGTTGTTCTTTAGCCCTTTTTTTAGTAGCCTATATCAGATTGTGCAATATAAATGATTACACAATATTGTATTTTGTTTATGTATAAATGCAGTTGATCACAATAATATCTATTTATGCAGTACTACAGAAATGTTTATGAGATTGTCATATATTTCAATACCATTTTGGATTAATTGTGGTTTTAATAATCTGTGGTCTGCCTTCCCCAATAACCAAGTTATTTCATCTTGCAGATATAATATCTGAGTCTTAAAATAAGGGTGTAGCATAGAGCACAAGGGCCTAGATTTTTTAGGATTTTTTGAGAGGATAGCAGGCTTACCTGAATGGGAAAGAGTCCAAACTGGCAGTATGGACTCTTTCCTGTTCAGGTAAGCCTGCTTTCCTCTAAAAAAATCCTGAGTCTTAAAATAATTAGACTACAAATTAGAATTACAGAATTTGTAAATCATAGATAAATTGATCATTCTAGGTGAATCAACCGGGCTTCACTAATCAAAATCTTAGATTGACATATACAGCAATGTCTCTGACAGCTACAGTTCAAACATCTTCAATATAAATTTCACAGTTACATCCCAGTCGCCTACATCCCACCAACCAAAATCAGTACTCAATTATTTAAAATGATTTTGCTGAACCCTATTACACACCTGGTAGAGTGCGCTGTCGCTCCAGTCCCCGAACCAGTTGAGCACGCAACGGTTGAACAGCGCAGGACTGGTGGCCGCTCGGTCCTTGAGTCCCTCCGAGGACGGGTTCATAGTGAACACGACGTGCAAGTTCTTCATCACCTGGCCAGTGAACCACTTGTACAGCTCCTCGTTGCTGTCCAACATGAGTCCCTCGCGTTGAGCACCTTCCTTGCATTGGGTCATCAGGGTGGTGTACTCGTCACCTGCGGACATAGGAATAAGCTGATAACCTTTTAAGGACATGTAATCCAATGATTAAACTCCACGCTGTCTATGTTGAAAAGGATTGAATGCATGATACTTAATTAACGCCTTTGAGCACTTGGAAATGAAGCCTCAAGTTTTGAATCCAGGGTAGTTTAGTTTGACTACGAATTTAGATCACTTGGCAATACACTAGGTAATTTAACCTTTCTATTGTATAAAACATAGTGATATTGAGGCTACGCCACAATAAACATTGTTGGATACAAAGAGCAATGATACAATGTCGCATGAAAATAATGAACAGAAGTGCAAGAATTATACAAAGAACCAGACATTATAAGAATAATCAAATGTAAAAGACAAAGTTAGTTGGTAAAGAAGTAAAAGCACTATGGCTATGATCAGTAAGGTGTGGAAAAGAAAACCAAGAACGTGTTGAAAAAACTGAGGTAGGCTACGTAAAATTTGAGATTAAGAAAGCTTGGGGAGGTTATAGTAATAGCAAAAGACCAGAATTTAACTAGCTTTTCATTGGCCACAGGGAGAGTATGCCAGCTATGATACAAACATTGACTTATATTTTGGATCAACATTTGTCTTTAGCAACAGACATTTTCAATTATCACAGTACTAACAATAACTTACCCTCAAAGAGCCCCGGAACTTCTCCATTGGCCAACAACGTATTCATCCTCTCCAGGAATCCAGACTCAAGCACATTAGACTCGTCCAGGATAAAAGCGATTTTCTCATTTTTACACCCGGATCTTCTCAGAACTGATCGGAGGTCTTCGTCAAAGTCCTCTCCTGTGTATTTGTTGTGAACCTACAAACATGAGTCGAGAATATATTGAGTTGTACATGCAATATGCATTTTAAGTAAAAATATACTAATGTTGTTGGTATTTACTATCTGTGGATTAAAATAATATGTATACTGCTGATTACAAGTTGTTCAAAAAAATTTGTCAAGCAAAGTTCACCAAAAACAAGTAATTACTTACTGTGTAAATCTTTTTCTTTTAATTAATTACTACCAGTCATGTGTGTGAGTGATGTTCCATCATAAAAATTATCCCCAATTTTCAGGTCTGATACTCCATAGAGGTTGGTGATTTTTCACTTACCCTAATCTGGAAGACGGACAAGCCGTTCATGAAAGCTACAAAGCGAGAAAGTGTTGTCTTGCCGGCGCCTGACACTCCAATGAGCAACAGGTGACCCTGAGGCTGGCGGAAGATACGGTCGATCCTCAACACATGATCCAACACCTCGTCAAACAACACTAGAGGCACATCCAGTTCCTCATCGTAAAACACCTGAAACATAGGTAGCAAATTAGAGCTGAATCAGCAGTTGTGTGTATCAGTTCACCATTTTCTGTGTCTCTAATATTAATCTTAATTTATTACCTATGTTTAATAAGTATTAATTGACCTAATTAAATCAAAACCAATATTATGGGATGAAACTTTGGATTTTTTTACAAAGATAGGATTATAAAAAGAACGTTTGGCGATTTACTAATTTTGAAACAATCCAAATTTGTGCCGTTTTTGGTTTATTTGATGTCTAAAAAAATGGAAGTCACTATACCTTGAGCCTGGCCTTGACGTAGTCTCTCAGTTGGTTACGGTCGACTGGTACGTAGTCCTTGCTCAACCAGTTGCTGTACAGTATCGGCCGGGCCAGCGCAGCCTCTCGGTCCACAGAGGGGAAATGCTTCAGAGCCACCAGGTCAATGTTCTCATTTGTCCACCGACGTTCTGAGTCCTCCACCAGACGATCTTGGAACAGTCTGAGAGCCTCGTGAGCCCACAGCCGCACCAGGCCTTCCACGGTCAGACTCTCCAGTGGCCTAGCAACATGATGTAATGAGTAACATGTGTACTTGTGTGGTTGATACATGACAAAGATAGTTCATGTAGGATTTAAAGTTTTGTAAAATATTAGCAGAGCCTGATTAAAAAAGGATACCCTGGAAAAGTGTTCCAAAACCTTTCTCTCTCTTTGATTTATTTTTTTTTTAATACAGAGTTTAAGTTACTTGAGAAGAATTCAAGTACATACTGGTTCGTCATCATTCAAGCCCATATGTTGCAAATGTTTTCTGAACCGACCATGTCCAATAGTCAGTTCTACTGTTAGTCTAACTCTTCGCCTATCCAGCCTAAAAATTTCTGAGGCAACCCGCTTTGAAGGCGTATGAAGAGTAAGCCGATTCTGAGAAGAGGCGTTTCAACGACCCATGACACAGAGGTGAACGCACACTTAGATGAGATACCACAGAGAGGTTGTGGACCAAACTGAGGCTACATTTTGCCAGTCCGTCCACGGCTTCGTTACCTCATATGGCCTACAACATTTAGCAAAATTTCCCCACTAGACCGATGCTAGATTATTGAAAGTACTGTACCTGATGGCCTCGCAGATTCCTCGCACCCAGCGAGTCATCTCTCTGGGAGAGTAGACGTAGTGAGGCTGCATGTCTTGTGTGAACCTCTCCTGCGAGACTAGGTAGAACTCTACCATAGCGTTGGTCAGTGCCGTGGCGAACCCTCGCAGCGAGGGGATCATACGCAACAGGGCACGGCTGAACGTTCCATAGATCTGCACACAGAGTTGACATTAGTGTGAAAACTCTTAGCGTTACGGACTTGGACAAAGTGAATTGGAGGATTTCTATTTTAATAATAATTGATAAATAAATATTTCTTTGTACCTTACAGTCCAACACAAATTTGAGAGTATAAAGATCCTACAAATATAATCAAATAGTTCAAAATTTCAGTTTTACACATTTAAAAGTTGTTTTTTTTAACCAAGAGAGTAGTCAAATTTAACGGTAGCCGTATCTGTATTTTATAAAGGTATCAAATGTCAAAGAAATATACAATTAGAGGCAAGAACAAACATTGAAGACTACATTAGGCAAATAGGCTACCGTATGAATGTGTTAAAATATAAAACTTAATGAATGAAATGAAAAGATTTAAAAGAATAAATATAAATTAAAGATGATGAGCGATTAGGATTGCTACACAGGAAAATGGACTTTTACTTCAATAACAAGCCTTTGAACATAAGTCTTCAGTCTTGCTAAGTCTATGTGACTTAAGCAAGGCGTTTGATGTGGTGTCACATGATGTGCTTATTTCTAAAATGACAAAATATGGAGTTGGTGGTACAGCTCTAAAGACAGTTTCTAGCTATCTTGCCAATAGAAAACAGCTGGTTTCGGTAAATGGGGCCTCGTCCAGTATTAAAAGTTTAACCCACGGGGTACCGCAGGGTTCGGTGCTTGGACCGCTGCTATTCTCGATCATGATAAATGACCTTTGGCTTAATGGCTCTACATTGCTCTTTGCAGATGACACCACGCTCATATCCAGAGGGGGCGATATTCCACGGTTACGGACTGAAGCCCAAGATCTCCTTGAACAGGCCAAAGTGTGGTTCAATATGAACAAACTAAAGCTTAATGACGAGAAAACCAAGTCGATTTTGTGTACTCTGAAGACGGACGCAAGGGAGGAAAGTGCTGTTAAGCTATTGGGTTTTTGGATTGACCCGAAGTTAACCTGGAATCACCATATATCTCAGGTATGTGTCAAGCTGTCTAGAGTGTGCCATCTTCTCAGAGAGCTCAAATCTGTGTTGACTAAGTCACATTTGGTAACTGTCTACCACGCGCTCTTTCACAGCCACCTTGTGTATGGGATTGTGGTCTGGGGACATTCTACAGATACTCAGGACCTATTACTTCTTCAGAAGAGGGCAGTTAGGATTGTGTCCAATTCTGGCCATTTGGACCACTGTAGGCCGTTATTTATTGACTTGAAGATCCTCACCGTCTTCAGTCAGTACATCTACAGCATCTTAACTATGCTAAGAGTAAACCTCGAAGACTTTAGAAAAAGAGGGAGTCACCATGACCACGGTACCCGCAGAGCTGGTGATTTGGACATACCCCGATGTCGTCTTGGTATGACACAGCGAGCGTATCCTCAGTCAGCCCTGAAGATTTTTAATGCTCTACCGGATGAGGTGAAGAACCTGAACCCGAAGGCTTTTAAGAAACGACTGAAGGATTGCTTAGTGAAAAGGCCGCTCTACTCTCTTCAAGAGTTACAAGATGGGTCTCTATTTGAGCAATAAAAAGCCTCAACACACTTCTGACGCAGTCTATCCAATTTTCATTGGTCAACGACGAAGACGACAAGTATTACAAGTAGTAAGTAAGTATTACTTATCATCAAAGAATAGAGCCGAACGTAAAGCTGCTAGTCAATAGAATGGATGAGTAATGCTAAGTTAGGTGGAAAGATGGTGAATCAGGGATCCAATTTTTCACAACAGGGTCTGAAGTTGAAAGCGTCTGCTACTAAGGTGGTCTTTGCTGTTAAGGGGACAAAATATTTTGTCACTATTTTTGTCACAGTCCTTCTTGCGTAATAGATCCATTTCGTTTCTTCCATTTCGGGCGTTGGCAGTCTTCTGACGTTACTTAAGCGTATTGACAGATCTTCTGGTTAAGTTAACGTTTCTTGCTTGTCTGTTTGCCGGCCGATTGCACTTCAGATACAACTGTCAGTGATGGTCGCCATTTCAGATTAAAGTATTAAATTAAGTAAGAAAGTATCAGGGAAAGAATTAAGACTCCAGAGCACCCCAAGTTCTTGAAGCTAAAACAAGACCTTCACCTAGAACCTATGCCACATTTTAACCATGACTTTAACATATTAAGAGTGAATTAAGTTACTGAGAGTGAGTAAGAATAATTAACAGAGAAAGAGTGGCAAGATAAATGACTCAAAGAAAATAATGTTAGAAATAGTTTGTTAAAAGGGGTTAAACATTTAAAACATTGAAATATGAAATTGATTTACAATAAAAAAACATTTGCACATAAAGTTAACATACTTGTGGTGTATTAAGCTAAATGAAAGAATAATCAAATTTTGTAAACTTGATATAACGAATAATCATTTAATTATGAACCCTCACTAAATGTCCCAGATTATAAGCAAGTACAAACTACAAACATTTTGAAAAAGTGTGTCAAGAAGATAGCGGTTGGAGAATTAGAAAGAGCAGAGATTGGCAATAATCATACAAAAAACCAGAGATTAATGAGATAACAAAAAGGTAAAACACTAGGTTTGTTGTGTCATGTGTAGGCCTATAGAATAAGTGAATATCAATAAAATGGGGAAAGGAAAATCAAGAGTTTTAACTCTAGAAAGACCCGAATCTTACTACTACTAGTTGTGTTTTAAACTACTAAATGTTATTGATAGGTACAAATATTATTAAATAAGACACCATAAAACACATCATCACCAATCTAAAAAGCTTGCACACCATTCTTAGAATAACCAAATAAACATTCTTAGTTACTTCTGGCTTTATTATTGTTTGAATACAGTAATTGTTGACTTATGGCATCTTCTATAACTCAGAAAGGTTGTTTTATACATTTTTAGTCAGTGTCAACCATTGATACCTTGACGTTGACGTGTTCTGGGTCAAACTATCCTGATGAAACTTTTAAAAACATTCATTAGCAAGAAGAAAAAGTGTACATTGAATACCCCTACATGAAAACTAGTAATTTATAGGTTAATGTATCTCTAACTGTATAACTGATTTGGAAATCATAAGTTACTTCATATATTTACAAAGCTATCAGTAAAAGTAGATATAGCAGAGACAATTGAATGAAAATAAATGAAAACCCAAACAGATCTTAAAATCCTGTTACAACTTTACTGTACAATAAAACGTTACTGTTTGTTAACATAAAGAGAAACACTAATTATCATCCAATATCAATCTTTTGATATAAAGTATGTTACTAACAAAAAACAAGTCATTTTATAGAAAAATCCAATGATTGGTGGAAATATAAAATGAAATAAAAATCTTACAAAATTATATTTTATTAAATACATGCAAAACTAGGTGCTTCTTAAACTTAATACAAATACAATTTTAACGAAATCTCAACAAAACAAAATAACGTTAACTATTTAAATTACAAAATAACAACTAAAAACATTTTCTCCAAATATATAGTAAAAATAAAATAAAATTATCTTTAGATTTAACAACTAACCTTAACTAAAAATCTGTAAAAAACAAAATATAAGTTTCTGTACATACAATTCAAAACAAATAAAACAAAACTTACAAGCTAAAGCTAGGTCGTTCTTCACACAAAAGCATTAAATAAATACTTATAAAAGCAAACCATCAAAAACTGTCTTGAATGATAACATTCTATTCATTTTCATACAGAACATTAGATAGTGTGTAGGAATAGGAGGCAAAAGCAGTCCGGCTACACAGTGTCTGCCGTCCACTGTTACCTGTTTGAGGGAGGTCTCGCCGGGATAGTCTACGTAGATGACTGGAACATGTCTCAGGAAGCGATGACTCAATGGTTTCCGGCCAGGGTCAGTCGGCGGATTACAAGCTCCTACGAACTGTAAACACAACCCACGAAATAAGAGGTACAGTATTCACAACTAACAAAACAAGTTAACATTGATAACTACTATAGAAAAGACCAAAATTGATAATTCAACTGATCTCGTTAAAACAAAAGTGTGGCTAGAAATTATTGCTGCGCACCATCTGGTAAAATAGTGTATTTTTAGAGAAATGCATTGGCCTACATTATTTCTGTTGTATTTGAGATAAGAATTACAATTACATGGTTACGTTACGTTGGGTTAAGATATGCTTAGGTTAGTTTATTTCAGGTTGGAAAAAGTAAGGTAAATTCAGGTTCATTTAAGTGGGGTTAGGTAAGATAGGATTGGTTTGGGTTAGGTTGGGTTATGTTAGTTTGGATTAGGTTGGGTTATGTTAGGTAAGGTTGGGTTAAATTGCGCAGATGTCTCATTCTGCCTTCCCCCTTCCCTCACTCCTACAGTCAAAGTAGTGGTTGATCTACCTGTATCCGCTCCAAAGAGACCCACGCCTGATCACTGGCCCTGTAGAAGCCCCTATGCTCCACCAGTTGTCTCAAGAAGGATATCACCCTCTGTGTACCGTACTGGTCCATGTCTGGTAGGTTGATCTCATCACAGAACAGCACCAACCACTTGCCCAGCTGTGAACAAGCAAAACTTTCAAAACTCTTTGTCAAACCCTACAGCTTGTCTTCATAGGAAAGCTTCAGTAATTAAAACTCATTATAAATGTTGAATAAATTAGTGTAATTTATAGAGAAGTTTATGTCAATGACTAATTTCTATCCAATATGCTATCTTTTTATTCAAGGCAGATTTTAAGGACGACTTATTGTAAACTACAGCATCTTTCTATGACATCAAACACCATAGCAGAATATAATACACTAAAGGAAGAAATCGAGTTTCGACAGCAGCACAATCTGTGAGTGACTCATCTAGGCTCTACGTTACAAAGCTACAGCTGGTAACTATAGGTGAGATGTCCACTACAACTGTGTACCCACCTGGACAGGTGACAGTACAACGCCGTTGGGAGTTTTTTTGTACTCGCAGTAGTGGTCGAAAGTCTTGAGCAGCAGCTCAGGGGTTGTGGCAGAGGAGAAGTTGAGACCGACCACCTCCATGTCAGGGAGAGCTCTCAGCGCAGAGAACAGTGTCATGGTCTTACCTGAGCCTGGCGGTCCACACAGTACTGCAACATCACATCACATTAGTGTCCCAACCCAACCAAACCCCACGTGACCTAACATAATCTAACCTAACCCCACTATCCAGCAAATGAGAGTTGATGAACTTTCGGTATACATTCCAACGACCTGAATTAGGGCCATATATCAAGGTTTTTTTGAAACATTTAACCTCAGGTAAGCTTGCTGAGCTCCACTCCTTACTGATCAGCCACTTGTCCTTTCATAAAAAAATACTTTTGTAGTACCCAACAGGCAACAACGAATTTTCTACAGACAAGCCACGGCTTATTATTTGGATATAACTCCAGAAATGGCAGAAACAAAACAATATTAATGCTCTAGATGAGCACAAAAGTGGGATTTAAAATAATAAATTATTGAAGTCTGTTACTGCTTATAAAATGAAGGATTGTGTTGTTGGTCATGTGTCTAGTACTCACCCAGAGGTTTGTGCTCAGCCAGCCATGTGTACAGCAACGCCTCATGTCTCACAGTGTCTAGTGTAGGAACTACAATGTCTGGAGCTGCCACCTTGTGTGTCTCAACCTCAATCTGAGGTACCTTGGCTGACCACAGACACCATTCTCCTTGGATGTTTACCTGTCAAACATAAGTTCAATTTTTCAACTGATCCATACAACTCAGTTAGTTATAGTTACTACATTTTTTCCAAGAGTTTTCACATGTATTATTTTTTTTGTTTTTTATCATGTCAATAAGGTTCAGGGACTTGGTTACAAAGTATTGAGAATCAACAAGTCTTGAGAAATCAATATTCATAATCACACCATCCCTATTTTAATCACAAAATTCATAGCTCAATTAATGTTTGATCATGGTTGAATATTCACAGTTTAAAAGCTTTCACAGTTGAGTAATTACCCTGAAACATCACACAGAATGACCAAAACACATCCTTTCTTAGCACACTTCCCTACTACCTCACCAACAAAACATCAGGAGCATCCTTGGGTTTTGTCACTTCTATAAGGAACAATTCGTCTAAAGCATTTTACAATACACCTGACAGACACAATCAATTCTTCAACAACCCACATTCCATCTGTTCTTGCACTATTTAGATTAGCTCTGTCAACTATCAACACATAGTAGTGGAACATTACCTCGTAGTCGACGATGGGCATGTTGTTGATCGCTGGAGGCAGTGAGATTGTGGTGACAGACCTCACAAAGTCTCCCAAGTCTTGGCGCACCTTCAGCTTGGCGTCCCCTGCAAAGCTCCACAGCAGGGAGTAGACAAGCACCTTGGGTATGTACTGCTCTAACTGCTCAGGGGGCAGAGGGAAGTCAGCGTGGCTGTGATTGTACTGCACCACGTTCCTGTAAGCACTCTCCTTCATCAAACAGTAGCTTCTACATGTTTATTTTACCATGGTAGAATCACTATTTTCTGACATACATTGGTATCTGTAATCTCATTGGTCAGTATCCTGATTGGGATCAATGGGGGAAAAGGTTGACTGTTATGAATCTAAAATATACAAACTTTTTCACAAACCATAAAAATTCAAGTGAGATGTAATTTTTTCAGCATGTTTGAAAATAAGTGCATTTTTAAGAATACTTAAAATACAATTAATGAAATGTTGTCTCTATTTGTTTGATGATTTTATTGAGAACTCCACTGAAATGGAAGGTCTCTTACTAACAGTTTATCTTTTTTCAACGATTGCATTTATGAAATAAATTTATAATTTAGTTGTAGTAATTTAATTTCAGATATTGACGTTTAATTTAACAATGAGCTATACTCAATTTTGTAATGTTATGTAATAAATAAAGTATTTGATTTATTTTTGTTACAGCATCCTTGCCCGAGTCTGAACTGGTGATCTTTCAAAGTAGTTGAAACTGCTCACTTAATCATTGAATAGACCTTCTCCTACATGCAGTATTCAAATAATTAATCAAGGGTACTCATTCACGTAATCATGAACTTCAATTTGACTCTATATCACACTTGATGCTTATACCACAAAGGAATAATGTATTGTCTGACCAGAAGTTTCACTTAGGTTTTCTAAAATAAAAGCATATACTCCCAGAGACAAAAGATACAAAATGTTAAGTGGATGGCATTTCTACCTGACGCCTTGGTTGATCATTGAGAAGAGTGATCCTAGAGCTCTTAGTCTGGTGAAGTCCATGATGTGTTCCTGCTTCATCGCATACTCAAGACATCTCACTACCAGACCATCAGGGGAGAAGTGGGTCTGAAGAATCATTGCTACATCTTGCTGAACCTACAACATATTGCAACATAGTTTTCACATCAACCATTCAATAAGTGTATTTATAACTCATTAATTAATACAGAAAATGTTCATATTTGAATAACTAACTCTCGAGATGATTTATAGGCTAAGGCTAATCAATGAGCAAGAATATTGAAGGAAGAGAAACAGCAGAGAACTAAGAGAGCTTTATAAGGATCAAAGCATTGTCAAAGATTATATGGGCTAAGCAATCTATAAGCAAAGAGGATTATAAAAAAACAATTAATAAAAAAGAACCTCAATGAAATAATACTGAAAGGCCACAGTAAAATTCTGGAACCAAATGAGGTTTGGCTTTAGAGAGAACATAAGCAACTAAAGACTTGAGATATTGAGCAGGATGGACGGGTTCAGCCGAGTATCTACTCAAGATCAAATTAGTTCTAAGAGTAGGACATAAGATCATGTTGCTATTGCCTAGTGTTTAGCATCTCCATCATCCGTTCAATATGGATTACAAATCGATCCTTGGCATATCCACAAAAATTGTTGGTACAGTGGACCCCTTTCCGGTACAACCCTTAATTGTTCCGGATTACAAAATACCATTGGGATTCAAACTAAAATAGTAAGACCGATGTAGGTATGGTAATATGCAAATTGTATACAAACCTGCAAGGCTGGAGAGATTTCCTCTTCTTTGCTCTCGCTTTGAGTTTTCTTTGGTGCAAAGCCAAGTGAATCGTCGTCTTCCTCTTCCAGAGGTATGTTCCTCAAGCGAGCCAAGTAGTTCTCAAAGATCATCTCTGTTGAGAGGACGTCCTCGCTGAACCAGACCATTCCACAACGTGACACTGTGGCCAGGGTGGCGTACTTCAGGTCTTGCACCTACAGATGAATAACACGTTAACAAAGTTTTGCTACTGATAAGTTTTAGTTAACACAAACCATAGAACTGTTCTTTTTCAATTGTGGACATTCCATTTAAATGTTAAGTTGTAGCCAGTTAAGAATAAAAATAGGTGAAGGCTATTTGAATTAAGCCACCACCAACAGAGAGTGCTGTTGTCAGTTACTGATTTGTGTTGTAGTGTTGTGTTGTTTAACCAGGTCAAACTGAAGGGACAACTTATTGTAAACTATAGCATATTTTATCAACTATCATACTATCAAAAAACCTAAGGAGGAAATTAGAGCTTGAACATGACTATTTCTGTGAGGACATTCAACTATGTTTCATTTTAATAAAATAAATTTGCTACAACTGGTCCATCTAGATGGAATGTATACACCGGTATCTCTAAGGCAATGACGAAACACATGATTTCTTAGCAAGATTTGAAGTCAATAAAAACTATCAGACAAAGTCTTATTGAACGTTTACTTAGCAACTAGTTCTGTGATTTGGCCCAGCTAGCATTGCCTGTCTAAAAAAAATTAGAGCCGAAAAAAAAAAAATAAGCTTCTTGTAATACTAGTATAATTTATATATTGAGGAATTTATCTTAGACACATTTTTGCAAGCTAATTGAAAAAGACATATTTAGTGTTAGTAGGTACAACAAAAAACAATCAATTTAATTTAAATTTAAATTTGAAATGTTCACGTTTGTGTACTTATTGATGATTTTTTTAAATATTTTAAGATAATGATACAGCTGCTACGATTGTAGATTTCAAATACCTTAAATATTTCTGTAGATTTTGAATGGAAAAAAGCTGAGGTCAAAGGCATGGAAGGGTCCATTTCTAACTGGGTGACCTGAAATGCAGGTGATAAGGAAGGATTTCGGTACAAGGAGGGTTGGGATACTCTACTGAATGTGGAAGTTACATTTTATCTGTGCCTGAGCTAAAACTAATTTGACTTGTTTTGGATGGTAATCAACTCAGTACAATTCAGGTTATTTACATGATGCACTCTGTTGGCGGACATGGGCCCATAGGAGTATAGAAGCAAACATAAAAAATTATTTAGTAAAAAAAAAGTAAAATAAAAAGAAACTACTCCAGTTTTGTTATGACAAACCATGGACAACATATCAAAAACCCTCACCACTTTGTGATGAAAGGTACTTTCTAGTTTCACACTATATGACTATATAAAACTTCAATAAATAAAATGTTGAGCACTTTCCAAAACAGTGTTCTACCATAGACAAACAAGTTACAGTACTCTCAAAAGTATTGAAACTATCATTAGTGTCAAACAAAATTCAAGTACTGAAGAAATTATTATTGACAACATGACATTATGAACTCAAATTAGAGGTTCAGGCATAGGTAAGACCTTTGAATGCGTCAAGCAGAGATTTTTCAAAAATAAAAGTACTTACTTCAAACATGACTCTAACGTTGGGAGGCAGCGACAGTCGCTCCCCATTGGGAAGAGTCAGCAGTTTGTTGTCGTCCAAGACAGAGTTGAGATTCTCGACCCATTCTGGATCAACGTCACCGTCAAAGATGATCCACTGCCGCTTGTTGATCTCTCCTCTCAAGTTGTCAATGATTTTCCTGCAAACATCACAAGAATATTGATATTGATATACCAAATCTTACAATTTATATGCAGACATTTTACACTATTAGAAGTATTTTAGGTTAAGTCAAAGATTAATTATTCTATTGTTTGGTCCGGTTTTGTTATCAAACAAAAAATAGTAATAACCTATACCTTAATTCTAAAAAATAGATGATAGTATTCTACAAAATATTTGGTAATTAGCGATGGATAAGTTAAAAGCGCTTAAGACTCTGTGTAAATTGCTACAGTTTAAAACTAAATTATAAATACACTTAGTATTAACAATATAATTATTAATAGACTAATGAATTTAAAACTGAATTTAAAGTTAAGATCAGACAAATCTTAAACTAAGTAACTAATTGAACAATATTAGATTGAAGATACCTTAGAATATGAGTGAACAATCCATCGGTCCACTCTCTAGTGTTGGGGTCCAGCACTCCATAAAGCGCTTCCTTGCTGATAGCCTTGGGATCGATCACATGAGCAACTCCCTCAACACCCTCAAAGTGTTCGAGAGCCTTGAGCAGCACTCGCCATGCAGTGGACTTGCCCGAACCACTTGGACCCACCATCATCAGACCGTGGTTCAAGTTGGAAATCTGGTACAGTTGCAGCACCTAGCACAGAAAAATGTCATAGTAATCGCGGAAGTTCCAGGACCACAATATTGGTATTACTGAAGATGAATTTCAGGCCTAGTTCTTGGGGCAGATTAAAATAGGAGGAAAGATGGTTCTTAGATTTGCAACAAGACCTTAGACATAAATTAATTTCTTTTCCATTCAAATCAGTCAATTTACAGGAAATGAGTTTGCTAAAAGTTAAGTTAAATGTTCGATAGTACTGCTGTGAATTCTATCATGGTGCCCGAAAACTTTTTTTTTATAATTGATTTGTGACCTAATACTAAAAAAATGATAGGCATGTTTCAGACCTATGATCAGACAGCTTTGCGGGTTTGGATCAACAAAAGTGTAGGCCTATATATTATAATATTACATTAAATACAAACAACAGAAAATACACACAATTCACGAAATTGTTGGATACTATCAAACTCTGGACTTAACACAATCAATTGAATTTGGCACTAAGCTTGGATTTTTTTTTACCTTATGGTGATGCAATTCAAGTTTAGTAATAATTTCATTGTAGTTTTTAAATTTACCTTTGCAATCCATGTTTCTCCCATGAAACACTGCAGCGTGAACAACAAGGTTTTGATTTAGTGCTTATAAGTCAAATAGAAGTTAAACATCACAAGGCTAACTTTATAATAACCTACCTTTAAAAATCTCAAGCCATTTAAAAGTTTGTAAAACCCGTTTTCCGTAATAAAACTACTATTACAACAAAATTGTGTACCATCAAAAAAGAACTTGGAATAGTTAAAGCGATCATTATTGTTATAACATTACTAACTACATTGTTGATTATACTCAAGAGCCTATGCCAAAAGTATTGAATTATATAGTTTACAATAAAAATCTACAAAGATTCTGATTAAAAATATCATGGAGGACTTCTAACTTTTATCTCTATATTTTAAAGGGGTATTTGGGAAACTTAATATCTTCAGTTTCTTTATATCTGTAAAAATTGTTGCAAAATATAATTGGAATTGTTTCATTTAGTCACCAAAGAATTGGATTGAACTTTAGGCATGAAATTCCTACCAGAGTCGCTTTCTAAAACTAGGCTAATGTGCCAAGTCTACAACTTATACAGCAAAGTAGTACCTTTTCCATCCATGGTCCACCTTGTTCGTCTCCTTCACCACAAACCAGATACTCTTCTTGACAAACTTTGCGGATTTGCTCCTTCAGTCCTTCACAGAAAAATGGCAAATTTACTCTATGAATACTGAATTATGAGAAGATCCAATATCAATCACAATCAAATCATTTAATTAACTATATTACATTGATTAAACATATCCAGTAAAGGTTTGAAAAATTAGATCAGAAAAAGGTTTAAGTAACTTGCCCAATTTCGGTCTATTAAAAAGTTCTCAACCGATTATCAGTTTTGGGTTTCATGGTTCATTATTAAATAAAACATCAAATTGAAGACGATCCATAACATCTGCTAAATGTCTTCATCTTTATACTAATAGCGACCCTTAACACGGAACAAATTTAAATTTAAATATTGATGTAATCTTGATGAGATGTTTAAAATAGTAGGAATGTTAGAAAATATACAATTTTTTACTATAAAAAGATTGGATCATGAACTGGACTGAATATATTTATCACATTCTCCGTCACCCACCCATCATCTCGGCTCTTGTGTACTGCACTTGTGGGAACACATCATTGAGCAGAGAGAACAACAGCGGGATGTCCTCAGCAACCAGCTTGGGCACCATAGTCTCACACACTGACTGGATCAGAATCTGAAATGGAACAGTATAAATAACTTGATGGGAAATATAACATTGCAAGGCCTAACACTAACTATAGTTATACATTCCTATAGTTATACGACTTGGACCGTGGCGTCGTCCAGTAATCAAGCTACTTGGAGTTCTTAAATTGTGGATATTTATAGGCAGTGCTCAATTTCTAAAAAATTAGGTGCCGGAACTGAATTTAATGTTATTTGTGCCTATTTATTTACCTATTTATGCCAATATACTTATGCTTCTGATAGAGAGGTACCGGAACTACGTTCCATCGCGTTCCCCCGCAAAACAAGCAATGTTTATAGGCATGATCTGTAGATGCGATACGATACTCCTTGGTTTGGATTGACGTACGCACTAGTGAGTACTATGACTATCCGCAGAACGATCCTGATAATTAGACCAATTCGTAAATTACAGGGCAAAAATGTGGTTCGGATTCCACTGTAAACTGTAGGTCTATATGGGCTATTAATTAACAGGGCATTAGTCACTAACAAGATACAAGTTCGCACCACTCATTGCCTACACTCATTGCCATTCATCATACCATACTTGGCTTAAAATACCTACCTTTGTATGGTCGCCATCACATGGTTAAGGTCAAATTTTAATCTTTCCCTGTTACATTTTAAAAAGTTCTTTGGATTATTTATGTTTTCAAGATACAAGAATAGTATAGTGATATGCATACATTGCAAAAATAATTTCATTTTTAAAACCATTCTATTTCATAGCCAATATTTTAAAGGAAATTTAAATGTGACATTATTACTAACAAGGGGATAAATTCTGTCACTCTTCAATTTTATAAATAACTTCTTGATCAGCAATTTTATATCATCATTTTGAACTATAATTTACTTTCAATAATGAAGCAACTAAATAGCGTGCAAACTTTGACAAGTGGATTTTGCAATAGTGTCCAAGAAGAAAGTAAAGGTTTATTTTAAAATAGTAACAACTTTTGAAACTAATAACACATATTTAAAATTTAAAGCTCAAGGTAAAGCAATATTTAATTTTTAGAGTGAAGCTAATCATATTTGACCTGATGATAAATAATGAAAAGAATCTCATCACAAGCAAAAAGCAAAGACCATAATCTTGTCCATGATTTAGTCTTTGAATGAAAGCAAACCAAGACTGATTATATAAGCGTGAAAACATTCCAAAAACTTAAAACACACGTCCATAACCACAACAACAATAGATTTTGGCACAATATGATGATTCGAAGCTGGTTTTGGATGAAAACGTTAATAACTCTTACCTTATACTCCTACAATCGATAGCATTAGGCATTTAGTTTTTCTTACCAATGTTATAAGGGTGTTATCTAAAAGCTTATCTATCGTAGAGAAATATTAGGTAAAATAAACTCATCCTTAATAAATTGGCTGAAAGCATTTTTTACATCAAGCTGATCTTAGTTAGGTACATATAAATTATTTTACTTTAATTTATAAGGTCGTAGTTAAAATAGTATCTTCATACTCTTTCCATTTAGAGCCAACCAAAACCTGTTTGATATAGAATTATTAGTTGAATGATTACTATATACCAGCATGTATATTATTTATGAATTAATTATTTACCACAGGCAAAATTTTACAGATGCACGTTAGGCTAATAGGATAATGCCACAATCCCAATACAATAAATCAGGTATAATAACAACTCCTGTCCACATATTAGACCATTATGAAAAAAACACTACTTATGTTGGAGCTTAATTCAAAAATAAACTGCATAAGTAAAAAATACCCCCGCCGCAGCAAACCTGCCGACTAAGCGAATTTCCATTTGTCTGAATTGATTTCCAGTTAAATATATTTTAATAACATTAGGTTTAACGAGTACCTAGGTTTGCTGCTACAAGGAAACTAATAAAGTGTGTTTTTGAGTAAAATATTGATAGCTTAGTACAAAATAAATAAATTTGTTAAGTTTGATCAAAATATATCCATAAACAAGCAAACTACAAAATTTGACAATATTCTCCATAAGAATAACATGGGAATTTTAAATTTACAATTTTTTTAATTTTCTCCGTTACTAATAATCGAACAAAAATACTTTTGTATACTAAATTATTTGTTTTTTTAAGCTCTTTAAAAAGGTCTAAAGAGAAATCGGGAAATTTTGTGTTTTGAGGGTCAAAAGTGAGAAAAACCAATTTTTACCCCAATAAACCCCCCGTAAAGCCCCGTTCCCATGGTCCGATCTTGCTGGTTCCCGAACTCATTCAAGTTTATCCCGCTTTACACCTTTAAACCAAATTTCATCAAAATCGGACAAAAATTACTCAAGTTATCGCGTTCACGGACGTATATATATATATATATATATATATATGTCTATATATATATATATACATATATAAAAATTTGAACGAATGGTGTTTTTGGCCTCTGGGGACATCAAAATGAAAAAGTAAATCGGTCTCGGGTCTAGGTCTTACCGTGCCACCTACGGTAATAGCTACTTCCCTATAGGGAAATTCGCTAAAATTGAAATTTCTTTTTCAAATTTAGAAAAAGCATGAAGCACTATTTGTTATCACTGGCTTTATATAGTCAAGAAGAATATCTTTTGCAGGTTTTATTTTATAGCCTTGTTTTTTATAGGTCAAGTCTTATAGTTCCAACACCGTTGGATGTATCTGAAGTACGTACAAAATAAAAACTATTTGATTTGAATTAACAATTGCAAAAATAAACTAACCAAACTAACAAGCAATATTGGCAAACATCAAAATAAATCCTTAACTTTAAGAAATATTATTTAATATTTATATCTTCACACAAAACAGTTGGAGTATTTACAAAAGAATTTTTTACACCTTTCTCAAAAATCAAAAAACCCCTTCACCAACTATATTCTTTTAAATCACTTACAGACATACTCCAGTATTCAATACCCTGTTAAAAATATTCAATTTAATTTATTTTCAGGAAAAAACAAGATAGGTCTGAAGTAAATTATTTGCTAGAAATATATGATGAAAATAAATTGTTTTTAAATCTTATCTCATTGGTATACACAGTTAATAGGAAACATAAAAACAGAGCTTCATTATATTGATTGTCAATAAACAAAACAAATAATAAGCCTGTATTTTTTCAAGAGCTTTGTAGAAAACCCCTTTCAAAAAGATATAATAGTTTGAAATATAATTATTGGTGAGATTGAAACATTCAATTGATACGAAGAGAATTTCACTGAACAATTTAGATATTTCATTGTTTACAAAATGTTAACCTACTCTTTCATACTCTTACAATTTAGACCCTAATGTATTTGAAAATGTGGCACAAGTCGCATGACTAAACCAGACTTTGAAAATGTGAAAACATTCCATAGCAAACAATTAATTGTACAGTATACACCCTGAATGACCTCTGACTACTTATGGCTACTGATTTCAAATGAATAAACATAAGATATAAGATACTGAAATAACCAAACAACCCACCTCTTGCTCAGGAAGGTTTTCTGCGATCGCTGCTTCGTCGATGACTGATTCTCCGCTGTTCTTCTTCAGCTCTTTGATTCTCTGTATGCGATCTCGCTTGACGTTGCCAGCGCTCACCAACACTGACTTGAGCGCTCGCAGGCCAAAGTCGTAGTGCGACTGGTTTGAAAGCTGTTCATCACACAACCTGAAAAAATTTTTACGATAGTATAATTTGCCTATAAAATGAACTGTACATTTAATAGTCTGTAGGAAGATGCTGATGGATTAGAACATTGATAAGAATTGTTTCAAACAGATTGAAGAAACAGCTTGTTATTGAGGTCCACTTCTTGTTGAGGGTCATGTTAAGATTATTTCGGCAAGCAGTTGTGCTAGCAAGGTTAATGAAAACACTGAGCATAATTAATTACTGTTATTTTATTTCTGGCTTACATTATTGACCATTATTTATTTGTAAATCTTGCTATCTTGCATTGTTTATTAACTTTCCTATAGTAAAATTGTGGAACTGTTGATAATAATAAATAAAAAACTATAAAGAGTGTATTCCAGAACAACGCTTAAATACTACCACGTTTATTTTTTTTATTATAATTTATAATACAGTACCCTTAACCTATTGTGTCACTAAGTTTAAAATAGGTTAGTAAATAAAATTTACAATAAATAGTGAGGGGCGAGGAATGGGGGTTTCAAATCTAGACTTATTGTAGTACTTAAGCCTGAATTGATTAAAAATTATGTTTAAAACATCCATTTTGAGGAATTATCTAGGCAACTGTTCAAACTACGTACAGATTTGTACTATTAAAGTAGAATTCGGTGCTACAAAAGACAAACAGGTCAAAGTAGCTATGGTGGGATTACCCCCACTCCTCCCCCACCCCACAAAAAAGGTTGACTTCTCAAAATGGTTAGTTATAGAGGTTCTGAGATGGAGATGCACTGTATTTGGAAAATAAGTGTGTTGTATTGAGGTGGTTTTTATAGAGATTTTCATAGTATTATTGAGGTTAATTTAACACTACGTGTTATGCTGTTTTCAAGGGGATGGTACTTGTAATTGAGGGTTGGGTTAATGAGGTTGTACTGTACATTGTATTTGATGTCTTCCATATAAGGGAAAATTAATGCCGTGTGTGTGTGTGTGTGTGGCCAGCTTCTTGGACTTTTAACAGCAACGGATTCAACCCCGGAAATTCCACAAAAACTAGGGTTTGGACCACTTATTCATAAAAGCGTTGAAAATTCTTTCATTCAAACTGCCACTGGCATAGAAACTCTAAGAACTTATTCGACTCACTTGAAGAACGGCACAATCTTGCATGCGAGTTTCTCCGCAGTCCGGAAGCCTTGGCTGAACAGCATCACCTCGGCGATCAGTTGTCTGTCGGGTTTGGTCATGGCCAGAGAGCGGAACAGCTTCTTGAGGTTGTCAGGCAAGTTGGAGCGTCCAGCATAGCCGGGGTTCATAGTGATGAAGATGGCCATGTCTGTAGACACTCTCACCTGCTTGCCTACCAGCTCAACACTGATGGCTGCAACAGAGAGACATGGATAAAGCATGGACCCATCAAAAAGCTACTACCTGTGATTAGCTGATGAGCGCATAATCCAACTTTAACTTATAGGCCTAAGCTAACTGAACTGACATGTGCATATCTCGTTTTTTAATTTAAAATTTGACACACTGACCATTAACCATCTTAACAGAAACCAACGTGAACGAATCACCAACTTGAGGGAACTGACTGAAGGGAAGCTGTGCTAGCGAAGGTCCAATAGAAATATTCTATTTTACTAAATAAGTTCTATGACAACACTTTTAAAACTTTATAATCACATTTATTTAGTGTGCTCTTTGTATGTTATTAACTCTAATTCAGTCAAGTGTGACCAAACCAATGAAAATACTAGGTGATGTTTGAGTAAACCTTTGGTGGAGACAAGATCATTTGTTCAAAGCCAAAGCCCACAGTTGAAAGAAAGCTGGGTTTAATTTTAAAATTTGAAAAAGTTTTTCATAGAAATACAAATACTTAAAAGAAAACATCCAAAATAGTTTAACCAGATGTGAGTCATTTACGTACAGTTTAAAAAAATTATCCACTAAAATATTGTTCGTCTTTCTAAGGAAGATTAAAATTTGTATTTTAAAAGTTATTACAGGACAGTTCTGAAAAATTCTACTATCAGACTATCAATCTAAGCTGTAAATTAATAAATACACATCTAAGAATTTGCAGAGCGACCAAATTTAAGGAGTTAAGTCTTTATTCCCTATTCAATCAAATTACAAAAGTAATGTGAAATGGCTCTTAAAACTTTACCGCTCTTAAATAAAAAATTGACAAATTTTGTATTTAGCTAAAACTACAAAGTTACCTCCGGATATCCCATTATTCAATTACAACCAAAAACTAACACAAAGCTAAATACAATGGGTTATAACAAAGCTTTACGGAAACATTTAAAACTGCCCAACTCAAAGCGTTCCAAGTTGAGTTTTATTGATTGAAACTTTCTCTAAGTTCATGTCTATCAAACAGAGAAAAGCTGACACCCAACTGTCACTTCAGCATGAAACTCAACACGAAAATCTTAAATTGAAATACACTGCTACTTTGACCTTTAGTGTGATTCAGTAATGAGAATTTCCAAATTCTGACACTGTCAAGAAGAGATTGCCATCATTTACCAAGTTAGGAGAGTAATTTTGTAGTTTAAAACGTTAGGTTAAGTTACAGCATGGAATTTACTTCTAAAGTCAAAGTAAATAGAACTGGTAGGTCAAGGTAATGTATTTAAACAGGCCAGCTGGTATTAATCAACCGTCAGTTATATTTGAGTTGGCTATAAAAGTTATAGATTTAACAGACTGTTACTTATGACAATCACAGAAAGCGTTTTTAGGTTTCAACTATGTGCATCTAAAATATAGATACCATTTACACAAATTTGTTATTGATCAATGAAGATGTCAACTGATCTGACAAATTATGCAATGATATTATGTTTTTAAGTTAATACCTTATCAAACCAAATTCAAATTTGTAATTATTCCCACTTTGAGCTAAGGAAAACTGACAACTTTATGCTGCTATGTGACTCAGAGTTTTAAATTATTGCTCCCACTAAACAAAATATTTTGAAATAGGCATTTTTAACCAATAATAAATAAGAGTTTATAAAAATCCTAATACAAAATCACAGCAAATCAGCAATTCTATTGATTGTTTAGTAAAAATCTAAGAATGATTTATTTAGAAATTCATATATTGTACAGAAGTATTTATAAGTTTGAAAGGCTGTGATTTTTATTTTTAAAGAACTTTATGACAATTCTTAAGAGGGTGGGTTTTATTGTTCTTCTAATCTTTTAAATTCATCTATTGGACAGTGAATGCAAACCACAAACCTAGGATGCAACTTCTAGAAATTGAGATTCAATTTCTCCTCAGCTGTTGTTAAATTTAAATTCAATGTGATTCACTTACTGCCTTCCTTCTTGGCATCCATTTGAGTTTTCAGCGCCTCCTGTATCGTCTGTATCTGCTGGGACACAGCCGACAACATCCTCTCCTCAAGACGGTTGAACTCGTCAAAACAACCCCAAGCACCCACCTGTGGTCGTAAACCAATGCATGTTAAGTGGTAAAATCAAAGCTAATCAGTCAGACTAAAGCACATCAAAAATGCTTGCTTGAACTTATAGTACACTAGAGTTTTTTTTTTTATTCACAAGGTTCAAAAAGAAATTATATCCTCCAAATAAAGACGAAACTATCTAAGACTGGAAAAAGACAAGTACACACCTGACAAAGGCCGACAAAGATGCGTCCCATGGCTTGGAAGTCAAAGGTCTCGTCACAGTTGAAGACAAGAACAAACCGACCAAGCTGGTGTCCCAGAGCCTTCACAGACTCTGTCTTGCCAGTACCTGCAGGACCTGTAAACCACAACCAATTATACCATACTGCAGTAGACATCACATCTACAAAGACCAGCTGCAGCCAAGACATCACCTGTACAGTATTAGCATTTTTTGTTACCTAAATGTTTTATATCCGTGAACGTGTGTCTTCATTTATTATAGATTGACGACTTTCAAATAAAGCAAGAAATCTTAGCACTGGCCTGACGATGACTGATGTGTTAGTCAAAACTAGTTCCCAAACCGCAACACACAAGATCGCAAGATACAGGTCATTTACACCAATTTGTAGTATATAAATGCAATCAGGAGGTTAAAATGCATTATAATGAAAAAAATGATTTTAGTTATCATGCTAACAGACACACGTAGGCCCTATACCGGGTGTTTGGTAGTCATTAGACAGTGTCAAAGATTTTACGGCATGATTATGCTGGCAATTTGCGATTCCAATACGCATTTCGGAGAGTTCGATCTCACTCCTCCTTCCACATTTATTAAATGGATGCATAAAAAAAAGTTTAAGCAAATTGTGGCACCCTTTTTATTGATTTTTCAAAACTTTTTATCCAAGTTGAATTTACAAGGTTTTACATGTATTCTACTGTAACAAACTATACTTTTTCTGGTAGAATATTCAACACAGATTCTAAAAAAGCCCTTGTTATGTTAGCTAGAATTTTTAAAAAAAATTAATTTTTATAGGCAATGTCAAAATATTTAGAAACATCTTTAAATGGCTATTTCTGGTATATAACTCTCCGAATTGTTTATTTGTATTGCAATTAGCCAGCATAATAAAGCCTTAAAATCTTTGACACTGACTACGAAACACCCTGTATATGTGTTTTTGGCCTTTGGGGACAACAAAAAGAAAAAGTCATCTGATCCCAGGACTTGGTCTTACCGTTAGACCTATAGTAATAGTATATTCCCTACATGCTAAAATGAGGTTTTTACTTACCAAACGGGGATCCTCCCAGTCTACTCTCCAATGCCTGAGTCATCGTCAGGTAACATCTGTCAGTGAGAGGAGTCTGTACAAGTCGGTCCTGCAGACAAACAGACATTATAATAGAAACTAGGACAACTACAATTCCTTGTACATGGATCTGTGTGTGGAACTTAAGTCACTCTACATCGAGACTGATATGTTTCATCCTATTGGTTCGGTTTTCTACTTGAAAACCGAAACTACAGCAGGTGATCGTGGAAGCCTATCCATGAAAAACTTGTATACAGGGTGTCTAGTTCTATACAGTCAAAGGTAAGAGAAGACTCTATGAGTAGTGGGTCACAATAGATGTTGTCACGATACAATACACAATAAACTACTTACTACTACTACAGTTTACCTGTACTCCGAGGTACTCAAAGCCGTAGAAGAACTTTGCGTTGGCCATGTGGATGGTCAGCTGTTGCAAAGCCTCGTTCTGTCGAGGGTCAAAGTAGAAGCGCATCTCACACAACCACTCGAAGGACTTCGGACTGTTCACTCCGTGAGCAATCAGTCGACGAGTCACTGTGCGCTTATGCACAAACTCATTGATCTATGGACAACAGATGTATGTCCTTAGTTATTTTTAGCAAATATTTCACATGGTGACAATAAAAAAAGTCCTAGAGGCAAAAAATAGCCCTAGAGGCAAAAAAATACCATCTGTTCAATATATAATAAAACAGGATTTAGATATAAATTCAATGGACAACAATAACATTTTGATTGTGATTAAGGAAAACATTTTAACAAATTTGAAATAAAAGCACTGACCAAGTGTTCAAGCTTGCGCCGTCGCAGAGGTGGTTGTTCTTGCAGTACAGAGTCAGCCAGTACAGTAAGTGTAGCCTCCACTTGCGACAAGACTCGTTCTAGAGGTCCCATCCCTGCATCTGAACTCATCTGGTGAAGAGCCGCCTCTACGTCTTCAGACCACAGGATCTGCGCTGCCAGCACCACGATCTGCGCCTGAAACACACACACAGTTGAGAAATTTGATTATGGACATATATTTCATTTTTAAATGTTTAATTAATTTTATTCGGGGAGTCCAAAGAACCCCTTGAAAAACCCACCCCACCCACCTTTTTAGGCCGTAATCCTGATTTTTCATGATTACCGGTTGCCAAATAAATGTACCTTTGACAAGGTACCCGATATTTTCAGGTCACGCCGGAACAACAGTTGGCCCAAGGGGTCGGTTTGGGCTAAGCTGTGGTCAGGCCTAATGAACACAACCTCTACATAGTCTTACCTGGTACTTGTCACACCACTGGATGTAGGAGGCAGAGTCGATGGGTCCGTCCTTGAACTGTTTGATGTCTTTGACTGCCTGAGCCAGACAAGCGGCCAGCGTCACTCTCATCTCTCTCTCTACCATGGTCAGCTCTAATGAACACAACCTCAACATAGTCTTACCTGGTACTTGTCACACCACTGGATGTAGGAGGCAGAGTCGATGGGTCCGTCCTTGAACTGTTTAATGTCTTTGACTGCCTGAGCCAGACAAGCGGCCAGAGTCACTCTCATCTCTCTCTCTACCATGGTCAGGTCTAATGAACACAACCTCAACATAGTCTTACCTGGTACTTGTCACACCACTGAATGTAGGAGGCAGAGTCGATGGGTCCGTCCTTGAACTGTTTGATGTCTTTGACTGCCTGAGCCAGACAAGCGGCCAGCGTCACTCTCATCTCTCTCTCTACCATGGTCAGCTCTAATGAACACAACCTCAACATAGTCTTACCTGGTACTTGTCACACCACTGAATGTAGGAGGCAGAGTCGATGGGTCCGTCCTTGAACTGTTTGATGTCTTTGACTGCCTGAGCCAGACAAGCGGCCAGCGTCACTCTCATCTCTCTCTCTACCATGGTCAGCTCTAATGAACACAACCTCAACATAGTCTTACCTGGTACTTGTCACACCACTGGATGTAGGATCCGTCCTTGAACTGTTTGATGTCTCTGACTGCCTGAGCCAGACAAGCGGCCAGCGTCACTCTCATCTCTCTCTCTACCATGGTCAGGTCTAATGAACACAACCTCAACATAGTCTTACCTGGTACTTGTCACACCACTGGATGTAGGAGGCAGAGTCGATGGGTCCGTCCTTGAACTGTTTAATGTCTTTGACTGCCTGAGCCAGACAAGCGGCCAGAGTCACTCTCATCTCTCTCTCTACCATGGTCAGCTCTAATGAACACAACCTCAACATAGTCTTACCTGGTACTTGTCACACCACTGAATGTAGGAGGCAGAGTCGATGGGTCCGTCCTTGAACTGTTTGATGTCTTTGACTGCCTGAGCCAGACAAGCGGCCAGCGTCACTCTCATCTCTCTCTCTACCATGGTCAGCTCTAATGAACACAACCTCAACATAGTCTTACCTGGTACTTGTCACACCACTGGATGTAGGAGGCAGAGTCGATGGGTCCGTCCTTGAACTGTTTAATGTCTTTGACTGCCTGAGCCAGACAAGCGGCCAGCGTCACTCTCATCTCTCTCTCTACCATGGTCAGCTCTAATGAACACAACCTCAACATAGTCTTACCTGGTACTTGTCACACCACTGGATGTAGGAGGCAGAGTCGATGGGTCCGTCCTTGAACTGTTTAATGTCTTTGACTGCCTGAGCCAGACAAGCGGCCAGCGTCACTCTCATCTCTCTCTCTACCATGGTCAGCTCTAATGAACACAACCTCAACATAGTCTTACCTGGTACTTGTCACACCACTGAATGTAGGAGGCAGAGTCGATGGGTCCGTCCTTGAACTGTTTGATGTCTTTGACTGCCTGAGCCAGACAAGCGGCCAGCGTCACTCTCATCTCTCTCTCTACCATGGTCAGCTCTAATGAACACAACCTCAACATAGTCTTACCTGGTACTTGTCACACCACTGAATGTAGGAGGCAGAGTCGATGGGTCCGTCCTTGAACTGTTTGATGTCTTTGACTGCCTGAGCCAGACAAGCGGCCAGCGTCACTCTCATCTCTCTCTCTACCATGGTCAGCTCTAATGAACACAACCTCAACATAGTCTTACCTGGTACTTGTCACACCACTGAATGTAGGAGGCAGAGTCGATGGGTCCGTCCTTGAACTGTTTGATGTCTTTGACTGCCTGAGCCAGACAAGCGGCCAGCGTCACTCTCATCTCTCTCTCTACCATGGTCAGCTCTAATGAACACAACCTCAACATAGTCTTACCTGGTACTTGTCACACCACTGGATGTAGGAGGCAGAGTCGATGGGTCCGTCCTTGAACTGTTTGATGTCTTTGACTGCCTGAGCCAGACAAGCGGCCAGCGTCACTCTCATCTCTCTCTCTACCATGGTCAGCTCTAATGAACACAACCTCAACATAGTCTTACCTGGTACTTGTCACACCACTGAATGTAGGAGGCAGAGTCGATGGGTCCGTCCTTGAACTGTTTAATGTCTTTGACTGCCTGAGCCAGACAAGCGGCCAGCGTCACTCTCATCTCTCTCTCTACCATGGTCAGCTCTAATGAACACAACCTCAACATAGTCTTACCTGGTACTTGTCACACCACTGAATGTAGGAGGCAGAGTCGATGGGTCCGTCCTTGAACTGTTTGATGTCTTTGACTGCCTGAGCCAGACAAGCGGCCAGCGTCACTCTCATCTCTCTCTCTACCATGGTCAGGTCTAATGAACACAACCTCAACATAGTCTTACCTGGTACTTGTCACACCACTGGATGTAGGAGGCAGAGTCGATGGGTCCGTCCTTGAACTGTTTGATGTCTCTGACTGCCTGAGCCAGACAAGCGGCCAGAGTCACTCTCATCTCTCTCTCTACCATGGTCAGCTCTAATGAACACAACCTCAACATAGTCTTACCTGGTACTTGTCACACCACTGAATGTAGGAGGCAGAGTCGATGGGTCCGTCCTTGAACTGTTTGATGTCTTTGACTGCCTGAGCCAGACAAGCGGCCAGCGTCACTCTCATCTCTCTCTCTACCATGGTCAGCTCTAATGAACACAACCTCAACATAGTCTTACCTGGTACTTGTCACACCACTGGATGTAGGAGGCAGAGTCGATGGGTCCGTCCTTGAACTGTTTGATGTCTCTGACTGCCTGAGCCAGACAAGCGGCTAGCGTCACTCTCATCTCTCTCTCTACCATGGTCAGCTCTAATGAACACAACCTCAACATAGTCATACCTGGTACTTGTCACACCACTGGATGTAGGAGGCAGAGTCGATGGGTCCGTCCTTGAACTGTTTAATGTCTTTGACTGCCTGAGCCAGACAAGCGGCCAGCGTCACTCTCATCTCTCTCTCTACCATGGTCAGCTCTAATGAACACAACCTCAACATAGTCTTACCTGGTACTTGTCACACCACTGGATGTAGGAGGCAGAGTCGATGGGTCCGTCCTTGAACTGTTTAATGTCTTTGACTGAATGAGCCAGACAAGCGGCCAGCGTCACTCTCATCTCTCTCTCTATCATGGTCAGGTCTAATGAACACAACCTCAACATAGTCTTACCTGGTACTTGTCACACCACTGGATGTAGGAGGCAGAGTCGATGGGTCCGTCCTTGAACTGTTTGATGTCTTTGACTGCCTGAGCCAGACAAGCGGCCAGCGTCACTCTCATCTCTCTCTCTACCATGGTCAGCTCTAATGAACACAACCTCAACATAGTCTTACCTGGTACTTGTCACACCACTGGATGTAGGAGGCAGAGTCGATGGGTCCGTCCTTGAACTGTTTAATGTCTTTGACTGCCTGAGCCAGACAAGCGGCTAGCGTCACTCTCATCTCTCTCTCTACCATGGTCAGCTCTAATGAACACAACCTCAACATAGTCTTACCTGGTACTTGTCACACCACTGGATGTAGGAGGCAGAGTCGATGGGTCCGTCCTTGAACTGTTTAATGTCTTTGACTGCCTGAGCCAGACAAGCGGCCAGCGTCACTCTCATCTCTCTCTCTACCATGGTCAGCTCTAATGAACACAACCTCAACATAGTCTTACCTGGTACTTGTCACACCACTGGATGTAGGAGGCAGAGTCGATGGGTCCGTCCTTGAACTGTTTAATGTCTTTGACTGCATGAGCCAGACAAGCGGCCAGCGTCACTCTCATCTCTCTCTCTATCATGGTCAGGTCTAATGAACACAACCTCAACATAGTCTTACCTGGTACTTGTCACACCACTGGATGTAGGAGGCAGAGTCGATGGGTCCGTCCTTGAACTGTTTAATGTCTTTGACTGCCTGAGCCAGACAAGCGGCCAGCGTCACTCTCATCTCTCTCTCTACCATGGTCAGCTCTAATGAACACAACCTCAACATAGTCTTACCTGGTACTTGTCACACCACTGAATGTAGGAGGCAGAGTCGATGGGTCCGTCCTTGAACTGTTTAATGTCTTTGACTGCCTGAGCCAGACAAGCGGCCAGCGTCACTCTCATCTCTCTCTCTACCATGGTCAGCTCTAATGAACACAACCTCAACATAGTCTTACCTGGTACTTGTCACACCACTGAATGTAGGAGGCAGAGTCGATGGGTCCGTCCTTGAACTGTTTGATGTCTTTGACTGCCTGAGCCAGACAAGCGGCCAGCGTCACTCTCATCTCTCTCTCTACCATGGTCAGCTCTAATGAACACAACCTCAACATAGTCTTACCTGGTACTTGTCACACCACTGGATGTAGGAGGCAGAGTCGATGGGTCCGTCCTTGAACTGTTTGATGTCTCTGACTGCCTGAGCCAGACAAGCGGCCAGCGTCACTCTCATCTCTCTCTCTACCATGGTCAGCTCTAATGAACACAACCTCAACATAGTCTTACCTGGTACTTGTCACACCACTGGATGTAGGAGGCAGAGTCGATGGGTCCGTCCTTGAACTGTTTGATGTCTTTGACTGCCTGAGCCAGACAAGCGGCCAGCGTCACTCTCATCTCTCTCTCTACCATGGTCAGCTCTAATGAACACAACCTCAACATAGTCTTACCTGGTACTTGTCACACCACTGGATGTAGGAGGCAGAGTCGATGGGTCCGTCCTTGAACTGTTTAATGTCTTTGACTGCCTGAGCCAGACAAGCGGCCAGCGTCACTCTCATCTCTCTCTCTACCATGGTCAACCACTCATTGATCTTGGAGTGTTCCACAGTAGACACTGGGCTGAGGAACTTCACCTACAGACAACATTTGTGGTTAGTTACGGAATGCACTTCGAGGTTTCTTAATAGCTTTTTTTATGATTTCGTTAAGTTTTTTAATAGAAAAGACGTAAGGAATGTTTTAAATATAACTGCGTATTATTCTTAAGATGAGTCACGATATATTTTTTTACTTCCAAGGGGGCAAAAATCTCCGCTAAATAAAAAAAAAATTGAGCTCAGATTATTCTAATACTCAATTTACAATGATTTCAACTTACTTCTTCTCCCTCTCTGGATGCTATGCCAGTGATGACATTGTTTTCCTCGTTTAGCAAGATGGCCGCCACACCAGCGAACATCTTCTTGAAGTGTTTCTGTAGTCGAGCAATGTTCTTGCTGTTTCCAATGATCTCCAGCAGGTCCTGAAACAGCATGTTTATTAGCAAGAGCCAAATGTAATAAGTTAAATGATTTTTATCCAAAGGATGATTAAATTCCAGATTTTGGAGTTACCGGTACGTATTCAATTCTGTGTAGGCTATATTTTAAAATTGAGGGTCAAATTGATAATTTTAAGAATTTTTTTAAATATAGTATACACATAGAACATACAGTGTAAAAGTCTTTAAAAATCTTTAAAGATGGAAGTTATTATTTTTCATAGGTTAACTTAGTTTCACTGTGCTAAAATTAAAAAAATAGTGTATTTATAATGTTATTATTTTCTCCAAATACTAAAGTAAGCTAAAGAACCATAAACAATACAAACCTCGTCACCAACAAAGTAGAACCGAGGGAAGGACGTGCGTTCACGCTCCAAGTACTCCCCGAGTGCCTTCTGTATCTTACCCAGCAGGTCAGCGAGACGCTCAAGTGAGCGCTGAACTCCTTGGATGTTCAACACATCCATCACCATGGGAGACTTGCTCACCTTCTTCATCAGACCCAGGAAGTCAGAGCTGAGGAATGGGGATAGTATTGATTTTAGAAATAGCCGCATGACTCTAATTTTCTTAGGTAAGCTAGTTGAACTTGATCTCTTAACAAGAAATTTAGATTTAGCCACTTGGTATCATTTCTTATTTACACAAACCACTACAACATCTATAAAACTAGGATTTTTTGAAGATAGCATGCTTGAATGGGAAATAGTCCAAACTGTGACAAGAAACACAAAACTTTTCAATATTTCACATTCACTGACAGTATTTTTAAGGGTGAAAATTAGGGGCGAGGCTAGAGCATAGCGGAGATTGTAGCTAAGGGGGTTTTAAATCATGCATGTACATTGTACGTAGGTATGCAAAAACATAGTGGAGCGGGGTGCGTAGCGCGGGGCAACATATATTCTTTTTTCTGCAATATTCTACTCCAAATTCTTTACCTCCAGTGTTTGGTCAAGGGTTGAGGCTCAGTGGTCAAACTGGCTTTAAAATCTGCTCCACTATGTTCATGTGAGGCGCCGCTAACATCGAGGGTAAGAAAACTCTCCACTTCACTCTAGCCTCGCTACTCCACCATGTTCATCACCCTTAAGGAAGGTAAGAGTTGAAGTGAGAGTGTTGGTGACAATGAAATATTCTAATGTTTTATGTTTAGTACCTATACAGTTTTGTGTTTCTTGTGCCAGTTTAGGCTTTTCCCTATTTAAGTAAGCCTGCTACTCTCACAAAAGTCCTAAAATCCTAGGCCCTTGTGCTCTTTGAAGACAAATCAAATCAAATCAATCTTTATTCATAATGTTAAGGGTGTAGCATAGAGCACAAGGGCCTAGATTTTTTAGGATTTTTTGAGAGGATAGCAGGCTTACCTGAATGGGAAAGAGTCCAAACTGGCACAGGAAACACAAAACAAAACTTTACAACTATATACACAAAACATTAGAATATTTCACTGTCACTGACAGCATTTTCAACTAAGGAAGAGGAAGAGATGGTTTTCTAGATGTCTCCTCTTCCTTAGTTGAAAATGCTGTCAGTGACAGTGAAATATTCTAATGTTTTGTGTATATAGTTGTAAAGTTTTGTTTTGTGTTTCCTGTGCCAGTTTGGACTCTTTCCCATTCAGGTTTATTCATAATGTGTACATGAGTCATACAACGACAACAACAACATCAAACCTAACAACAACAAACAACAACACATCAACACCAACAAACACAATCAACCTCAACAACAACCAACAACAAACATCAATTACCTGATGTTATGGAAACGAGATGTCTCCACAGGCAACAGAGTCTTGATGTCAGCACTTCCAGAGAAGATTCCCTCCAAGTAGACCCAGCGACGCTGCACGTCTATCCACACGTCAAACAGAGCGTTGATCCGGTTCAGCTTCTCTTCCCAGGTCAGGGCTTCCTCTTCAAATACCTGCGACACATTGACATACTCTTTTCAATACTGAGTCCTCTCTCCTACTAACATATCCTTCTCATGCTGCTATTTGAGAAGAATGTGGGAGAAATAAGCAATAAGAGACTGAGATAAAAACACAAATACCAAGAAGCAATAGAAATAGATGGAATTTAAAACAAGGTGAAGGGAATCGTTGTCATTAACAGAAAGCATTTAAAACCAATGTAGTTATAACAGTTTCAAAGCTAACAGTAAATTTCACGAAGTACTTTACTAAGTAAATTTAAAACTAACATCATTACCGATGGCTTACCTTGTAGTAAGGTGAGAGTTTCATGGCTGCCACTGAGTTGATGTGTTCCTTGACTTTGTTGAACAGATCATCCCAGCCTCTGATCAGACGACATTTGTTCTGGTAGTTGATGAGATCCAACTCATAACTCTGCCACGACTCACGCACCTGGTAAATGGTAAATCGTCAAATACTTGCTTAATAGGCTCAATGCATAAAAAGCTATTGTAGAAGAACACAGAAAAAGGGAGTTGAGTCGTAGTAAATAGAATCTTGGAATAATAGAGATGGTCAATTACTGGAATTCTAATTATGTCAAATCCACAATTCAGACTATCAACAAAATGAAAGTAAATTAATTAAAAGATATAATTTTTGCTTTAAAAAATAACATTTTATTGTTATTTGTGTTTTTCAGATATGAATCCAAACCAACCAAAACGAGTAAATAATACTTTTCATTGGTTATAACTGAAGACTTTGTAAATAAAACTTTAAAGGTAAGGTTAATTTATGACATTTGGTAAACTACAACTTTCATTACCACTAATTATTATTACCTGTCGAAGAAATTCCTCCAGAGCCATTTCTCCTTGTGCTGTCAGTATGATCTCCTTGACTACGGACTCGTTGCTTTGGAGATCTACATCCCACACCTAACAAATCACATGTTGATAAGTGTGAGGATAAAAATAACTAAAACTGTATTCAACAAAACTTAACTGTGTAACATGAAATGTAAATAAAACAAACTAAATCACTAAATCAGTCAATAACAAAATTTAACTTATGTTACTTAAGTTTAAAATAGGGGTTTTAGGAAAGTTCCAGGCATTTAACAGTACACAAAAAGTTCACAACAAAATTGATTAGATATTTTTACTTAGGGGATTTTCTTCAGTAGTAGAATCAGCTTTACCAATTCTTCATGGAGAAGCATTTTAAAGGATGAGTAAAATGAAATATCAAATTATGTTGTAAACCTTTTGTGTGCAATTAACTGCCTGAAACGCTTCCATTCAATATTCATGACAATGATCTGTTAATCATTAAGTAAACTTTGCATAGTAACGAAGCACTCAACTCACCTGTCCAAGTGTCAGGTCAGACAAGACCCAGTTGACTCTCAACTTCCTCATCAGCTGTTTCCAGTGTCTCTCTTTGAGAGCATCAGACTTGAGCTCCACAATCATCATGTTCACCTAACAAACAATAGAAATTAGTTGGACTCCATTTGATATCGCTCCTGAGAATTAGGGATGGTCAAGTCTCGAAATTTCGGGAAATTTTCGGGAAATTTTAAATCTCGTTACACAAGACGAGATCTCTTTTAGGCCGAGAAAAAAAAAAAATAAATAAAAAAAAATTTTAAACGCCTGCAGAAAGTCAATGCAATACCCGCAATACAGCAGCGTGTTGTAGTTGCGTTTCCTTTGCGGAGGCGTTCTTGTTTAATTAATTCTTTAAATATGTAAATATTACTTTAATTATTTTAATAATATTACTTTAATAACATTTGAGAAGTTTTGTTAAGTGTAAGCAGTGTGAGGAATGTTTTATTAGGCTACTATAAAAAGTCAAAACAAGTAACTATTTGATAAAAATTAATATTGCTTTTATTTTATGATTTATTTTATTTTAGAATAAGTTGATATCTATCCTAACTGATATCACTATGTTTCCTAATCGTAGGCATTTTTAATAAGTTAGGCGTGATTAATAAAAAAATGTTATGCTGATGTTTTTTAATAAAAGATTGTAAATATTCTTGCCTATTATCATTATTTTTGTATTTAAACAGTCATCTAACAATGTTACAAAATCAGGTAACAATTTTGAACGTGCATTTCCCGTTGTGTATGAGAAGGGAAATCCCGTCTCGATCTCGTCTCAAAATTTTATGAGAAATAAAAAATCTCTTCTCGTCTCGAACTAAAAATACAATCTCGTCCATCCCTACTGAGAATTATCTTCAAAAATATATATGCAAACAAAATGTACACTGCCTAATTTGTAAGGTACAAGAAATGTTTATGGAGATACTGAGGGTTGAATCCAAGGACTTCCACATTTATAAAAAATTCTGTTCCGTGAATGTTTGGTTGATATTGTAGTGTGTATTATACTCCTATCACAAAATTTAGGCGGTTTGAGGGGAAGGGATTCAATCCGCTCCACCCTAACTTTGAAACAACAGCTGACAGCTGATCAAACTTAAAAAGTGGTGGGGAACCCAAAAACACTTCCCCTTAAACCACCAACATTTTGTGAACAGACTATAAATAGTAATTGCAGGCAATCAACATAGGTCTAGACTGTCTGGACCAACACCATGTACCCGCCTCCATCTTGTAATGGGAAGTTGTATCCATGCATTTTATAATCAATTTCACTTTAACCACATCTTCGGACTCACTTTGGAATATCCTTGCAGCATTTTCTTGACATACTCGTAGCTGGAGTACTGTCTGAGTCTTGCAGGCAACTCCTTGAGTTGCTGTGTTAGAGTGTCCAGTTGTTGTCGCAGTTTGCGAGGTTGAATACTCAGCCACGGCTTCTCTCTGATCTCGTCTATCTGCTGCCAGATACGGGACAGCTCTGACCACACTCCCCTCAGGTCTTGTAGCTCCTCAAACACCACCAGCATACGGTCCTCACTGGAGCTGACGCCACCTGAGACAATAGACGATATCACCACAAGTAAGCCTCCACAGTCACTAAAATATCTGCTGCCAGATACGGGACAGCTCTGACCACACTCCCCTCAGGTCTTGTAGCTCCTCAAACACTACCAGCATACGGTCCTCACTGGAGCTGACGCCACCTGAGACATAGACGATATCACCACAAGTAAGCCTGAGTCACTAAATACAATTCAGTTATTGAACGAAAGAATTGGAAGACGAGGTGATGGATTCACAACCAACTTACTTCTAGATGATTTACAGCAAAGAAAAATTCACAAAAAAATTAATTTGGTTTCTCTTTACAAAACCGTGTGATGGATTCTCCTACTTTCCTCTGAAGAAGCCTCATATTAGAGGGAAAATATGTGATTAATGATTAATAATTTTGATGATTAATGATGTATGGGATTAATGATATTGTGAACTATTTGTGTGCTGTTTGTCTTTTCTTTGGTAAGTTAGTCCCAAAGAAAAGTACATGGTCAACTTTAGTCTTACAAAATTTGGGGTTTGATGAGTACCCCTTACTTCTGTAACACTACAAACCAGGTCTTGTGGACTGTGTCACAGACAGAAACTTATTACTAAGTTCTAACGTTTCGGCCTCTTGTCATACAGCCATCTTCACAGCAGTTAACTGGACAAGGTATGAGGCGCTTCTGACAATTCAATACTTCATCCACTACTATTCTAGCTATTTCCGTTATGCAACAATTAAGACCCATCATAGCCAAAAACGATAAGGGGAAATTTACACTCTTCGCCGAGTAGCCTATCACGTTCTGTGATTAGATTCCTGTAATCTAAGGCGTACCAGAAAACCTAATCTTCTTATTAACACTCACTAGGGTCCTGAAGTTCCAAAGCCTCCTTGGCCTTGGCCACATTGTCACGCTCCTCCTTGAGACGGCTGAACTTGCTCTCAAACAGCTGCAGCTGCTGTAACGCCTCGTCAGGTCTGATCTTGCCCTCCACCGGCTTGCTTCTCTCCCAGTCCAGCAGCAGGTCGTTGGTGCGAGTCTCCACAGCCTTGTCCTCCGCTACGATCTTCTGCTGCAGACTCTGGACCTGCGCAAACATGAATGAACGGTATCAACTGGAACATACTTTCTCACGTTGACTTGACATTAAAGCTTGTGAATAAGCGTGGTAGGTAAAACAGTGAGAGTTTGTTGAGTCAAAAATCACAATAACCATTATTTTTACAGTGTTGGAGGTCGTGCTATTTTGTTTGGAATCAAAGACTAAAATATACTAAAAACCATTCAAAATCGTAAGAGCTGTTTTTGTGAAAATCAGATTTTTCTGTTAATTTCTGGGTTTTCATGAAAAATATCCATTAAAATCAAAATTTTAAAAAAGCCTGGAAATACCATGTAAAAGTAGGCCTAAACACATACTAAATTTTATCTAAATCAGACTAAGCGGTCTAATAGACCGCTACTAGACGGTACTAGACCATTTTTGCAGGTACCGGTAACACAGACTTCATTTAACAGGGGTTTGGTTTGCCACATAATTAAAAAATCCAGGCTTGAAGTAACAAATCTTGGATGTTAAGGAATACAATTAAAACTAACAATTACAAAAGAAGATGTTTAGATTCTCCACATTTTCAAATTTCCCGCCTAACCTACTGCTCAAGATGACGCTCTTCAAAGATGAAGCCGCCATTTTTGTCCACTTCAGTCTAGTATATCAAGGTTGGTTCACCGCTTAAAGTTTCTTCCTTTTTTATCAAACACATTTTAACTTTAAATTTTACATTTATCTTTTGCTTTTTCGCCTACAGTGACAACGGTAACAAGCAACCATTGATGTTTCACACTCACCTGTGTCTGAATGGAAGAGTCCTTCCGCTTGATGATCTCATTGAATGCGCTCCACTCTCCTTCAACGTTGTCCACATGCAACCAGTTGTTGGGGAACTGGAAACGTTGCCTCTCTAGGATACGCTGACCCTCACGGTAAACTTCCACCTGCATGACAAAGAGATCCCATATAAATAACCATTCGTGAAAAAGCTGTTGCTTGACCTTGAACCTATTTAATATATTTTATTTCATTTTATTTTGACCAGGCTAAACATACGCTAATTCTAAACTTCAGATGTATAAGTTTAAAACCACCATTCCTGAACTGACTAATTGTTTCCAAATGCATCTATTGTGGATACTCTTAACCAAACAATGGAACTATTACGGCAAAATTATTTTACTAATTCTTTAAGAATTCTCATGTAAAAAAGTAAAAGCAGTTTTCATAACTGTGTAAAGTTTCTTCAGCCTGTGAAATTATTTAAGAAAAAATATTAGGCCTAATACAAATCAACTTTGAACTATAAATATAGCCTATTTGCATTTATTAAATAAGTTGACAGGAAAGCAGGCTTACCTTTAAATAAGGCCATAGAGACACATAATACAACAGAAAAGTAGACATTTTCACTGGAGAGAATTTCTCCAGTGGTTGAAGAAAATTTCTACTTCTGTGTTGTATATTTTATGTGTCTCTATGGACTTATTTAAAAGTAAGCCTGCTTTCCTGTCAATTTCCTTAATAATTCCTGGCAAATGGCCTATCTTTTTATCAGATAACCCATTTGCATTTATATACTTTAAATTTAACAAGATGGTAAATATATGAAAGAATTTTATAATAATTAAGGGCACGCTCCCCCTAACGGCAAGTTCGAATGCGACGCCAGCGCGCTCCTCAGCGGCGGTATCGGTTTGAAATAGAAAGCTGAGTCACAACTAAAGTAGTTCCCTCCGCACGGGCGAGTGGCGGGAACCCACTGGGAACTGACTGAGTGAAAACGCGACGGCGACAGGCGGACAGTGGTCCCTTGGTCCGTGTTATGTATGCCTTCTGCATCACTGATTCTCGATTCGATTCTCAATTATCCTATAGCTTTATTATTTTACCAAATTTGACTCGTCAATTCCAACACAGTAGTAAAGGAATGGCGCAAATAATCTTGACTACAGGGCTGTGTTTACTTATATTATAACAAATACCAGACTATGAAATATGGTCATAATATTTTTTAACAGCTTTAGTGTGATGAAAAGTCCTATTTCGTGACTAGTAGTGAAATATACCATTACTAGATACACTTACAATCAATTTAATTTGAAACTGTGACATGCCAGTACTCAATAGGCGTGTAGATTGTAGAATGTCCATTGTCCAAGGACCTATATTATACGATTATTTTTGGCAATTTCTACAAGGTGCAACTGTTAATGATTAAACTTACAGTATAAACAAATTAAATAAACAAACTACTCAGGAATTTCGTAACATACTGTACACGAATTTGTTATAAGTGTGTGGGAAAATCATTTGTTAGGCTCAATCTATAATTGAAATTGTTATTTTAATATAAAAAAATGTATATACATATAAAAACATGTACACATATTTTACAAAGGGAACCTGATGGAAAGTTACGTTACCAGTAGTATGCATGTTTTTTTTTAGCTACGGTAAGGAATAATGCAAACTTTAATTACGATTATAAAAACATTACTAATAATCAAAGACATAAATTTAATTTGCATAGTCTTTATTATCTAGGTGTAAGAAAAAAAATGTCAATAAAATTTCATATTTAAAAATTAAAGAACCATGTATATTGTACTGTAACTTCATTTCAATTAAATTTGTTATTTCCATAATTCCAGGAGGATACAACTGTCAGAATAAAACAGTACAACACATAGACTATTAATTATACATTACCCACCAAACTGATCATTAAGCATTACAAAATATCTATATAACATAAAAAAACTGTAAAGGGACATCTTAAAATTTCCATTTTTTACTGTAAATACTACAACGTTGCATTGAAAATTACAATAAATTTAATAAACGACATTTGTTTTGAAATAAATTGACAATGATTTCATGAACAATGATTATTTACACACATGTCTTTCTAACAAAGGACCTAAATTGCATTTTTATTCTCTACTTTGACACATTTTAAGTTTCTTTACTTTGACACATTTTAAGAGCAACCAAACTGTGGGGCGTGATTGTTCAATTGCTTCAATTTTTCAAACAAGTAGGCTATATCAATAATTCGCCTTCCTTGAACCACTTCATGTTCATTACAATCGTCTTCTGGAACTTCTTCAATAACAAGGTCTTGAAGTGGAGTTTCATAGTCCGGCTCCGGGCTGCATAGAGCATCATTACAATGGCTCGAAGTGGTAGCACTGTCTGTGCTTTCATTTGTAATGGCAGTCAAAGGCAAGCAGTTATACGATTTCAAAATACGCCACTCTTGAAGACGTTCACCTCCACGATTTTTACGCGGCTTTTTTATCTTACGCCGACATTTGCTGCCCATTTCGACATATAGCTAAAACTAACGAAAGGTAATAAAAAAAACACGCTCTTACTATTTGCCTAAAATCATAAATGTACTTTCATAGTATAGACAACGAAAACACTGTAGTAAACTATAATTCACAACAAACTAAAAGGCGCACACCCACTCACTCAGACATCTTGACAGTAGAGAGCACTGAAGGTAAATAGAGATGGCACTGGGCACGAAATGGGCGCGAAATACAGGTGAAGCCACCGGAAGCCCCCCGAAAATCAGTGTTGTCATATAAGGAGTGGGGGAAGCGATGAGTCATCCTAGTTACGCGCGTATCCTACAGTAGCCTCCATCTAACAAAGTTTGTAACATTTCGGGCAGTAAAAGCAGTTTTGTGTACACACAGCTTTATGTACAGTATTGTTTTTTCAAATGTTTTGTGCTCAAACTATTATTGTCAAGGCAATGTAATGTACCGTAAAACATCCGTGTTTTTGTAATGTGTAATTGAGTTAAAGATTGTTATTTAAAAGATTTGTTGTTGTTTGAGCAAAGTAAAACTTACATAAAAGGATAAATTCGTTTTAATATCCTTATTAAAAGTTTATAAACTGGCTTCAATGCATTGTTTCATATAGAGCCGATTTGGTCGTCATTTAGTTATTAATTACACAAAATAATAATACAATTAATGTGAATAGCAATTTTATGTATACGAATGTTACCTTACTTGACTTATAATTAATATACATATTGTGCATCAATCACTGTGTGTGTATGTGGTTGCTAGAGACGTGTAGTCGAAAGGCAGCGGTCGAGCGTCGCGTCGGCGGGACACAAATTTTGCTTCCTATTCTACCTGATTCATTTCCAAAAGTATGCTTAAAAACAACTTTTTGTTAAATGTATATCATGATACAACTCAAGCTTTCAAACTTTGCCGCTGACGAAACTTTCCTGACCAAAAAATAAAAAAATTTCCAGATCACTTACTTTTTCATGTTCTAATTCTCAATTTTAAAATTTCTTTGAGTTTTAACAGTTGTTAAAATTACAAAAAAATATTATTTTTAATTACAGCCTTACCATCACCGAGGAGCACTAATTTATAGTAGCTGTACCAAATTTGGTAATTTTAAGTTGACTCTAAGTGTGTCAAATCATTATACATTTGAAAAAGGTGATCTACCGCTATATGTAGCAGTTGCCGTCCCAAACTCCATTCCCATGCCAGTAACACAAGTAATACGAATATCACTCCGCTGCTAGTTTCGAGAACGACCGCTAGAGTGCAGTCGGACTGTTGATATTTTGGAGTAAGAAACTCGCTGCAACACTCTCGTTTGGCCCCAAATTTTTTGGTTATTTTTTATCCGATTTTAATAATTTTTTTTTTTATATTAATCTTAATGAAACATGTAATGCTTTTTGTTTTTTAAAATTATACATAATTGCCTTAAACATTACCAAAAATATTGTAAACTTACCCATGTTTACTAGTTTATTTTTAAAAACATAAATTACTATTTTTAAAATTTGGTCCACGAGTTGCATTTAGGATTATATTACCTTTCAAACGACACCACATTTGTAATTTTACGTTGAAAAATAACGAAAAAATTTGGGTATATTCGTTAGCATTGGTCTTATGGAGAATCAATCCAATATGGCCGACGGGGGGAGCGTGGCCTTAATATTGACTAGTCACAATATTGACAATAGTGAATTTTGACTAATCACACTGATCATCATCAGGCCCAATCGGAGGCCTAAATACTTTTCTTACTTTCAAGGAAAACCTACGAAGTATGTTTCCTAGAATCTGAACAGTAAGGCTCTTAAAGTTATGATACATTTCAACTTTTAATCCTTTAATTCTAGTAACATAAGTGCAGTTGAATGATGCTATATCAATTCTAGTGATCCTACTTCATTCAAGTACCGTACTTTAAACTTATGAAACTCAATTTCCATGTCCACAATAGTTTTGACAAGTCTTTGCCCTACCCCTATTACACTTGTTTGATTGCAACTGAGGCCAAAATTACCTGTTTCTCCCAAAGTTTCATGTTTCTCTTCAGTTGTTGCACGTAAGTGATGAAAGACACAGCATCCGAAGTACTTGCGGCCTCGATACTTTGCTGTTCAAGGTCGTTACGACTCTGATATACAACAGAAGAGTTTGATTATGCACAAATATCATTGATTGTTCCATCAAATACATTGTAAAAATGTCATAACCATGTTAAACAAATAGTAGATTACATACCATAATGGTTGAATGAAGTGTACAAGATCACACAAAATATATAGGATGAAAAAAGACAGAATTATTAAGTTATTTAAGGGAAGATTTTGTGAATCAGTAAGATGGATTTTTTATTAAACTAAGAATATAAGTGTTGCTTACAAAGCAATAAAATTTACATAAATTATAATAGATAAATTAGTAAATGAGGTAGGTGAATTAGGTATACCTCGATTAATAGGACAATTATTTTTTTACCAATTGTTATAACTTATTTAAATTTACAGTGTATATTATGTCACAAGAGATTAATGTTGTACACAGACATAATAATTACCAGTAGCTTTCCAATGAAAACCAGGCTCTTGATAATTTTCATTTCATAAACTTCAGGACCCAACCATGATTTAAATAAAAACTCCACTTAGTATATACTACTCTCCTTTATTTTTTGTTTTGCTTTGAATTACAGTTGTTTTATTATTTATATTAGTATAATATGTTTACAATAGTTATGACAGCTAATTCAATGCCTAAAAAGTTGACGGTTTATTTTGTAGGCCTACTTTAAAACGTAAAACAATTATTATTAGTACAACCTTGTTAAGTCACCACCCTTTAAGTTTGATCTCCGAATAATACAGACCGGTTTGTAATAAATAAAAATGAATACAAGATGTGCGTATTTGAAGCACCATTGCTTTATACAAGCTCATAAACAAGTGCTTAAGTGGATTTTCACATTTGTATTGATTGACAGACAGTCGCGGTCCCGGCTAGTTCTACAAGGTACTTAACTACACCTACAGTAGTTACATAAGACATATTATTAAAAATATTGTTCAAGACATTTTACCTTAGACACTTGCGAATGGAATTGAGCCATTTCATTGCCGAGCAGAACTCCAAACTTGGCTAGAGTCTCTTTCTGCCAAGCGTCGTACTTCAAGGTGACTTTGCTCTGCACCTTGGCGTAGTCTATGACAATCGGACCTATCTCCTTCTTGGTCTCGGACGTGTCAAATGTCTTGCGGGAGTTCCTGTAAAGGACAATAAAAACTGTTCAAAACTGAAAAAAGTCAATGTATAAAGAGTATATAATTTAATGAATTCTATTTTTGCTAAATATGAAAATGGCAGTGTCTGACAGAGGTCAAAGTACTTAAAGAAGTTTCTAAATCGGAGTCAGCTATCACAAGTTATTGATTTGTCTTGTATGCTTATTGAGCTCTTATTGATTTGGTCCAGGTCCAATAAATATGAATTTCTGTTTTTCTGTATACCTAATTAATAAGGTGTTGAGTAAGTTAAGTATGTTTTCATGAAAAATCTTAATAGATATATTACACAAATAGGGCAAATAAATCATTGAGAATGTAAGACACCACTTCTAAAGATAATAGACCGATACAGTAAAAGACGAGTGACATTTACATTTAAAAAAGATATATGAATGTGATTTCCGTTAAAAACAATGATAATGACATAAGAAATGTTTGAATTAATTTAAGTTTTCTTTTTTGAAACTGTTCCTTGCCAATCAAACTCAAAACCTTTTTGGCAGATTTCAGAATCAAGTTTAGGTTTTGACACTTTAATGGACTCAATTCCACATTCACCATGCAGTATAAGTCTTATAGAGGTAAAGTTGGGCCATCAATATTACAGGAAACACTTCATGACATTGAGGTTTTTTCAACCGTCCTTGTTACCCCGTAAAGGCGCTAAAAAACATTTTACTTATTTTTATAAACTTAAGGGATTCCTACAAGATACTTTGGTGCTGCAATAAATAATTTAGATTTTGACTTTGATGTTAAGGATACTGTATCTAGTATTGCCGAAAATCAACTACATCGCTTTATTTCAAATCTATGGTTCATGGACTCTCCGTACTGCTCGTTGAGCCTATGTATGTATTAGTGACTCACTTGACGTCGTTGAGGCACTTCATCCACCGAGTGACGCTATCACCCAGCCGTTGGTTGAGGGTGTCGCCTTGTAGGTCCCACAGAGCCTGATAGTTGAACCACTCATCTACATACTCTCTCATCTACAAAACATCAACGGATCAATTAGTTGTACCTATTAAACATTAAAAAACATCAAACTTTCTGAATCATCTCACATGGCAAGTTGTTTACTTACTTTATAGCTACTACTTATGGTTTACTTGTGAATTTAAAAGAACCAATTGAGTTACCTGTTTGACTTTCTTCTCGATGGCTTCAAAAGCGTTGGACATAACAGTTGGTGGCAGTTTTGCCAACAGATTCTTGTATGTCTGTGAAGTGACTCGATCTATGCCGACCTTGAAACAAAAAGATAAGTAAAAATAAAAAACTGAATGTGTAGTTGTTATTTACTTCTATATTGACCAGCTGTGGACAATTTTTTATTCAAAAAGAACATCATCTGTGAGCCAGTGAATCTATGAATCCATCTATGAATCTACAGCTTACAATAGGTTTTCAAATCAGTTTGACTTGGTTAACAATTCTAAATATTTAACAGAAATCATTCATTTACATCAGAGCAATCTGTCTGTGGCTCACTTCAACTACGTTTCGGGTCTAGTTTTATCAATTTAGTCAAATGTGGTGTATGCACTTATAATAGATAGTAAAATTATTAGATATTTTTTTGCTTTTTTTGTCTTGAGTACAGTGTTGAGTGGGTTACCTGATATCTGGTGCTCTGTAGTCGAGTTTGGGAGATTACGATAGCAATCCAAGCCTCCATTGAATGCATAAGCCTGGTTCTCGCCTCTTCAAAGCTGGGAAACAGGTACATGATTTGGTTGGTGATGCGTACCTCGTAGATCTGAATGGTGATCTGGAACAATACAATTGACAAATCACTCACAAGTAACGTAACTGTGAAAAGCTATACGGTCTCATAGGTAAGAGTTTTGGTCTGAATTTGTCATAGAGAATTATAGAAGATTAAAAAAAAATATATGCTCATATTTTAAAATTAAGTATTTATTTATTACATTTTTTGTTTGGGAAAATCAATCTCATTACCAAATACCATTAATACAACAGAGGATTGTTAGTGTTGTGATAGCATAATTTTTGTAAAACTGAAGTTTTAGATGTTTTTGGCATTTGAAAATTAGCCTTTTGAAGTTTGATGAGTTTACGTTGATTTACCTGAGGTTCGCCTCCTGGCTTGTGTGTAGGTTGTGCCGGGGCGTCGGTGTCCATGCTGAGGTCTATCTCATCCTTCTTACCCTCCAGAGCATCAGTCCACGCTTGTATACCAGCTTGCAGACGGTTGGATAGGTTCTTCTCAACCTGAAATGTGAAATGCATGTATAACTTACAAATCTCTCAGTTACAGATTAAGACAAAAACACAGTGGAGTGGGGCAGGTCGTAGATAATCACCTTTGATGTTAGAAGTCATAACGGCAAATTTATATGCAGAGTAATAACAAATTATTTTCAACAAACCAGTGTTATAATGGGATTTTCCTTTGCAAAACAACAGGATAAACAGGATTTTAGGCTTTCACAGATTTGTTCTGCTTTCTAGATAGCTAACTCCAATCAATCAAAGTATTTTACTATGGAAAGAAATCAAGGTTTAAAGAGCTATTTTAGCATTTCTTTTTTTATGAAATTCAAGCGGGATGAGGGATTTTCCTGACCCGGTTAGCAGAGTATACCAACCTCTTGGTCGAGCCTGTTGACCCAGATGTGCAGGTTGGAGTACTGTCGCAGACTGAGGTCGTCCACAGCGTGTTGTATCTTGCTGAGAATATCTGCTAGAGTGTTGGCAGAGTAGGGACAAGTGTCCAGGGATCTAACGTCGACGTCCAGCTGTTCCTCCAACACTAGCAAGTCTTCCACCTTCTCCTGGAAACTGACTACCAGGTCTGCCAACCTCTGCACGTACTGGTCCAGCTTGTAGCTCTCCCACACTAGTTGGATGCCCTGCAATAGACAATAGCCTTTATTTACATGTTCATGGAGACAGTACAGCATAACTACACACAGTGCAGCAACAACAAAGGTAATCTAACACAATTCAAGTTCTAACCTAAATTAGCAAACAAATATCCAGGATTGATTTTATTGCTACAATACAGTAGTCTATGATGTTTGATTCTGTTGGATCAATTGACTTTGAATATAATGAGCTTAAAAGTAAGTAGGCAGGCCTACACGTTAAAAAAAGTTTATCTTTTCAAATTAAATTGTATAGTTTCATTATTTTTAAACATGCATCAACACTACTTATACACTATACTAGATTTCCTGGAAAATATAAACCTCCTACCTGAATTTAAAGAAGATCATTTTACCGTGGTACACCAAGTAGTTATATTAAGATTTGTTTCTAAAATGAATGAGCAACTGTTTCCTACAGCAGATCTAAGCCACAGATTCTGTTTCATGTCCTCTACCCGTTGTGAAGCACAGATACAGCTGCTCATCCCTATTCAGTTTGTCTTTTTTTATTAACAATATGTCATGTAAAATAGTGCATATAGTACAGAGATAAAAGTGTTTCTGAAAAGATGTTTAACCAGAAAAAAGCTTTATGAAAAAATGTTTTTTTTTATTTAATTACACTTTAACTTATATTTTTTTCATCTAATTAATAAAGTAAATGATTAATTCATTTTTGGATTGTTACAATTATATCAACTCTGTGTGAGGAATAAACATGATAGTTCATATTAACGAAGATAATCAATTGTGTGAATTAGGCTACGTACCTCAGCAATCAAACCTTGGACTTCCTTGTGGAGACCGGCCACCAAAGGCACAATGCTGGTCTTTTCTTCTATCTGTAAAATATAAATGGTATTATTGCTTTAATCAAAAATACACACATAATCAGATTAAGAGATTGAGAGAGTGACTATTCTTAACTAGTGTATGTTTGTTGATGAGTTTTTATAACAGATTAACTACCAATTTCCTTAAATTAAATCTATAAATATAGGATGGAGAGGACACAGCTAACTCACCTGATGAAAGGTTGCAGACGAGTCAAAGAACACATAAAATCACACACATAAAATACTTAATATTTCGCCTCTTTCAGAGGCTACTTCTGAAGAAGCCTCTGAAAGAGGCGAAATATTAAGTATTTTATGTGTGTGATTTTATGTGTTCTTTGACTCGTCTGCAACCTTTCATCAGGTGAGTTAGCTGTGTCCTCTCCATCCTATATTTATTTATTTAATCCAAGCTAAATGCTTTTTCCTAAAAACATAACCTTAAATTAAATCTGTGATATTGACTGGAGAATCATCCGTATCGTGTACCATACACGATAGTATATCGTACTATGTGCCATATATAATCGGATGGTTCAAAGACATCGTGTATCAGGGTTTATAAATAACTTTGAAGAAGTGATATTGCATTATTTTTTAATCGTTAATGGTGGTTTAGGGTATCCTAAAAATGACTGCGGCAATAAAAGAAAAATACCTGTAACAAAACTATTGGCAGCAAAGTGTAACCTAGTTTATACTCTCAAACACTTCAATTTATACATAAAAAATTGTTATATTAACAATAGTCCCATAGTAACTCAACAAATCATAGCATATAAAAAAAGAGCACTCAGGTGCAACTCACACGATTATACTAGGAAAAACCATACATACGTGACTTTACGCTTATCCAGATGGGAGGCTAGGAATTAAACCAAGGTTTTGTAGATTCAAGACTTTTAAATTAAAGAACCAATTAGGCCTTATGTTAGATAACAATTCCATACAAGAAAACTATACTTAATAGTAATGCATACATTGAGCGAAATCTTCAAAAAATATATAACTAAAAAAATAATTATTTTCCACTTTGTGACTTTGTTTTGTATTCTTACAAAAGTTTCAAAATATGTTCCAAATTCTATAACGCTAATTAACTATGCCTCTGCTCGCAAAAATTAATTTAAAAACTACACCTAAGTAATATTTACATATACGATTATGACATTGAACATGCATGTTACTGTAGTGAATACACATTGAAAATAATTTTGAATAATTACTATTCACTTCAGTATTATAATCAAGTCATTAAACAAATTTGGGGGAATATTCATGGTCAAATTTACATTTTAGGTAACCTACAAATTATTCTTACAGGATTTGGTGATGTTACATTGATAGAATCATGATTTAAAATATTAAACATATTTTTGAACCTGTAAATAGTTTATAGTGCAATATCATGCAAAACGTTTATTCATGCTGGGTCAAGGTGTATGATACATTGGGAAGCGCAGCCTTGCACATGTTGAATCGCATTGCTATTTTTATCAGTTTACATTGGCACATACATCGAAATAGCAGAGATCCCAAGTCAATCACGTATAATATAAATATATATTACAACTCCTTCCAAAACAGAAACTACCTTTGTCCCTGAACATTTTTTTCAAGTAGAGCATTTCAAATGAAGTTTTACTTATAATTTATATTTTTTGAAAAGCAAAAATTTGTCAGTGCCAGTGGCATTTTTAATGAAAGAATCACAAACATTTTTGAAGGAAAAGCTGTAAACCAGTAGAAACTCTGGCTAACTATTAATCATCTAACAATAATTTTAAAAACATTGGAACGTTTTAAGAATTAGAAAGTTGTTAGTGAACAATAACCCCCCTCAAAAAAAGTGAATTAAAAGAAAAATGTTTTTAACTGTGTAGATGATATAAAATACATGTTTGTACTTGGGATCCCTGTGACGAGCTGCATTTAGCAAGCAAAGCGTTACGTTCACTTGAAACTACCTTGAGTGATGGACTATTTGCTGTACTGCGACCTGTGAGCTGTTTAAACACAAGTAAATGAAACACCAGACAACGCAATCCACACTTTCAGTCTTTCCACTTGATTAGTCCCACCAAAGATCTGCCAGGGAAAATCCCACTCATAAATCTTATTCCCACACAAAAGATCAAACATCCCTCTGGGGACAACTAGCCCCTTTTAACATGGCTTTTCCAATCAATAGACAAGATATCATTCAACAGAGAAAGAACCCAACTTTACCCCTACTGGACATAGATTTCCCATCCCACAAAAAATATATCCTTCAACTAGCCACTAAATCTCCCTGAACATGGATTTCACATTCAAGAAACAAGATAGCGTAGCCCTCAATTAGGCTAAAAATCCCACTTTTTCCTAAAAACTTATACCTTTTCTGAACATGGATTTTCCAATCAAAATACAGAAGCCTTCAACCAGGCAACTCCAACAACTTAATCCTAAAAAATAATGCCTTGCTACTCAACACTATCCTTATCAATTGCCAAAATATCCCTCTATCAGACATAAACATCCTATTTCATCATCTCTTGAACGTGGCTTTTCTACTCAACAGATAAAATATCCCTCAACTAGGCAAAATCCCATTTTAATCTTGGAATAAAATACCTCAAGTGGAAAAACTGCTTGCCCCGAGCTCGTTTTGAACATCTCCATTTGGATATTGTCATTGTCTGTAAAACACACACATTCTATGCTATTTTTACCAAAAATGTTGTTAGATAACCTTTTGGATGACCATCTAGCCACAGTTGATTAACCATGACCTGGCAATTACAACTGTAAGATCGTACAAGTTCAAAATGAGCTCAGTGCTACTCAATATCTCTACTTACACTATACCTTCTATGGCCTTCTATTCCACTACGGTGTCACACTACCTTCACCAAATTTACTAACTGCAGACTATTAGTGAATAAAATTCATATATTAAACCTAATAATGTGTACCTAGAGAAATCTGTCAATTTAAACGGGTTGGCAAGTAATTTGAAATTAAAATTAGCAAAAAGTCAAATTGATCTACTATTTTAGTCAATATAGAATGAAAACTTGTTGTAATTTATACATTTCACATTTGAAGAAATTAATGTCAGTTATTGTCAAATATTTTAATACAAAAATTATCAAGCATTATTACATTTCACATCAAAAATGTATAATTATTTACTTTATAGTATGGAATCAATTAGAGAAAAAAATCATAAATAGACTGTGGGCTCCTAAACCTGTTTATACCATCCTTCTGGGTGCAGAAATAATTAAAAGTTTCAAATACGGCTTTCAAAAGTCCTACCCAGTGCTTCATAACTATCCAGTTGAACTTTCCTACCTATAATCTACTCTGTGAGGTGATTTACTGATTTACCACTAAAACTTGAGCTACATTTACCTTCTCCAATGTTCTCTCGTAAGTCTTGACAGTCTCAATCAGTGATATTGCGAAGGGATATAGCTGATTGGCTTGATGAGCTTTGTTGACAATAGCCAACGGCACTCGGAACCCTAGTGTCTTCAGGTTCCTCACTTCCTTCGACAGTGTGATGATTTCTGGCAGAAAATTCACCTGGACAAATATTGTTGAAATAAAAGTAAAATGATCTACTAATTTTTCTGAAATTACTGTGATGAAATTCCTCTAGTTATACAATCATACTTGAGAATTTCATTTAAACTAGCTAAACGGAGAAAATAGTAATGCGCCCTGCATTACTTTCTGAAGAAGACTTATATTAGGACAGAATATCAGTTTTATGTGTATTTATCTTTTGTAGGATCTTTCACGCCCTGTAAAAGATCCTACAAAAGATAAATAAACATGAAAATGATATTCTGTCCTAATATAAGTCTTCTTCAGAGAGAGGGGGGGCTGTTGCTTTAGTCTTAATGGATGAACTTTAGTACTTTAGAGAAAAATCAATCTAAATCTAAGTTAGGGTTTCAGCTAACTTAAAGGCATCAATTTTAAGTTATTCTTTGTCTTGGCCTCTTGCTTCTGTACATTTTCTTTCTCTTCTTTTGAAGGAGGTCCTACTTTAGGAAAAAATATACTGATAAATATACTGAGGTTATATGTGTGACCTTTTAGTGTGTATCTTTTAAAGCTGGACTCTATTTTCTCAGGGGTGCTAGCTGAACTCTATACCTTTTCAAACAAATTCCTAACCAGCCTTTAAAATATAACCTCAGTTATTGAGAAACGACCAACCTTCAACTTGAGCACATTGCCTCGTCCCATACGTGACCGAGTGCTTTCAATGGCAAATATCCGTCCTGACACTCCCAGGTTGCGCTGCTGCACTTTCCTCGCCCAGTCCTCAAAGATGTCTTGAGTGTTAAGCTTCAGACGAAAACTGTCTCCGTCTGCCTTCAGCTTTTGTCCTTCTATGTGGTTCTCCCAGCCCCTTCCTAGAAAATGTGTAGGATAATTAAAATTAGGGATGGACGGGTCCCGAAATTTCGGGAATTTTTCGGGAAAAAAATATTCCCGATTATCGGGACGGGATTACATTTTAATCGGGAATTTTTCGGGACGGGATTTGGTCCGATCGTCGGCGATTTTGCCGCTTCGCGAGTGCCGATGACGCCGCTATTGCGAGCGCAGGAGACGAAGTCATTTCGATGATCGCGCCGTGACCGCGGAGTCCTACCGACGATCGCGCTGTGACCACGGAGACATGACGACGATCATGCCGTGACCGCGAGTCATACCGGCGATTACCCCGTGACCGCGGAGTCATACCGGCGATCACGACGTGACCGTGGAGTCCTACCGACGATCGCGCCGTGACCGTGGAGTCCTATCGACGATCGCGCTGTGACCACGGAGTCCTACCGACGATCATGCCGTGACCGCGAGTCATACCGGCGATCACCCCGTGACCGCGGAGTCATGCCGACGATCACGACGTGACCGTGGAGTCCTACCGACGATCGCACCGTAACCGCGAGTCATACCGACGTTCGTGCCGTGACCGCGGAGTCCTATCGACGGTCGCGTCGTGACCGTGGAGTCCTACCGACGATCATGCCGTGACCGCGAGTCATACCGGCGATCACCCCGTGACCGCGGAGTCATACCGACGATCACGACGTGACCATGGAGTCCTACCGACGATCGCACCGTGACCGCGAGTCATACCGACGTTCGTGCCGTGACCGCGGAGTCCTATCGACGGTCGCGTCGTGACCGTGGAGTCCTACCGACGATCATGCCGTGACCGCGAGTCATACCGGCGATCACCCCGTGACCGCGGAGTCATACCGACGATCACGACGTGACCATGGAGTCCTACCGACGATCGCACCGTGACCGCGAGTCATACCGACGTTCGGGCCGTGACCGCGGAGTCCTATCGACGGTCGCGTCGTGACCGTGGAGTCCTACCGACGATCGCGCTGTGACCACGGAGACATGACGACGATCATGTCGTGACCGCGAGTCATACCGGCGATTACCCCGTGACCGCGGAGTCATACCGGCGATCATGACGTGACCGTGGAGTCCTACCGACGATCGTGCCGGGACCGCGAGTCATACCGACGATCGCGCCGTGACCGTGGAGTCCTATCGACGATCGCGCCATGACCGTGGAGTCCTACCGACGATCATGCTGTGACCGCGAGTCATACCGGCGATCACCCCGTGACCGCGAGTCATACCGGCAATCGCGTTGTATCCGCAAAGTCATGCCGACGAACACGCCGTGACTGCGGAGTCATGCCGACGATCATGCGGTGATCGCGAGGCATACCGGCGATAGCTCCGTGACCGCTGAGTCATACCGACGATCACGACGTGACCGTGGAGTCCCACCGACGATTGCGCCGAGACCATGAGTCATACTGACGATTATGCCGTGACTGTGAGTCATACCGACGATTATGCCGTGACTGTGAGTCATACCGACGATCATCCCGTGACCGCGAGTCATACTGACGATCACCCCGTGACCGCGAGTCATACTGACGATCACCCCGTGACCGCGAGTCATACTGACGATCACCCCGTGACCGCGGTCATTCTGACGATCGCACCGTTACCGCGAGTCAAAAGTTTCTATAGGTACCTGTATATTATTACCCATTTGTTTGGTTTTTATAGATCAGTACCACAAACGGTAAAAATTGATTTTGTATGTCTTTTTTGGTAACTGCGGTTTACAGGGTGTCCACAGAAATTTTGTCTTTAATTTCCCTGACTTTCCATGACTATCCATGACCATTAACCATTGATTTCCATGACTCACTAACTTAACTCAAAAATTATAATATACCGTATACACACGAATAATACTGCCTAGACAAGTTATTTCACAGAAAATATTGAAATATGTAATAACAGATAACAATGGAGTACAATAGGTACAACAATGAACTAATACAAACTCAAAACCCATAAACTAAGACAACTGTATAAATTGAAATTGTCGTACATTTGTGAAAAATTCGGAAAATGCTACAATAGTTGGGGTTACGACCGACTAGAGCATTGAAAGGTCCCCTGGAATCCATCTATCATTGGGGATTTCCATGACTTTCCATGACTTTTTGCCTATTTCCATGACTTTTAATGACCAGAATTTTTTTTCATGACTTTCCATGACTATCCCTGACTTTCCAGAATGTGGGCACCCTGTGCGGTATGACTCAAGACTTTCTTTTTATGCACAGAAAAAATCCCGTCCCTTCCCGTCCCGAAAATCGGGAAGGAAATAAAAATCCCGTCCCGTCCCGTCCCGAACTAAAAATCCAATCCCGTCCATCCCTAATTAAAATATTGGTAATAGCTTCATTACTCTTCGAGTTGTACTTTCATTGCGTAAGGCTCTAGCAGGAGCTGTTTTACACATTACTTCAAGCTTAGGCCTAAAGGGTTGCAGCATTACCACATAATTAAAACCAGCGGTGATTGGTGGGATTTGAACCCATGACCTGCTGTATCACTACACAATTTTGCTCCCAGAGTAAACCCGTTTCATATTGACAACTTGAACTAACTGCAAATCACTGTTTTCAGATCAATGGACCATACTTACTCCATGTTACTGTACTATGTTCGACTCAAGTTATTTTTAATATGACATGGCTTTACACCAAAGACCACAATGTTTTAGTTAATTTTGACTGTCGAAGCAATTCTTCTCAGTTCTAATAACATTTGATTTATCATTGTTAGTTAAATTACAAACAAAATTAACATAACATGAGTAAAATATATATGCATGCAGGAACCTATAATGTAACCAAACTAGTTTTGAGAAATGCCACTGAGAAGTAAGATACAGAGGATTCAAGCTTATGGGACACCCGTCCGCCTAGCTCTGGTATGTCGGGCGGAAATGTACTAGTATTGAGCGAGGAAGAGCACGAACAACGATGGCAACATAGCATATTGGTACATCAGTTGTAGCGCACAGGGCCTTCCTACCATGAGCGCTGTAGTACGTGATGGCGAGAGGAAAAGGAGAGCGGAAGGGGACGACAACTAGAATTTGCTCTAGACACCAGCGACTGGTGCTAGACACTACTTAAGTGTACCATTGAATGTATCCTCTGTTTCTTACTTCTCTGTGGAAATGCTTGATTGGTACACCAGTAAGTGTTAAATCAGTTTTCCTCTTGTTTACATTAAATATTACATACATTTTAAATCTATCTCCTCAAACCTATTTTCTGGAGAAGTCCTATATTAAGACAAAATATCAGTGTTATGTGTTGTAAAATACATTGTGTATTTATTAGCCCCTGGACTTTTCCAAGCTAACTGAACTTTATCCTCTTATAAAAAGTCCTTATCAGCCACTTGGCTAAATAGACTTCCCATCTGTGTGTTCATGTTAGTCTGCCTTTGATCCCAAGTTGTATTTTTATAAAATTGTGAGTAGTCAATTGAATTTGCAATGATTCATTACTTTTCAGTCCAGACATTTAAGCTGATGGATGAAACCATTAACCATTTACCTAAAACATCCTCTACTCTGCGGAGATACGCAGTGAGTTGTCTGTCTATCTGTTTGGCCCAAATGATGGATCCAGAGACGGGCGGCAAGTCTCGGACAAAACTCATCCTAAAAGAGTTACTTTGCGGATACTGGACCTGCAAACCAAACAAACATTTCTGATAATAGATAATAGACTTGGAAACGAAATGGAAAAATTTCACAAACCTAGGCGCTTGTGCTCTATATGTTGGATAAAATCAAATCAAAATGTCTTTCCTTATCCTGTTCACAGTAGTGACATAAAAAGTGTTAATACAAATGCTTCTTTGAATATTTTTTGCAATAAATATTCCCATAGAATACAATGGGTTCTAAATTTAAAAGAATTTCAAAATATTTCATAGATTTTAATTATCTGGTTTATTTTACATTTTGGGGGAATTGGTTTTAAAATCTTTATCCCTGCATACAATGGGTTTCCCTCATATTCATTCCACCAATCTCCATCTGCTTAAATATTTTTCAATTTTTATCTGGTGTTGAATGAATAACAGGCTACCTTAAAAACTTGCATACAAAAACTATACATTCTAAAATATTACTACAAACTGTTAGAAAACCTAGATAATTTTTTAGTATTTTCTAGTCAATTCATCATGTCCTAGGTTGAACATGCCTTTTATTAAGAATTTTCTTACGCCTTATCTTTGGCCTTATGGCATTACTTAAGTTGCTGCTAACCTTGAATTTCTCATGTAGAGCCTCGATATCATCTTTGACCCGTTGTATAAGTTGCGTCTGGTACTCGCGTATGGCTCCTCGTATGTGAGGACGCACAAACAACGCGTTGAACCTGCTGAAGATGCGGAACATCTCGTTGGCGTTCTTCGCTGTTCCCAGCTGGTCTCTCAGGTGAGCCGTGATACGAGTCTCTACTCTGTCGATACGTTCCTCGTACCTGGAAAAGAAAATACTCAAAGCTATTCCTCAACTGAAATGCATGGGAAGTAGGTGCTGATGATAGTTCCCCTTGCTGAGCGAGTTTCATGCGAGTACCACATATGCGAGTCATATGTGTCTGTTTATGCGAGTCATAAATGACTTATGACTTACCGTTGACACCTTCCTGGATGAGTTTGCAAGCGATAGTTTATGCCATTTTGAATCGGATTTGTAGGTATTTGCAAAAACTTGAAATGCTATGTTCTGTAAAATGTTGATTGATTTGTCCGTTTACATTGAATTTGACTGTAAAAACTTAAAAGGCCACCTTTTTGTAATGTTAATTTTACTACACTTAATTTTTTTCTAAGATGGATCTCTTGAACTTTGGCATAGGCTACATGCCAATGTTCATAAAGATCTGTTGAAAACCCTCAAAGATATACATTTTTGTGTAGGAAATATTGAATAGTGAATATCTTGGTAAATGAAGTTTTTTTTTAATGTCACATTTTATTTTCTCTTTTTTTGACCCATTAAACAATTTCCCTGAGTTTGGCTGTTTACTCACGGGACACCCTGTATAGAAGAACTGCTTGTTTATAGTAATATCCATCAGTGTTACCAACCTGGCCACAGCTGCTTCCCAAGCTTCCACACCTTCTCTGCTCATGTCTAGACAGTCCACCTCCTTGACGTTCTCATATGCCAGGTTCACCTCCTAAAAATTCAACAAAAGTGTTAAATTTATAAGAACACATGAAAACTGACAATTTACCTGTGTACAATGAGTATTCCAACTTTTGTGAGGAATCAAAAAGATCAATTTAGGTTCTTGTAACGAGGATGATGTGTACTTTGCAGTATTTTGAGAGGACTTAGTTTCTGATATAAATAATAATGACACCAAACAACGTCAGTTTCGAGATTCAAAACTCAAAACCAAAACTTTTTCACAGTTTAGGTGGTTTTGAACTTTGAGATTTGATTTTGACACATCACTAAAAAGAACCTTTGGGTTTATCTGTCATAAAGATGGAAAAGTTCTTGAGATGCTTATAAATAGACAGAACATTTTCCCTCACCTCTATGGCGCTAGCGTCGGCCGCTTCTAGACTGAGAGGGTCTTGTGTTTTCCCTGTGTCCTCTGCAGTAGATTCTGAAGACAGACCAGCTGGTCGTGTGGGCCTCAACACTCGGACAATCACAGTGCGCAACTGCTCATGCTGGTGACGGAACCTACGCATGTGCTCCATGCGGACCTGTCAAACAAGAGAGTACGGTCAAAGTCATAATCTTTTATTCATACTACATTTGTTGCTTTGAAAGTTGTAGCACATGAAACACAAACAGTAGACTGTTATAAAAATAAATTGGCATCTTAATATCTCAAAATTGAGATGGCTCGCACATAATCAAATATCACGTCTTAACTAATTGGTTCATTGAGGTTAAGGATGCGACATGGTACAAGGGCCCAAGATTTTGGGATTTTTTGTGACAATATACAAAACTTTACATTATGCATAACAAAATATTAGAACATTTCACTGCTAGTGACAGCAATTCCTATGACTATATGACTTTACTGGTTTATTGACAAAAACACTGATGAAAATTCTAAAGTTTGCAAAGATTACAGAGGTAGGTGAACAATTACTTTGAAATTAGTTATATACATGCAAAATATAAAATGCATACCAATCAAACTGATTGCTACTGTTTTGTTGCATTTTTCTAAACAATCACACCAATCTCGTAAAAATGATAACAACAATAATCATACCAAACTATGTTATCAATTATTTTAACTTACTTGTAGCCGTTTGTGTACTGGAGACATCCTCCAGACCATCTTAAACTGTTCGTCTCGCTTCTTCTTCACCAAGTCTCTGCAACAAAGTTTTTTTAGAGCCTGCCAATCTAGTACGGTTAAACTGATGTGCTGATAAACATTTTCCGGTTAAAGAGATGTCATTTCTGCCGAGTAGAGTCCGGTTAAACCGATGTCTGGTTAAAAGGTGTCTGGATAAGAGAGAGTCTACTGTAGAGAGAGGAGGGGAAGTACTGTATTTCAGAAGAAAAAAAATTACAATCGGAAGGATTAGGAAATATTAGGTATGGAAAAGGTGGATGAACACCAAAAGAAATTAACAAAAGAAGTATAATACAGGCAATACAATAATTTAGATTAGGTATTTTACCAAGCTGACGAAACGGTTGTAAAATAACTAGGTTTGGTAAAAAATTTTTACTAGAGTTATATTTTAAAATGAAGTTAAACGGTTGTTTAGAATTTATTTTTTCAATGGAAAAGATTTTTCTAGCTAACCTGAGATGACGTTAACTTCAATCTACTCTTGGATGAAGTTCTATATTAAAAAGGAATATTTTATGTTTTGTGAATTTTTGGAGGACCAGTCTAGTCCTTGGAGTATATTTTTTCCTTAACAGTTAGTTAAACACTCCCTTTTTATAAAAATACAAATTTTGCAAAGAATTTTTGAAGTTGATGTTTTACGTTACAGAAATCTAAATAGGCAATTTAAAAATGCTTGCGACCAAAGTTAATGTTTGGATATAAATCAGAACTAACCTCAACAAAGCTTGAAGCTTGTCGTACTCATCGTCCCAACAAGTGAAGACACTGAAACACTGCGTCATCACCTTCTCAAACTCATCAAAGGGAATATGCATCAGCCGTCTGGTACCCAGCACCTGAACAGAAGAGAGATTAAACACTGCGTCATCACCTTCTCAAACTCATCAAAGGGAATATGCATCAGCCGTCTGGTACCCAGCACCTGAACAGAAGAGAGATTAAACACTGCGTCATCACCTTCTCAAACTCATCAAAGGGAATATGCATCAGCCATTTATCTTGATAATAACCTTCAGTGGGACAATCACATCGATCATATAGCTGCAAGATTGTCCAGAGTGGTACATCTCATTAGACGTCTTAAGTATTTTGTTGACTTTGACTACATAAAAATGGCCTACTTTGCATTTTTCCAAAGTATTTTCCGTTATGGTCTTATCTTCTGGGGAAACAGCTGCAAAATTACAGATATTTTAATCATACAAAAAAAGGTGGTTAGACTAATTGCAAGTTCCACCCAAGACGCTCATAGTAAACCTTTATTCCTCGAGTTAAAAATTCAAACTGTTGTTAATTTGTACATTTTTGATCTTATGTCTTATGCTTTAAAGAATCTATCAACTTCAATTTTTAACAATCAAGTCCATACATATAATACAAGAAGTAATTGTCAGATAAACAGAACATTTAATAGGCTGAGTAAAACATTGAAAAGTCATGTTGTTATGTCCGATAAGGTATTTAATAAATTGAGTAAGACTGTTCAATTTTATCCAGGTAAACATTCTTTATTTTTAAGTAAATTTTATGACTGGCTCTTAAGAAACCCTTTTTTTCTATTGACGACTTCATAGCCGTAAAGGAAGTTCAGTTTTAGACTCATTGTCAGTGCCTAGGTTAGTTTATATTGTTGTTAATATTGGTTAGTTTATATTGTTGTTAATATTGGTTAGTTTATATTGTTGTTAATCTTTTATCTTAATTGTCTATCAGCATTTGTTATACTGTTTTTATCTCTTGTTAGCAGGACCTTGTCTACTGTTTTTAATATTTTAAATGTCCATCAACATTTGTTGCAATTGTTAATTTTTATAAATTTTTATCTTAATATCTGTATTTTGTTGTTGGTTCATATAATTTATTCTTTGTTAAATTTTCATATTTATTTACAAAAATGTATTTATTGTTAAATCACACTCCATACTGTTGGTAATCCACAGAGCTGACACAAAAAAAAAAAATTAATTAACATATTGGACATGTTAGTTGTAATGTCTAGCCTGACTGTAGCCATGCTATATACACATGACAATTGTCAATGCATTTTTGTAATGTCCAATGACAAATAAATATTTCTGATTTCTGATTTCTGATTTCTGAGCCGTCTGGTACCCAGCACCTGAACAGAAGAGAGATTAAACACTGCGTCATCACCTTCTCAAACTCATCAAAGGGAATATGCATCAGCCGTCTGGTACCCAGCACCTGAACAGAAGAGAGATTAAACACTCCCGTCACAGCAAAACAGTGAGAGTATTTGTTCAAACAGTTTCATGATAATGAACAGCAAGCTGAAAAAAACTCAGGGATAGCTAATTTCTTAGGTTAAAATTCAGAGTTTTTAATCAAAACTTACCATTAAAAACTTGTCAGTATCTATTTATAATTTAAAAATCATTCAAAGAAATTGTACTTTCAAACAATAATAAAACTCAACAGTAGGCCTACTCAAAAAATAGATAGGTTGAATTTTTTTCTGTACCTACTTCAAGAATAAAAAATATTTTTTAAACTTTCTTTAGCTACAAAAGTAATAAAAATATAACTATTAACCTACGGTACCTATTAAATAATAATTATAACATTTATAATAATATAAAATTTAACACAAGTTTATGGTTTTTTCTTTAAGTAGGCTATAGCCTATACATTTATAAAACTTAGGAGAAAACAAAAAAAAAAATAAATTAAAATATAAAACTTTTGAGTTAATGACAACCGAAAATCGAATGGCAACCAGAAAATATGCATTTTGCATTTTACTCTAGATCGCAACTCGTTCATAAGCACCCAGATTCAGATACCCTAAACAACAATTATTTCGGGATTTTTCAGATCTGGGATTTTTTTAGTTTAGGGAACATTAATGATAATCTAACTCGATCGCTATTTTTTTACTTATGTTGCAACTAGTTAAGAGAGGAGCACAGATGTTTTAATTGGATGGACGCTCAGGAGTTTAGTTAAGATTCTAAGACTAAAATTTCCTGGCAAAACTATTCCCAGTCAATTTGACACACTAACTATTAAATAATATTGCACAAAGTAATAGTGAAAAAAATTTTGGTAGATTTAGTTTGAAAAGCCAGTCAAGATTTAAACAATTAATCTACTGTTCGGTTAGGTTTTTTTTTTAGGACATGAGACAATATTTAAACCTATTCGTTGCATTTTTATCGTTCTAACATCTTGGTAGCCAATAAGTCTTGAATTAAAATATTATTTATCGGCAGACACATTTTACTTCATCTGACATCAACTGTGAATAAAGCTATTTCACCTTGAGAAGTTGAGCGCTAAGATCGCGGGAGATGGCCTCAATGAAGCGCAATGCTCTCTGCATGGGGTACTTGGTGTTTCTTATTTTACGCAAGTGGCTGAAGATCTGCTGTACAGCCGTCTTGATACGGTCCAGCTCCGTGGCGGACAACAGGTCGTTGATGGGGAAGTCTTTCATCAGGGGGTTGTAGTCGTTGACTGTCGCCAACGCTTGTTTCAGTCCTAAAACGTACACACTTGATTGAAAAACAAACATTTGTAATTCAGTATTTTTTTAGAATTATCAAGGTAACTTATTATACCGGTAGTTGAAAGTCAGCAGTAAGTTCAAAAGGGGTTGATTTATCAATAGTCTTCCAATACCCTAGGCTAGGCTGCTAAACAGATTTGAGTTTTTCTTTAGCCAGTAAGATTAAATAAAAATTCAATGATTAAAAGAACCTGACCATTATATTGACTTAAGTGGTCCAATGCTGGCCATAAAATAATAATAATAATAATAATAATAATAATAATGACAGAAGTCCTGTTTTGAAAATTTTAAGAATAGGCCTAGTGGAAAACTATAACAGTAAACCTTATCTAACATCACCCTTTCAAGCAAAGCCTGTATTGACCTACACTACAGTTGAAAACTTCAAATCATATGGAAAATTACTACAGTAATTAGCTAGATAACAGAAATTGTCCTCCTTAGCACGGATAGTTACCCTAATCAACGGAACGGAATGGAGCAGAAGGTATGGAAGTCATACCTTGATGATAGAGATAAAGTTTAGAAAATCAACTGTCGATTATTGTAAAAAATAGTTTTTTGGTATTCAGCTGTATATTTATTATGTCAGTAATTAGAAAAATGTAAAAATGAATCTATTTAATGTCTTTGTTATTGTTGTTGTTGAAGACATTGCTGCAGACAGTTTCTGCTCGATTAGTAAAAAACAAAGTTTTTAGGATGTTTAAGGAGTGTTTTGTATCTATTTGAGTTGAATTAGCCTCTGAATTTCGATCACAGATAAACTAAAACATGTTTGTTGTCAAAAACGGTATCATCCTCTCTGTTATGGTTTGTTCGGGTTTACCGTATCCGTTGCCCCGATGAAACTGCTCAAGTTACTCTCAGTGACTTACCAGTGTCAGTGTCAAAGCTGACAGTCGCATGGAAGCGCTTGCCATGCTTGAGTATGTCCAGAGTCAATGCTACCTCAACACTCTCTCTCTTCTCCTGTATCCTGTAGAGTGCCCTCTCTAGGTTGAGCCAGAAACTGATCTCCTGTAGAGCTGTTCCAGATGACGGGTCTCTGTCCAGCTTGGTCACCTGCAAGAGAACACTGTTAAGTCAGCAAAGTAGTCATTGAGATTGATCTGAATAGCAGAACTACAGCAAACTTTGAAAGACTGAGGGGAAGTTTAGAAAAATGAAGAATTTTGTAGGCCTAATGGCCTTTTTCAAAGTGCCCCCCAGCCAGACAAATTGGTACCTCAAAATGTTTAACAAAGAAATATGGTAAATTTTATTATTGTTATTTAAATATTATTCTATTGTACTCATACCTTCTGAATTTCCTTGATCCAACGGCTGACTCCGTTCTGCAGTTGGTTGAGGAAGGTCGAGTCCTCTACACGATCACCAAAATCAGCAACTTTGGGCTTGCGGCCTTCTTCTGTGCATCGTTTGATTACCTGTCAACATTTTAAATTTCTGTTAGCCAGCTCATTATAAAAAATAAACGATTTTTAGTGATATGAGAATTGATTCTATAAATTATCCAGGTGTTTTGAATCTACTCTTGCCAATCATCGATTGTAAATTCGTTGACTTAATCAAACCTTAAGTTCTAATACAAATTTTGTAAGTACATAAGTGTCAAACAGATGTTTAAGTGAATAAGTTGTTTAGGTCTAATAAAATAATGACTCGTCTCCTTGCAAGCATGTTTTTCTGGGGGGACAAGGACTATGTCTCCTGAAAATTGCAAATTAATGTAATGTATAGCCGAAATATGTTTGGTTAGTTATTTTTTATTTTTTTTTTTGCGAATTACCTTTATACGGAATAAGCTAATGTCGTAGGTCTTGTAGTTAGATCTGGCCCCAGGACCGATTTACTTTTGCGTTTCGAGGTGAAAAACCCCTCCCTTCAAATTCACGTCCATTACCGTGATAACTCCAGCAAAAATGATCCGATTTTTATGAAATTCAGTGCAAACATATAAACCTTTGTTTATGAATTCGCAAACCAGCAAGAATGTACTATGGAAACCGGGGATTATGGGGATTTGATGGGGTAAAATTTTGTTTCTCCCATTTTTGACTCTAAAAACATAAAATTTCACAATTTCTTCCCTAACCATTTTGTAGAGATTAAAAGACAAAATTTTGTATACTGAAGCGTTGTTGTATGCTCTACAGTCAGGGAGATGATTCAAAAAGTTTAAATTTAAAATAATCATGTTTATGGAAAAAAAAAGGCACTGTCGTAGTTGCTTGTTAATGGATATATTTTAATCAAAATTGGCAATTTTATTTATTTCATACTTAGCTATCAACACTTTAATGAAATCCACACCTTTTCTGTAGCAGCAAACCTAAGTACTCGTAAAAATTAATGTTATTTAAAATAGTTGATCTGCCTGTGCTTCGCAACAAGGCAAGAATACTTTTATATAGGCCTACTTTAAAAAATTTACAAACACTTGCCTCAATCATACTTATTGCTTACTTTATGAAAATCTCTTGTGTATTTGGATTAAACTGTGTGACAGCATTATAACTAATAACTTTATCTTTCATCTAAACATTTTTTATCCAAACATCTTTCATGAGAATCAAAAGATTATCTCAGAGAAAAAGGTCAACAAACAAACTATAAATAAAAACAAATCTAACAGCTGATACATCTTCTTTATTTACAATATGATTAAATACAGCCCTTTGAGTTCGTGCCCTTAGAACATTTATCAAAAAACTGATATTTTAATTTGATGATAGGTGTACGGCTTACGGTTTTCCCAAAAGTTTGTGATCCTTATTAGCTTTATAAATAGGAAATAAATCTAACAATTTTAAAAGAATATTTTTGTGGAAATCCAGCCAGGTAAATGGAAATTCCCTCAGTCTGCAGGTTTTCTGCGGTGGGAGTATTTTATTTTAGGTCTAATGTACAAAGTCACCTGAGCGACAGTCGCGTGTACTGGAAGTGTAATCTCCGGAATGTCGATATTCTGCTGGAGATGTAACAGGCCCATCTCCAGTTCTGCCATCTTCTTCTCCACAGAGGGGACCATCTTGTCACCATCTCTGTGACATAGCAATCGATGAACCTACTCCTTTTACACACTGAATATTAGCAATTTATTTTGTATATGCATCACAAGGCTTACATACAACAATGTTCAAGTTAAAAAAAGTGTTTGATGAAAAATGTTTTATATACAGTCTAACCTGGATATAACAAACCTCAACACAACGGATTCGTTGTTAATAAAATTTTGTTTTGAATTTTAATTTTATAGAACTCTCCAAAGTACATGATGCAAATTTCACCTCCACATAATGAACAATCCGCAACACCTTGATTAAAACTAATTTTGGACGATCCTGGCTAGTAAAATTCACCCCAATATATAGAATTTATCATAATCAAAGCCCCTTTAGTGAATTTAACTGCTAGTTTATGTCTACATCGTTCCTTCGATATAACAAACAGAAACAAAATTGGTCATGTCTGGACATGAACGCTTGGTCACAACATCTAGCTTCCCGTCTCATTTCAACACCAACAATACATTGTGTTTGTTGCGTCAGAGATCTCAATGCATGAGATTCAGCACTTGCCATCAACAAATACTGATCAAGGCTGAAGACAAGAATTAGGCCTATACACACCTTTTAAAGGATGTGGTCAGCTGTACCAATTTACCAAAATTCCCTATTGGGTGAAAAATTTCCTTGTATGTTATTCCTGTGGAAAGTATGGAGAGACAGTTTAAAGTAAGACAAGCCTAAGTAAGATAGGCATATTTAGATAGTTTGTGTCTAAATAAACAGAGCGCTGTGAATTTTACCTGTCTGCACGGCCAGATTCCTTGATGTAGCTCTTGAAGTACGGAACCATGGTTTTGCACACATAAGCATGGAGTGTTTCGTAAGGTGATCCTTCGCTGAATGTGTTCACTCTCAGCTGACTGGCGATGGATTTGTCAGCCTCCACGACTATGTAGCGTTTAGTAAACACCAAGCTATGGGGCAAGCAGAACAAGGGGTTCAGCTAAATTATTCATTATATTTATGCTACAAAATGTATGTAGATGACAGGAAACTGTAAGAACTTAGACTGCACTAAAATTAAATCCCATTTTTTTAATGTGCGCCCTATTTTATTAACCTTAAATTTACCTGTCCTTTTGCACCTTGGGCCTGTGTAGAATGTATAAAGTATAGCCAGGAGTGAGGTAGCTGGCACATTACAAGAATAAACCATGGTGATATTAATGATTTGGTTTATATTAATGATCTACCTTTGATTTTAAAGTCAAAATCAGTAATGTTTGCGATGAAATTCCCATTATTTTCACTGATCACAGTAAAATTTTCATGCAACAGACAGCTGAACAAGATTTCCTTCAACTATAAAAATGGTTTTAAGCAAATGGTTTGGTGTTAAATAAAGAAAAATCTCTTCTGATGGAATTCCAAAAAAAACTACCAGAAATCAGACACAACAACAAAATTAGATTTGAATCTTTCTCTAAATTCAGCAAGCTCAGTAAAATTCTTAGGCATCACAGCGGATCAAAAATTGACTTAGCAAAACCATTTTGGTGAAATTATAAAAAAATCAACCCTCCTAGTGTTTTAAGTGTCGCTTGTGACACACAACACACCTGCTGCAATGTTATGCGTCGCTTCTGCGACTCACAAACATCGTTTACAACAAAGGCTTTGGGACGGACTGAATCGGATTGTACTGGATCGCGATTTGTATCATTGTTTTCAGCAGATTCTAAGCTTTCTCCTGATGTCTGTTTCTAGACGCTTTTCATTTTAGTTCCGATCAGATTGGAGCAGACAGATGACGTGCGTATTTTTTAACAGCTTGGTTAACCTCACATCGAAGACTGATATATTTTAGGCTAAATTACATTTATCGTTGTTTTAGTGATAAAAATAAAAAGTTGTGGTATAAGTTACATGGTGCATTAAAAGAAGATTTAAGTGATATTATTGATGGCTGATTTATGATGAAATTGGACAAAGCTTAACTTAACATTACCTGGTCATCTTGGAGCTTGTAAAATGAACCTCGTTAGAAATAAAATATACTTCTTTCTCTTCATCTGCCTCCCCACTTTGTTCAGCATCATCATCTAAGGACAGAAACAATAGAGTTCTTAATGCTATACGAATGCATAGGATTACTGTATCTTATACGTAGCCTATCAGTTCAATTAGCTATCAATAACTTTATGATGGGGACCCCCACCTAGGTATGTATTTTAACCTAAATACTAGAGGAGCAGCATTGAAATAAATAACGTGTCCGATAAATAATCAAATTTATGATTTTTGATTGAGTAATACAGTATCTTGAACTTAACTGATTCAAACAATCAATAGCTCAAATTAAAACCTATAATTTACTGATTATTTTGAGTCTAAACATATTTTAAAAAAAAAAAGCAATACTGTAGTTATTGATTTTTAATCATAGAAAAACCTTTCAAAAAATCATTTTATGTTGATTGTTCATCTTGCGTTTGCATGAAACTCGTCACACTAGGCTAATAGCTTAAATAAAAGCCGGTATTTCACTAAAGGTTTAGACCAATTACGCATAGACTGGTGAAGGTGAAATGCATCTTAAATTGAAGTAAGAATTTGAAAATATATCAAATTTATGTTAATAAATTAACAACATTTCAACTTCAGTTTTTTTGCCGATTGGACTGGACTGAGATGATGAAAATATAACCAAAAGAAAGCCTGAAAATCATAGAACAAGAAGCATATACGATCTATTGGATTTCTGGGGAACTAACTCAACACAAACAGGTTTTAATAGCGCGAGCGCGACGGCGTTCGTTGTAAGCGAAGGTGTTAAAAATACTGTAAGTAGACATATAAAAATTACATCATATCCCAGTGTAAATACAGCAAATATTTGCCATATTGATTAATAATTGATAATTTTAAATATATCTATTATAAAATAGAACTATCATAATGCTTGCATTTTTGAAATAGTAATTTGAAGTGTTTTTTTCTGGATTTTAATTTTACAAAAACAGTCTGCAGGCGACATAAACTAACAACTCGATACATTATAACCTAAACTTTAACTTACCTAATCTAACCTACCTTCAAAGGACTTAATGCAGTCACCAATTCACATATAGCACGACCTACCACCCTGACATGCCTAAATAAGAACTACGAGTAATTAGTCCATTATTCCATCTACAGTAGGCCTATCTCCATAATGTGACGAAATTCCTATTGTAGTAAACATTAAGTTATTGACTATAGAATCACTTGATATGTTTCTACAAAGCTAAAGCACGGCCGCCTGCGGCCGTGGTTAAAGGCGGCCGTGTCTACAACGATGTTATTATCTTTAGTCAACAGTGTTATTCTTCTCATCAACTATGTTACTCTCTTCACTTAACTTAATCTGAACTTGTGAAATTGTGATGGCGGGCGTAGCAGACAGAATAGCACTTAGCTAGCACTACGCAACACGTATGAGTAGGTACGAATGAGTATTTTGTTTTGTATTTTATTTGTAGTGAAGTAAAATGTCGTCAATAGGCAAATTGCCGGTGACAGAATCAGAGTGAGTTAATGAAGTTCAAAAGTTGTTACTTCCAGTTGTTCTTGTCGTGTGGTTGAAAGCAATCAGCTGTAAGTAGGCTTAAGGCTTAGTTAACCTACAGTTCATTCCACTTGTAAATGTCATCCATCCTATCTTGTTTATTGTAATGTTAGGTATGTTTTTACGGCGATATCTTGAGAAATATTCATCAGCGGAGAAAATTAATGGTATATTTGGATTCAGGAGGTAAAAAACTATAAAGTAAGATATCAAAATTAAAAATTCGTTTGGAGGCACCTGTACGGAATAAATACCAAATGGAGATGAGTGTAGAATGAGAACGATCTTTTAGTCTTGTTAGTGACTGGCCAATATGTTCCTTTAACCCTAGGACCGCCTTCCGCCGAATATGCGGCGGTTGCATGTGGGCGCCGAGCGCCTTCCGCCGAATATGCGGCGGTTTGGACACTTTTTTTTCAAACTCTCATAACGCAATGAAAATTATCTCGAAGTGTAATAATTTTGATACCATTGAAAAGAGGAGATTCTGAACTTTCATTTTCATATATAAACGAGCCTCGTAGCAGTAATAGATGAATACAAATGCTATTAGAATTTGAACTAAATTTAGCGCGCGAAGCATTTTTGACTCGCGATCGGCAAAATCTCGTAAAACACGAGATTTTCCAAAAAATCCTAATGTCTGTATTTTCGCCCAAACAGGAATCGGTTGGTACCATTGGAAAGAGGAAGAGTTATTCTTTATTTTCGTGATAAGATCTTTGTCATACGACTTCAGAAAGTCTGACAAATATTTTTGGAAATCAGCTGTTTTTTCATTCGGCCATTTCGCCTAAACCGCCGCTTATTCGGCGGTTTCTAAATCCATAATAAATATAGCTCAAATGTATTTTAGCGAAACATATAGTATATCATTTTGAAGCCAAGAACTTCTTCTTCCTCTATGTAGTGCTGAGGTACTGTCTGTGACGCATTCCAAGTTATCAAATAGCGTAGAAAAATACACATTTTGCATTTCTGCTTTGTTTGTTTGCTAACCTCATTGCGCAAGATCTTTGTTCGTAGGTGTTATTTTATTTTGTATTTTATCATTGCATATTAGTGTCAAGTTGTAAACAAGTGTATTGTTATGTAGTGTGTTAGTAAATAGTAATAATTATTCATATTACTATGGGTAAATGTCATTATTTATGTCCAAAATGTGTGTTTGGAAATGTTGGCCTAGGCCTAGGAATAAAATTACTTATCCATATTACTATGAGCAAATATTATTATTTATGTATCTTAGTGCATTAGATACAACACACTACAAGTGACAAGTGAATTTTCGTGTCGTGTGTTAGTAGTATATAGTAATATTTATCCATATTAGGCAATAATGGGTAAATATCATTATATATATGTTCGAAAGTGTGTTTGAAAAATTCAGTGTTTTTCAGATCAAAATGAAGAGAAGCCACTTAGGTGACAATTCCATAAACAGAATTTTATGTGAAAGTGATAGTGATGTGGTGACTGAGAGTTATGATGTTGGGGAAGTTGTCCCATTCGAGAGTGATAGTGATGAAGATGATGACTCTAACCCTATCCCGACCCCTGATGTCACCCCCCTCCGTGCTGCTCCCCCCTTGGCAGCATCTACTCCCTTACGTGAATCGCCCCAATTTGATCCTAGCTGTGCAGGGCCTTCATCAAAGAGGGGAGACATTCCCCCTCCGTTTGTTCTTCATAAAAAGGAAAAACCTACTTTGCGGGAAAAGCCAAGGCTCTACAAAGCCTTACAAACAGTTGTGAGTGAAGAAAGCGATGTAGATGCTGACGATTTCCTAGAAGACTACAGTTCTGGAAGTGATGATTTTTACCTACCGGATGTGGATGAGTTAGATACCAGTGACCGCGAAGACATTCCGGCAGACTTTCTACCTAAACGGAAGAAGCGGCTGGTGTTTGACTTGGACACATACCTCCCACCTCCACCTCCACCTGTACCGTCGCTGCCCCCTCCCAGAACATCTAGGCCTACCCTGCCCACTCCCAGACCAGCGACGCTGCCCACTCCTGGACCTTCGATGCGGCCTCCTGCCAGACCAGCGGCGCTGCCCACTCCCGGACCTTCGACGCGACCTCCTGCCAGACCAGCGACGCTGCCTCCTCCCAGGCAAGCCAGACCAACTACTGCTCCGAGAAGGAGTGAGCCCCCTCCGCAGCGGCATCCAGAGTTAGAGCTCGATGAGATTGGATTGCCGCAACCACCAAGAGAGCTACGGTCCATCGAAGATCCCCCCGCTGTACAGCCTGTTCCGCCTCCCCGTCAGCGGGATGGTCCCCCACGGCAGGAGTTGCCGAGTGGTCCACCATGGGTCAGGGTGTACCCTCCAGAGCCAGCAAATGACGTAAGCACAAAATTTTTAGTTGAAAATCCTGGGCCTACTTGTGATGTTTCTGATAATCCCTTATCATACTTTTCACTCTTCTTCACTGCCGCCTTGTGGGACTTGATGGTCACTGAGACTAACAGGTATGCCCACCAACGGTTGGACGCTTTGGAGAGGCGTGGTCTGCTGGCCCCACAGTCACGCTTCCGCAAATGGGTTGATGTGACAGTGGAGGAGATGAAAAGGTTCATAGCTATCCTTTTGTCTATGGGCATCACCCGTCGCAAAAATCTTGCAGACTATTGGAGTACCAACCCAAACCTGTACATACCTTATTTTAGCAGAAACATGTCTTTCAAGCGCTTTGAACTAATAACAAGTATGTTTCATCTATCTTCTATCGTTTCTCCACCCGCGGGTCAACCAGGGTATGACCCTTGGGCGAAGATACGGGAGTTCATAGATCAACTGAATGATTCGTTCAAAGCGTATTTTGTTCCAGCCCAACAGGTATGTATTGATGAATCAATGGTCGGCATGAAAAACCGGACTACGTTCATTCAATACATGCCTAATAAGCGGCATTCTCGTTTTGGAATCAAAAAATTTGAGCTCTGCGATTCTGCGACGGGGTATGTCATGCAAAGTGTATTGTACAGTGGTAAGTACTTTTTGTCCATGGGGTCAGATCCCTTCACCCATAAAGTAGTTGCATACCTGCTTGGCAAAGCGGCTTTACTGGACAAAGGCTACCACTTGTTCACTGATAATTTCTACACGAAAATTCGCTTGGCCCGCTGGTTGTCCGATCGCAACACCTTTTTGACAGGGACGGTCAACAAGCGGAGCAAGGAATTGTCGACAGCTGTTTTGGGTGCAAGTTTAGAGGTTGGTGAGGCACTGTATTACAGAATGAGGCTTGAACCTACGGGATCAGTCCTCTTTGTGAAATACAGGGAGCGTGCAACCAGGAAACCGGTTCACCTCATCACCACTGCTATACATGCTCAAAACACTGAATCTACCAGTGCGAGTGGCCGCAAATCAACAAAGCCGCTTGTTATCCAGGTGTATAACAAACACATGGGTGGGGTGGATCTGAAAGATAAGAGTGTTTACCATCTGTCTTGCACTCGTACTTCGATCAAGTATTGGCGGAAGATAGTTTACAATTTTACTGACATGGCCATGCTGAACGCGTACTTGTTGTACAAGTGTCAGCATAGCGACAAGCCTATGCCCAGATCTAAATTTGTTGGCAGTATAATTGATCAATTATCTTTCGCTAATGCGGCTCCCCCTCCCTTGCCAATTGCTGGTCCTGCTGGTGACATCCCTGGCCCACACGACATTGGTAAATTGCCAAACAGGAACAATCGGGAGTGTGTCGTGTGTATGGAGAAACATGGCCTGAGGCGTCGCACATCTTTCTGGTGCCCTACGTGCAATGTAGGAGTCCACCCTCTCTGCAATGTATCCATGGACCACAATCCAGAGCTGTACAGACGCCGCCATGGTCGGAAGCCTACCCAGTAGAGGATTTGGGGGGGAAAGGGGTGAGTGCAAGTTTTGTATGTATAGTGATTTTATCCAATATGAGTTTAATTTTGTTTCGTTTCCATGTACTGTACCAATTATATAACTTTTTTTGTACTATATTGTATTATTTGATTTTTCCATGTTTCAAATTTACAGCGTCAAAATGATTATGTCGCTAATTTTTTGGGGGTTTTACCGTAAACTGGTAAAAAAATTAATTCATAAATAATAATCACATCTCTACGTAGGGAAATACATTGCCTACATTTTGTATATCTTTGATTATCTGTAAAAATATTGGTGTAAAAATACTAGGGCTTTACTTAGGTAAATAAGTAAAAAGAAATTGAAATTTGAAATTCTTTACTTTTATCTCAAAATTTACCCAACCGCGTAATATTTATTTTATTTTATTAAAATTCTCTGTTATTTTGTGAACAAAAAGAGTATGCATATGATAGGGTTATCTATTATAGTTTGCACACCAAAACTGTTTAAAGTTACCTCTGCATATCGTTATCAAAATACGGCTAGGCAAATATTTTGGTTAGAAAAATCCATATCTGCGTCTCCCGCCAAAAATGGTTATGGAATCTTTACTATATTATATTTCTCTATTCATATGTATATTTTCTTGTTCAGAAATGTATTTCCTACAAATACATGTATCATTTATCATATTATAGTAAAGTACAAAAATTAGGCCTAGCTTTGAATAAAAGATTTTGGCTTTTGTGGAAAAAGAAATTTTGTTTTTCTACTCATATAAAGTCATAAAACCTGTTATTTATTTGTACAGTTTGACATTATTTCCAATGCATATATTATTACCTTTAGTAATATAACAGTTTTTGTACATGAACTGTATACTTCTGATTTTTTATTTATCTTCCAAATATACAGCGCAAGTTGGTCAATTTTCCCCGTTTTCCGTATTTTCCCCCAAAATTTGTGTAAAAAAAATTTTTCTAACAAATGAATCACATTTTTACGTAGGGAAATAAATAAACTACACTCTCTATATCTTACAATGTCTGTAAAAAAATTTGTGGAAAAATGATAGGACTCTACTTTTGAAATTTATGTAAAAAATTTGAATAAAATTTTGGTTTTTCACATTTTCCAAAAAAGTTACCAACAGGGATTCCTTTTATTTTATTTTATTCTAAATCTCCTTCTTTTTCTGAACAAAACGAGTATGCATATGAAAGGGTCATCTCTTATAGTTTAGGCACTGCAAATTATTAAAAAAACCTTTGCAAAATGGCCAAAATAGCCAGGGCGCCGAGCAAGTTTGCATAAATCAGCCAAGGGCGGTCCTAGGGTTAACACAATTGTTAATTAATAGCCCAGTTAGGTTATCGATCCAATTGATAGGTTAGGCCTACTAATTGTTTAGATAGGCTATTATAGAGTTTGGAAGGCCTATCAAAGTTTCACCCAAGAGGCCTAGGCCTAACTTATTTATACCTAGCATTCTTTAAAACCCTAAAATGAGAGTAAGTTAATCAAATAGGCTATAATCATGTTCTAGCAGGAATTACAGTAAATGACGATGCTGGCCAGCCACGAGGCTAGGCCTACTACACAAGCTACAACTTGTAGCCTAACTTAGGCCTACCTTTAGTGGAGCTTTTTTGCACAAGTAGGGCAGATACTTGAGGATCACTGATGAACTTTTTGATACAGTCCTGGTTATTTCGATCGTCAATAGCGGCCGCCAATGAGGGTGGTGCCGAAACATCTTCGTGAAAATGAACGGCAACAACTTTACGTAAATAATTTAAGAATGAAGAAAACTCAACAACCTCTACCGACTGATCCTCATCCCCATGAGAGGAATCGGCAACTTCGGTGAAATCACCACTCATTGTCTATATTAAATAAATTAAGTTACGCAATAATAATTAAAACTCCATTGCTTCAAAAAGTATGGGGAACGAGAGCCCGAATACTGTAGCCGTACCCGAACCTCATTCAACGACTCAACTGCAAACTGCAACTCAACTCAATGTCAAAAATTGTCAATTAATGACTCGACTCAACTCAACTCAACCCATGAACCCAACCCGCTGGCCGCTGAACGGCTGAAAGCTGAAAAACAACAGCTGTCGCTGTCGTCGCTCGTCGGGTCAGCCAGCGTCGGCGTCACCACATAGCAGTTAACCGTTAAACCAGAGTTGCCAGTTAAGACGGTATCCATCATCAATGATTATTTATTATAATATAGTGTTATGAAAAGTATACTCATAAAAATATCCGCGAGGTATAAAATGTAAATGTAAAGCTCATTGCTCAATGTTTTTCATAAAAAAATTTAAGATGTAGGTTTATTATAATATTCAGGAAATGTTTAATCTATGGAAAAGCTAACAGTTCACAGTTTAAATTTATTCCCCCCTTTTTTAGTATAACAGAGTTTTTAGACAAACTGCTGTAGCTCGAAAACTGTAGCTAGCAAAGATTTGAATAAGTTTCATAGTCAGAAATTAAATGTTAATTTTCCTACAAAACCCATAAAGTAACGGAAAAATTGGATTTTATAAAAAATGGCCTTAACAATTTTGATAAAAATTTAATATGTTGTAGCCCTTTAAATTCTGAACAAAATAGTACAAATCCCATTTCTGTAAAAATTACGGTACAAAATTGACTGTACATTATGTTATTTTCCCATAAAAAAAACCCATAAAATAACGAAAAATAGGATTATAGAAAAAAGCAGGTTAGATTTAACATTGTTAAATGTTAAGTTTTATTTAAATTCCATTTTGTACCCCCTGAACTGCGTACCTATAGTTATATTATATTAGTTGACGCGTCCAAATTGGATAAAACGTTTCTGTAACGAATGGAGCTAGAAAACGTCCAAGAAGGTAAATCAAGTGAATTTGAACTAGTATCCAATAGAAAAAAATCTAAATCATCCTCTTTCCACCTCCAACCATCTACGAAGCGCTACAAAACAATAATACCATAGATAAAACATACTATGTTTTATCTATGATAATACTAAACAGATTTAGTCTTTAGCTTCCACTACCGATTATAACCACTACCGAAACTGACGAATCTCCTAACTCTTCTGACAAATCTCGCATTCCATCCATTTTTCTCCCTGAATCGAACAATTATCAAGCTTTGATCACAGATCTTGATTAAGTCTTAACCCAAAATTATTATACCGTGAACAAAGACATTACACCATCAAAATAAATGTGTCTTCATCCAGGCCGCAGTAGAATTGGCAACATCGCAAGTGGTGTTGTTCAGTGACAGACGTCCCATAAGATAACATGGCAGACAGGTGACATCAGCCCATTTGCACTTTATTGATTTAATTTTTAATTTATGAACATAAATTTATTAAAATATTGAAAATAAAACATACAGAATTGAATATTGAAACAATATGAATTAAAATCTATATCTGTACATTTGTAAGCGGAGTCAATATTGTCATAGTCCAGTAATCAATCTTTCGTAAATACACAAATACCATTAGTTGCTTCCAAAAAAATCTGCTGTTACAACACCACTTGCGACGTTGCCAGTTCGAAGGCCGCGGCCTGTAGTTAAAGGCGGCCGTGCTTCATCAGATGACTACCGTGCACTAACACAGCACATTTTGACCATTTTTAAGTAGGCCCTACAATATAACTTTTCTGTCCTCCTGAAAACAAACGTCTCTCTCTGTCATAGCGGAACGTCCCAATCTCCCTTTCTGACGAAGAAATTCACACAGAACTTAAACGATAATGAATCTGCCAGTTCCCAGTTCTAAAAGTCACTAGACAATACAACAATCCATTGTGTTAACTTCTACTAAATTGGCGGGATGAATTTGTGAAGACAATTTTGTTTGATGGTGCTGAACTGGATGAGTCGTCTAAAATGTGATGCTTACCATTGTTGACAGTAGTGATATTTTTAAATAGAAAATCAAAATTATTTTAAAATGTAAAAATAGAGAGCAGAGCAAAAAATAATAACAAGCGTTATTGGCCGTATCATCAGGTGTATCCCAGATAGTCTATTTCACTTAAAGTTACCAGTTCTTATCAATGTCAACTCAACAGATATTTAAAGAGGACAAATAGCCAAGTAAGGCCGGGGCCACACTTGTAATTTTTAACCAGCGAGACTGTTTTTTCCGTTTTCACGTGCGACGCACGTGAAAAAGTTTGACCGTGGCCACACTCGTCTTAAGAGATAGGGTTTTCGGGCAAACCAGTGAGACTGATAGATAGAGCATGCCACACTGGCAATAAAAATCGTCCGTGTCCGTGTTCCGGCTCCACCCCCTCCACACTCACTGCACAGTAACATTCAGGTTAAAACTAGAAACGTCCGTGGAAAAAATTCAGCGAGATAAGATATGATGAGTGTGTTCACTCCCATAAGCCGCAATGCCCCGCGACTAGTTTTACGTGCAACGCCCGTGGAATTTTAGCAGAGAATACACGTGCAATTCCGTTTGTCAGTCTCAGCGAGACTGACAAACGCGTTCACGGACGTTTTTACTCTAGTGTGGCCTGCCCCATATACCGTAATGTATCTCTCAAACCCACGGGTAACGCCCGTGGAAAAAATTCAGTGAGATAAGATGAGTGTGGCCCCGGCCAAAGTAAGTTTAAATTTTTACAAAAAAACGTGAATAATGAAGATTTAATAGACTTTAGTTTCATACGCACAATTTAAAAGACTTTGGTTTAATTAATTACTGTACTGTGTGGAACTAACATATGATCATATGTTTGATTTTGATTATTCTGATTTGTAAACAAAACATAGTAGTAGAAGTGATGTTATGAATTTTTAAGAATACAGTTTCTTTTAGTAAGTGAATAAAAGAGGTTTTTATTTTAATTACTCGTTAGAACCTGAATACCAGAACCTGATAGCAATGCTAGATATTGTAAACTTTAAAACGATAATATTACTGCATTATTACACGTATGATAGTCATTTAGTTTGGTGGATTTTTTCCTCTTTGTTAGCAGAAAACAACAACAGATCGTGGTCTGCCAAAAATTGAAAAGCTCAGCACATAGCGATAGCAGTCACTAGCAGCAGCCATCATGGCGAATACGAACCCAAGGAAATTTGTGGAGAAAATAGCTTTACACACTCAAAGAATGGCAGAAGAAAAGGCACAGGTGGATAAAATTTTGCGCGAAGTTGCTGAAGTCACAAGGAGGGTAAGTAAACCACTTTTTAAACTCTAAATTTGTAATTTTTACCTCAAATTAGAACAACAGGTTTTGGCTGTTCAGACCTCAGCTCCAACTGAAATAGTTTTTAATTGCGCTGAAAAATAACAATTTCTTACATTTATAACATCATACGATTACTCAACCAACTACATAATTACGCTTATGATTGCTAGTTGAATGGTTGATTCGCTTTAAATTTGTTAATTGCCGTTTTTGTTAGCCCAGCATAATTCTATTTTTTTACAAATGTCTTCCTTGTTGGTAAACAAATTGCTTCTAAGGTAGAAAAAAATGTCTACACGTTAATGTTACGCCAATTTTCAGTTTTGTGTTCCATATCACTTATTTGTGGGTAATTCTGCAAGAGAGTTAAATAGGACAACCAATTACAATTCATGAATTAACTCTCCCTATGGGTAACAGATGACTGATGAATGTTAGGCCCAACCAACCTAAACCTTAACCTGGGAAAAATTAGTACCTGAAATAGCCTATTTTACTTATCAACTAGTTAATTTATTATTTAGTTTTTTTCTCGTTATCATAACTTTAGCAAAGTAAGTTAAGTTACCAACTTACTGGTAGGCCTACTATTTTAGTGGGACCCTCCATCGAAAATATTTAAGTTAGAAGACAGAGAAATTGAAACTTACAAGGACTGCCTAACTTATTAAGCTCAACATTTTTTACTGTATTGACGTTTGGCTTAAAAACAGAACCTAGCCAATTTAGGCTTGATAACATTTTAATACATTTTTCCTTGAAAGTGATTTCAAAAATTTAAGCTAGCCTATCACTCAGTGTTAGTAACTTGGTTAGTATTGATGGTTTTTATTCTTTTGTTATTAGGCTATGCTGTTATCTTCAATATTTCCGTTGGTATTATCTTAACGACTTCAAAGCTCTTAAGTTTCGACTAACACACATATTGTACATTCAGATTAAGTTAAATAACACTAATAAGTTAGGCTATTGGTAGGGCTATTGGTACATGTGCGTTAGCACAATAACTCGAGCAAAAATCACCCGATTTTGACTAAGTTAAATTCGGTACAAAGGTGTAAACCCACGTTTATTTGAACAAGTTCGCAAACCAGCACGATCGACAAATGCGAAAGTGTGGTTTTGTGGGGGTTTTATGGGGTAAAAATTTATTTTTCAATCAATCAATCAATCAATTATTGAGATGGGGCGCCACCTAGGTGCGTATTTTAACCCAAATATGAGTGAAGGATGAGTGTAGAATGGTGTGTGATGACCTGTGTAGCTTTGTTACTGACTAAGATCAGCGGTTTCATTAGTCAGGATCATTTATTTAAAGCCCAATGATCAGGAACAGCTGGGTCCAGTTTCGAACCATCAAAAAGCTACTAACTTCTCAGGATCGAACCGGCGACCTTTGGATTACTAGGCGAGCACTATAACCACTCAGCTACCCAGCCAGTCATATTATATTTTCTCATATTTTACCCTAAAAACATAAAATGTTCTAATCCTCTCTATAAAAACCCATTTTTAAGAGCCTACTCAAACAAATACGGCACTGAAGTGTTTTTTTAATGTCATTAGTTATGAATAAAATTCAATTAAAAATGGTAAATTTAAAATTTTTATCCTGTTCTTATGGTGAATAAGTACGGCATTTAAACTGTTATACAGGGTGTTTTTTTAACATGCAACCCAAATTAAAAGTACTGTGAGACACATTTTTATGACAAAACAGGCTTATATTTTAGTATCCCGTATTCCTCTTTTCTTTACTTCATTGCCTTCATCAGCTGATATTTTTTGTTTTTTGATGAAAAATCATTTAATTACACATGCAAAGTTAGGGTTCTTACACTTAACCTGTACTCATAAATATGATTAATCTTTTAACAAAATCAATTTACTTTATAGCAAAACAGAAATCATATATATAAAAAACTTTGAACAAAAATCAGTAAATTTTAAATTTTACAAATACTTACACACACACACTACACGCACATAGGTGTCAGCGATCGCCTATGCGCACAAGCCCCTAGGACAAACCAACTTTAGCCATGTGTTCAAAATAGAGATATTATCTGCCACAAACTGGAAACCATTATCAAGGGATTTAATAGCTAAAGGGAGATCGTTCCAAAGACGGCAAGCAGTTACAACAAACGCTCTGTCGTAAACTGTGGTCCTATGGTGAGGCATACGCAAAGTTAATGAATCATAGCGTGAGTATTTAACTCTTTCTTCAGCTACAAACCTAAAATCATCCGCAAAAATTTGGGCAATAAGTTTTTAATATTGAATAAGTTAGCAAAACAATTTTGATTGATCTCAGGTCACATAGCTTTAATAACTTAGAATGAATGAAGAAAGGGGTGATGCGCTCACTGCATCTTAGATCATATATGAATCTTAAGCAGTAGTTCTGAGCGTGTTGGAGAGCATCAGCGAGGTTTACAGTCATGTCATTAAACAGAGTTGCAGTAAGTGAAGTGGGGAAAGACAAGTGATTTAACCATTTGTAACTTTATGCGCAAAGGCAAGAAATGTTGTAACTTTTTAAGTGAGTGGATTTGATGCAAACAAAGTGTTGAGCGCGAAACGTCGAGGGGTGAGTGTAGGAGAGGTGGGTGGTGCAGATAGGTCAACCTCAATAATTAAAAATTCTGGTTTTGCCGAGTACTCAGAGTTTGAGCAATTTACCACTTTAAAAGTGATTCCCTCCCTGATATGAACTGCAACACCACCACCCTGCTTGCCAGTTTTGTCATTGCGCTGCAGAAAATAATCAGGGAGGTTCACTTCCTGTGATGGAATACTCGGCTTCAACCACAACTCAGAAACTGTGATTAAATCAAAATCTTGGTGTCTGAAAATCTCCTTCACCTCATCAATTAGTGCACGTAACGACTGAGCGTTGATGTGCACCGCCTTTAGATGCTTGGTGAAAGGAGCGAGAGAGATAGTCGGCAGATTTGATAGTGGGTGTAGAAGGAAATGTGAAAGGGGAGTGATAAGTCGGCCAGTGTGATGAGCAATAGCAGGACGTGGACTCGCTATTTCTTGTTTGTTTCATAGTTATCTATAAAGTTTTGTGTTACCTATTGGGAGCTTATTGTAGTAAATAAAACACATTATGGGGTATCCCAAATCTCAAAGAGTTAGAATAATTTGTTTGAAAGTAAATCATTGGTTTTATGCCAAGACAGGTTTGAATTTTTACATGTCAATAGTAGTACAAATTTAAGGAAACTGAATTTGTAGTATATACTGTAAACAAGAAATACCCTCGTCGCAACAAACCTGCAGACTAGCGAATTTCCATTTGCCTGATTTGATTTTCACTACAGATTTAAGTTTTCCTTATATTTGGATTTGGTTTCCTTAAATTTGTACATGTCAATAACAGTTGATATTTTAGGTACGGTACTGGAATCAAACCTGGAGACTTAATTTCAAACCTCTCTTGGCATGAAAGCAATTATTTACTTTCAACGTATTATCATAGACTAACCAACATGTTTTATCTATGGTATTATTCTAACTCTTTGAGGTTAGGGAAAAGCCATGTTGTGTCTTATTTACAAAATAAATTCCCAATAACACTAAACCTTCATAGATAACTCTATGCAACAACGCATATCTGCTGATCGGCAATGAAGTACAGTAGAACCCCTCATATCCGGCCACCACGGGACCAAGCCCCTGACCGGATAACGATTTGGCCGGATAAACCAACCTACTATGAAAATGACAATTCATACTAATAATAATAGGTAATCAATATATGCAATCAAAAGTATCATTTAATTCTGTTCTGGGATTATTTTTAGAAAAATAAACATATGTTTGTAATAAAGGAAAAAAATAGTCATTAAGTAATGAATGCACAAATATTATGATTCCAGGTGACAAAACATATTAAATGGAGGTAAAAATTACAATAAATTGTACTTAAAGATCATTAGGACTTAAATGGTACTTGCATTTCTACTCAACATTCTTAACCATTTTGTGAAATACAAAAATTAATGTACCGTACTCGTACTGTACTGTACTAAACCCACTTTGGAAATAATCAACCAACTGATCAGAGGTTAGGCCTACTAGCTCAACTGAGTATAGTGACTCAGCAAATAAATGTATAAACAAACAGATAAATAGTGAGAACAATTTATTTTATGACTTGAGCAGTCACAAAGACTAGTGCTTGCATCTAAACGTCCGTAAGCTGTGAGAAAAAAAATTTGATATTGGCTTCCTGGAAGGGGCCGGATAAACAGAGGACCGGTAAAACCAAGGCCGGATATGAGGGGTTCTACTGTAAATAAAACATGGACCATACCAAAATATAGGCCTAAGAATGTTTAGTCATTAAAATGTTTCTCCCAGCACTTTTAATTTGGTTGCACGTAAAAAAAAAACACTCTGTAGTTTGCTTGTTTATGGATATATTTATATATTTTGATCAAACTTGGCAAATTTTATTTATTTTATACCAAGCAATATTAATATTTTACTAAAAAAACATACTTTATTACCCTCCATTTAGCAGCAAACGAGGAACTCTTTAAAGCTACCTAATGTTATTTAAACAGATTTACAAGTGAAAATTAAATGAGGCAAATGGAAATTCGCTTAGTATGCAGGTTTGTTGTGGTGGCAGTATTTAATTTGTATACTAGGTTGATCGTTAAAAATGACCACAGGTTAGGGTACTTAATTTTTACTCTTGTAAAGAACCCATGGGTTTTTTAGAAATAGTCAAACTTCTAAAAGGGACACCAGGAACTGTGGGTATGAGTCGAGTGATTTTAGGCTGATTTTGATGACATTTGGCATGAAAGACTAGAACTCGGTAAACTTGAATGAGTTAACGAACCAACAAGATCGGGTCATAGGAACGGGGTGTTAAAAATAACAGGGTGTTTGTATAGGCTCTTGAAGCATAGTTGTGCAGTTGAAGGTTCCCTACAGAGGAAATTGGGGTACTTTGGTATTATACGGAGGCCACCCTTATACAGTGCGCTGCAGTGGTTATGTTAGGTTGGGTTATCATAAATTGAAAGTATGACTCATCTGGTATTGCTCGATTTATAACGAAACCAGAAAAGTCCTACAAACATATTTATGGTAACCCAAACTAACATAACCGCCGCAGCACGCTGTAAAATATGTGGCCTCCGTATGATAACAAAGTACCGAAATTGGAAAAACTGTACATTTAAAATTCATATGTTTTCTTATGGAGAAAAAGTAAACAGTTGTAGTTAAATTGTGTTTGATACAGATGCTTGGACTAGCCTTTTGTTTTTGAAAATATTGATCAAGCCTGACATTTTGTTGGTTTATTTGTAAAGGTGCTTCAAATTAAAATGTTTAAATATCATAACAAACTACAGAATAGTAGCCAACACTTTTTTCAATCATAATCAGTAAAGTTTTCTAGAACCCCGGGAAATTTTCAGGAATGAATATGTTTAAAAATATCATTTAGTAGCTTAGTAAGTCAGTGTAATTTTAAAAAATTATCTTGCACACTAGGTAGTACAGTAGTATAATTTTTCAAGTAAAAGTGTAGATTTGTTCATCGTAATTTTTACTAACATTCTGTTATGTAAGATACTAGTTTATTAAAATTTTGGTATGTAAATACGCTTACGAGTTTTGCGGTGTGAGGTGGTGCATGAATGTAGACACTTCAGCATGTGACTTATCGTCGGCTTAAGCATCTTCTTTCTCTATAGCTTTTGTAGAATGGTTTGTGACTGTTGTTTTCTAGGGGAACCCTATGCCTAAACAACATCTGCGTATTAACCAAAACCTGGGCTCCTTCAAAGGCGGTTCACTGCCAAATGTGAACAACATAGCTACTTCTTCCTCTGTTGATTTGAAGGTAGGTTTCCTTTTCCCAGCATGCAATCCTTCCCAGCTTCGCTGTTTACATCTTATTACGAGATTGTTTGTTTCACGGTAAACCTTTTGGAGGGTACAGTAATTTTTTAAGTATGTTGATAGTTTGTCTTGTACGCTGAGTTTAGGCTAACATAAAAATCACATGTTTTTCTTGTGACGGTTGTCTTTTGCTTGTTTATTGATATATTTAGATCAAATTTTAGCAAATGTATTTATTTAATAGGCCTACTATATTGTCTATTAACACTTGAAAACATATATTTACACCTATACTGTTAACCCACAAGACGGTAAATAGATATGAAAGACGAAATATCATGCTGAATATCATTGGAGTGTCCAAGCAAAATCGATCACCACTTGGAAACCATCGTTTGGTTCAAAGCCTACTGTATCAGATTTTCATATTATCATGATATTTGTCCTAAATTTGAAAACCTGAGGACCGTTCTTTTTTTTATTTTATGTAGGCCTATAGTGTTGTATGATTTCATTTTTTTTAGATTAAATTCAATCGGGAAATATCTTTTATGCCTTAACTTCAATCAGTGTTCTGCCTATTCTCTTGTAGAAGCAGGAAGACATGTTTAGCACTGAAAGAAATACAGGATGTCTTATCGCAAGTAATTTGATAACGTCTAAATTTATCACTATCTTAAGTCATTGGGAAACAGGCCAATTTTAAGTATGTCCACACAATTGAGGTAGTTGATTATTTTTTTACTCAGCTTTGGGCCTGCTGATCTTAAGCTTAAGAGTAGGAAAATAATTTTTGAAATATAAATTGTGGAAAATACAAAAACACAATACTAGTTTGCCTAGATTGATTGCCGTATCCGTCCTCAAAAACGTTTAAGAACGGCAAAAACTCTTCAGTAGAATTGAGAAATATTCATGTATAATTTGAAAACTTAGCAACTACGCAACTCACTTACTGAAATCAGTTTGATACCTAATAAGAATAAATTTAACTAAAAGTAGTTTGCGCCACTCACTGATGACCAGTACTCACCCTTTACATCTAAGATATAGTGAATGATCAATGGTGTTACATGTCAGATTGTAGGCTACTGATACTGAAGGAATTGTACATCAATCGTTGATATTATAAGGAATCACCCAACTTAACCAAATCCAATCCAATAAACGTTACAATATATTGTAGTCATTTGTTCGAATGTTTTGCTTGCTTATTCATATGGTGTTTGTGCTGAATGTTTTTTTTTACATATTACTATAAGGTGAATTAAAATGTTCTAGTTTGACAGTAATGTAAGTTTTAAATATGCATTAATATTAGACATCTTTTATTTGTAATTTAAAAGTAGGCTTCATTTCACTGCAAGGCTTCAAGTTAATGTGCAAGATGTTGGATGAAAACTGATAACTAAAAATATTTGAAATTTTATCTGTTTTTGTCTGGGTTTTGTTTTAACAAACTTTCATTATATTACTATTTACCTATAGTAATTTTGGTTATTTTTTTTTAAATGTCAAATTTTCAAAATGTTCACTTAACACTCTTAAAAAAATTGCAGTTGCACCACGTCCAAAGCTGATACCAGTTGCACGACGTCCAATAGCTCAATGATGTCCAGAGTACCTAGACACTGAAAAACTGTTTTACCAACTGTAGTGCATACTAACCTAACCTAACTTAGCTCCGTATGCAGGAGCTCTTGACGTCGTGACAGCGCTGAGCTATTGGACGTTGAGCAACTGGCAGCGGCTTTAGACGTGATGCTACTGCTAAGTTTATAACAGTATAAAGTGTGCTGTCGCACGGCGACCAATCCCATGACGTCCAGAGCTTGTAGAAAGACGTTTTTTGCAGTTAATGTACTTTTGTACACAATCAGATTTGGACGTCGTACAAAAGTCGAATAGTTTAAATTGGACGTTGTGAGACAGCTCAAAAATTATATTTTGGACTTCGTGACATTTGGATGTCGTACAACTCTCTCGGATGGGAGTATGTCTATGATACCCATAGAGAGCCATAAAGAGTTTTTGTTAATTTTTAAACTTGTTTGCTTTGTATGTTTGAAAGTCGGGAGGCATGGTAACTGTCGTGTCAAAACTAAAAAAAATTGATTAAATAAACATAAAATAAAAGTGTAATCTAACATTAATAGAGTAGAATCTCTATTAACCATCACCCTCGTGATTGGGAGCATGAGGGTGTAGCGAATAGACGGATAACAGAAATCATGTTGTAAACCTAATTAAATCAAATTAAAAAATAATGTAAGTTCTATAGCAGGGTGACGGTTAATCGAGAGTATACTCTAAGTTTGCAAACTAAGATTAAAATCTTCATAATATGTTAATAAAATATTAATTATTCATTCACTCGAGTTTACTTTCCCTTTTCTTAACTACAACAATGACATATAATTTCCACACAATGGGGAGCGAGCTGGTCTAGTGGTCTAGATTTTGGGTTCAAATCCCACCAAACACCAATGGATTTTTTCCGTGTGATAATGCCACGACGCTAGGTCCTGCCTGAAGTAGTATTGTTCAAAATTTTTTGAAAAAATTGTCAAAAACCAACTAGTACAATATTTGGAAAACAATAATCTAATCAACCCCTCTCAATTTGGATTCCGGCCTAACCTTAACACTCAAAAAGCAGTAACCGACATGATCAACAATATTGCTGGGGCCTTGGATGGAGCACAGCAGACTGTGGGAGTGTTGTGTGACTTGTCCAAGGCCTTTGACTGTGTTGAACATGGAATACTTCTTGAAAAATTAAGGAGACATGGAATAAAAAATATAGCATTACAATGGTTTGCTTCTTATCTGAATAACCGTGAACAAAGGATAATAATAAACAAATTTCAAAATAATTACATGTCAGATTGGGAGGATGTTCCATTTGGAGTGCTCCAAGGATCAATTCTTGGACCATGTCTATTCATTTTATTTGTAAACGACCTAGGAAGTGTATCAAAAATGCCAATATTTCAGTATGCAGATGATACAGCAATCATTTGCAAAGAGCAAAAAGGTGTCGACATTATTCACACAATCACCAGAGAGCTCCATTCTCTTGAGGACTGGTTTGCTGTCAACGGCCTCTCCATGAATGTATCCAAGACACAGCTGATACAATTCTCTGCCTCCAATATAAAAGATGAGATCACCCTAAATTCAAACTTAAATTTGATAGTTTCTCAAGATTCAGTTGATTATTTAGAAATAAAAATAGACTCACATTTAAATTGGCAAACTCACATTAAAAATTTATCAAAAAGACTTAATTCAGCTGTATTTGTATTACAAGTAATTAGAGATACAAAAAATTTTGACACACAAATTGCAGTATATCATGCTTATTTTGCTTCAATTATGAATTACGGACTTATTTTATGGGGATCGTATAGTGAAAGCAAAAAAGTGTTTATTCTTCAAAAAAGGGCGATTAGACATATAGCCAAGGTTCCTCCAGATACACATTGCCAAGAATATTTCAGTCGATTCAAAATTCTCACTTTATACAGCTCTTATATTTATTATATACTAGCTGTACCCGCGGGCTTTGTCCCGTTTAACTTCTTAATTTTCAAGATGAGCTCGTTCGCATGGCTCAATCACGTCCTGGTTGAAGTTCGTTCGCTACGCTCACTCACTTTTAGGTTGGAGCTCGTTCGCTGCGCTCACTTGCCTTCAGGTTAGCTCGTTCGCTACACTAACTCGCCTCCAGGTTGAAGTTCGTTCGCTACGCTCACTCACCTTTTGGTTGCAAATTAGCTGTTGTCATAAATACAACAAAAATAATAGTGCTGCACCCTGTTGGTAATCCTTGTAACTTTAATGTTATTGCACATCATAGAACAGAACCAACTTGTTTAATTGAAACAGCTGTTAAGATTCATTAATTCCATTTAAATATGAGTACTCATAAGGTTAACATGGGAAAATCCAGAGCCACTGGGGCGGAGCCCGAGAGTCCGATCAGAATAAAAACAACTTAGTTTTCCTATTTAATGCCTAAAGAATCAGTGTACCAAATTTCAGCCTCCTAGGTAAATGGGAAGTGGGAGAATTAGTGATGAGTGAGTGAGTGAGTGAGTCAGTCAGTGAGGGCTTTGCCTTTTATATATATAGATACAGATATTTCTATGATGGTCAAGAGTAACTTGGATACACTTATGGAGAGTCAGCCCTCTCACAAACATGATACAAGATACAAAAAAAATAATAAAACCAATGCAACATAGACTAAAATTATTTCACTTATCCCCACAATATATGGGACCCAAAATTTATAATAAGCTGCCTTCAACAATAAAAGAAATTGATTGCATATTGAAATAAAAAAAAAAAAACACTTAAGATATGGCTTCTGGAGAAGGCATTTTTTTCACTGAAAGATTTCCTAACAAATGTATAATTATTTTTAATAATATAATTGTTGTTTTGTTACAATAGATTTTAGTTTGATGACAAATCACCCGTCAATCATTGATGTAATGTGATGATAATAAATAAATAAATAAAAAAGTAACGTGTAAGAACAGTTGTGGCTGGAGTCTAGCAAAAAAAGTCTACAGTTTTTTCATATGTTATTTTCATTCAATTGTTAAAAATATTTAACTACTTTAATTTTGTATGTGACACACATTACATAAGAAAATAATAGTTACACTCGACTGAAATGTAAACAAAAGAACCATAATAACCCACTGATCAAGGATATTGCCAAACCACCAAAAGCTTAGACTATTCTCAGGATCCAACCAGCTACCTTCTGATTACAAGGCAAGCTGAAAAACCACTCTGCCACTCAGTTCAACGTGTGGATTTTAAGTAGTTGTATGTATTACAACAGTAATATTCCTAATAAAAATTAGTTGACTTTTGTGACGATTTTTGTCCCATCATTCTTTCCCATCATGTTTTGCCATCAGAGCCCAGGCAATAGTCTTCACTATGCAATAATATCATATGAAAATGTAAACTGTTTAGTAC